AATTCCGATTTGTCAAATACTGTATTACCTTCATAATAACCACACTTTGGCGAAAGCTGTATACACTTCATTATAACCATACATATCTATTTGGTCAAGCTGTATAAACCTCATGATAACCGCACATATCAATTTGGCCAAAGCGTATAATGTTAATTATAACCACACATGTTTTGATAAATCACCATTTTTCTACTTTTAAACCGTCATGCTCAAGAAGTTTGTATGTGTTGTCAAACTGAACAAAATAGAGTTACAAACTCTCGTTTTTAACACGAGACGATGCTCCCTTCCAGATACTTTGAATATATTACTGATACTTTGAATATTTTTCTGATAATTTGAATATTTTACTGTAACACGAGTCCCTCCTAAATGCCAGAATTTTGAACATGTTCTTTAGAAAATATACTTTTAAGAAATATTCGTCTAAATTCCATGAAAAACATTTATCGATTCATTTAAGGGAAACTATTTATAAAAAAGAAACATTCCATCCATCACTATGTAAGATTCACAAATCAAGATAATGTTACGATAAAGGGAACAATTTTTATACCACTCTAGATCATCTGTTTCCCTGCCTGCAAGTATCTCATCTATCTCAGTCTGGCATTTTTGTTGACATTCAGGGTGCTCTGCCAAAGAATACAAGATCCATGCTAAGGCACTGGCTGTTGTGTCGTGACCTAAAAAACAAATTTGTCATACGTTATCATAACTTATATAAATGTATATGTAATGGAAACATATAAGAATAATGTATCAACATCATGTCACTGTTATATATAGGCCTTGAAGAGAGTCTTATTATCCAACATCAAGTAATGTGTGGTTTATATGTGGCTATTAGCATTAAAACTGTAAACAATTAAATAAAGCCAGTCCTTGATAACTTATAATCACTGTATCTTGGTTCTAATCTTATACCGGAAAAATATGATGTTTTTATTTTGTAACTTAAAAAAAACAATCATCTTTCCTTATAAAGGTCACCTTCGAACAAGAAAGTATCCACTTCATTCCGTATCTCCAGTTTTGTAAGACCCTGTCCGTCTTCGTCACGTGCTGTCAGAAGAATATCAAGGAAGTCGGTGTAACTGCTACTCTTGGTACTGTCTTGTTTATTCTGACATTAGACAAAAACTTAAATGAGCTGCGTCACGACAAAACCAATATACTGGGTTTGCGACCAGCTTGGATCCAGACCAGTCTGCGCATCCACACAGTCTGATCAGGATCCATGCTGTTCGCTATCAGTTTCTCTACTTGTAATAGAGTTGGTAAGCAAACAGCATGGATCCTGATCAGACTGCGCGGATGCGCAAGCTGGTCTGGATCCATGCTGGTCGAAAACCCATTATGTTGGTTTTGTCGTGACACGGCTCAAATAACGTTTGGTACAATATGATCGTGTGTCATACGGATGAGTGTGCTGTACCTTAATAGCTTTATTTAAAGGAAAGATTTTAAACTTTTTAGTGTTCTTATTCATAAAATCATATTTTTGAAATTTAAAAGCTTCATTTATCTTTAGTTAAACAGAAGTTACCAGTCATTTTATTAAAATTACCAAAGCATCTCTCCTTTTGTCAATTACTTCCTCGGCTACTGCATGAACAAAATCACAATCTTTTTTAAATTGCCGTCCGGTTGAACTTAGATTCCAAATGACATCAAAGTGCATCAATGGATTGCTAGGAATTTGTAAAATCAATAAAAATATTGAATAATGTAAATATATAATGTTCTTAAGTATGGTTCACAGTCAAGTGTAACCATATTTGTAACCGTTTGTAAATGTTATTTTATGTACAATATATTGAACAGAAAAAGCTTAAACTAAGTGTAACTATATTAAAAGGTTATATGTGTGATATTAATTTAAATGCTCTTCTTCTAAACAAAGAAAGGTTTGTGCAAAGTCATCTTTGTCGGTAGATGATATGTTGTTAACTTTTATGACTTTATCTGTTAGGCACGGGTCATGTTGCAACACAATTATAAAATCCTTAATACGAATTTCCTGAAACACAAATTATTATTATTATTATTATTATTATATACCAAACTTCTTAAGCACTTTTTTTTCATGCACATTGACACGTTCATAAGTACTATACAATATAACCAAATAAATTATACAATATTTAAAAGAAAAAATAAATTAAAACATCAATATTGCTCAAGTCACAAATTCAAATCAAATGTAGTTTAAATAAAAAAGTTAAGAAGACCCACATAAATAATGAAATTCAGGTAAGAACCTAAAACATAATCAGTCTAAATAAAACCTCTTAAATAAGAGAGGTTTAAGTGCTCTTTAAACACAGTTAGGGTTTCACAGCTTTTAAGTGTTCTAGGTTGGGCATTCCAGAGTTTAGGGGCTGCCGACATAAAAGCACGATCACCATAAGTCACAGTCCTATTACGCGGTACAACAAGTGCTAAGAAATCATTCTGGGACCTAAGTTGTCTGGTTGAGGTTTAATGTCTAGCATGTTTCGTATGTACGTAGGTGCCTGTCCACGAAGCGCCTTTAACACATATGTAAGGAGTTTATACTCGACTCTGATGTGCACAGGAAGTCAATGTAGTTCCTTTAAAACTGGGGTTATGTGGCAGCTTTGCGATGTCCTGGTAATAACTCGAGCAGCCGTATTTTGAACATTTTGGAGCTTGTTGAGAACGTACTTTGGAGATCCATATAGCAACGAACTACAGTAATCTAATTTTGATGTCACAAACGAGTTTATCAAGGTTCTGGTTGAATCAACAGTCAAGTATTTCCGAATTTGGCCTATTTGTCGTATTTTCATGAAGCATGAACGAGAAATTGAGTTCACATGTTGTTCCATGTCTAAATGAGACTCCAATACGGCGCCAATGTTTCTTACTGTTGTTGATGGTTTTATTACAGAATCACCGACTCTTTCAGTAAGATCTTCAATATCACTTCGTTTTGGTACAAAGACGATCACCTCTGTTTTGTCCGCATTGAGTTTCAGAAAGTTATTATTCATCCATAGTATGATGTCATTCAGGCATGCTTCAACCCGTCGCAAGGTCTCATTGCGTGAAATGGCTTCCTTTGGTTTAAATGCCGTGTACAATTGCGAATCGTCAGCGTAGAAATGATGTTGAAGTTTATGCATCCGACAGATCGCGCCCACAGGTTTTGTGTACATGATGTAATTCTTCGGACCAAGAACGGACCCTTGTGGAACAGAAAATGTCATACGTACAGGTTTTGACAGTTCACCTATGACGCAGACAGTTTGATAATGCTCACACAGATATGATTTCATCCATTGTAAAGGTTTGCCTACTATTCCGAAGTGTTGTTCGAGCCGGCAAAGGAGGGTACTATGGTCGATCGTATCAAAAGCAGCAGATATGTCCGACATTACTAGAACAGTAGCTTCATTCTGATCAAGAGAGCGGACTATGTCATTTTGTACACATAATAGAGCAGATTCTGTCGAATGAAACTGTCTATAAGCCGACAGGCGCTCTTCATGAAGTTTATGTGCAGATAGGTGTCTTTCAAGTTGGGAATCGACAACTTTCACGAGAATTTTGGAGACAAACGGTAAATTAGATACAGGCCGGTAGTTTATCATAACCTCTTGATCCAACCCTGACTTTCTGATTAAATTCGGAGCATATATCAACCTCTAGTAGGATGATCACGGATATGTACCAGGAAATATGTATACGGAGTGCGAGCAATATGTGTTTTCCAAAAATAACCTCACCTAAAACAACAACAAAACAGACACAAGAAAAAAGAAACAATAAGCGTATATAACTTACAAGAATCTGCATGTAAGGGCGTCGGTTATTCTATTCACTGTACTTGCATATTCATTAGACTCACTGAAATTTGATTTGTACAACAGATATTCGAGACACAGCATGTAATATAGATTTAATATTTCAAAGCAAAATATGATGAAGTTTGACCATAAAGACAGCATGACTTTCGCGATTAATTGTATTGGTAGATAATTAAAATCGTCCCCCTGGCATTATTAACAGTTAAGATTGTGTTTTACATATGCCATTGCTCTTTATGTAAGTTGAATTTTCAAAAATATATTATCCCAAATCTAAGAAGGCATGAATGATATCATTACCCTGCTGTTTGAACGTCTTCGCTGTATGAAAACGCACACTTTAATATAACCTCCAATGTATACATACAGACGTGCTGGAACACTTCGAATCTTTCATTGGTTTTTGCTTTAGCCGCAAGTTTTTTCTGCGAGAGAAAAATTGACAATATTTAAACATAATACTAGAAATATTAAATAAAATTAATTATTTCAGATATTTTTACATAATTAAATCATATACAGTACTAAATCTAAATAAAATATTTTGGTGATTTCATCGTTTGAAAATGAGACACATTAGCTCGGACATCTAGAACTAATAAATTCTAACAAGGCATTAATTAATGCGTAACTGTTCGCTAAACATAGAAAAGAAGAACTATGCTTTAAAAAATTATAGTGTAATATATCCTAAGACCAAATGCTAGAATCAAATACCATTGAGTGAGGGAAAGGTTGATTTTGTAAACTATGATATTCTATTTCTATATATACTACGAAAACCTACAACGAACACATCAGCAGACTGGTTATATACATTCATATACGGCTTCAGTATGTCAAAGTGAAAAGCGGGAGTAAGCAGACGTCTGTTTCGCGCCCATTTTTCACCGTTAGCTACAAGCAATCCATCTCCAAGCCACGGATATAAATGTCTGTAAGCTCCATCTAAACCCATCGACTTGGGTTCTGTCATAAAGGAAAAGTATAAATGATTAACTGCAAGCATCTTTGTTCTATATGCCAAACAATGTATTTCAAAGCAAGATGAGTAAATATAAATAAGCTTTTCACATTAATTTTATTGATGTTACTTGGTCTACTTGTACTGTATGTTTATGTTGAAACATCAGAAAACACTGACACTTATATCGGCCTCACAAGGCTAATTGTTTCATTGAGAACTATAGACAAATTAAGCTGAAAACAAAGAACAGGTCCCGGAACATTTCATTCAATATTACAGTAAAAGGGCTCATTAACCGATTAAAATTACTATATTTAGTTAAAGAACAGTAACATGTAACCCCTAGGCTTCCGGTTAATCACTTTGTTTTATGCATCTTTGCTTTCTATTCAAACAAAATATAAATTTTATAAAAGATACTGACCATTGCCTTTTAACACTTTTGCAGTTACACGTGGACAGGTTGGAAACAAAATAAGTTTACCCAGCATGCCCCACAGTACAACATACCCTTGCTCACTTCCGTATTTATTACCCATTTCCATCAAATACGTTGTTAGCTCATGACTATCAGTCGGCAACTAAAAAATATAACGAAAAAACAATACATGTATTAAGAAAATATTGAACGAGAACAAAGTTTACATTTAAGTGATTCCACTTATGATCCTTTACCTTCATTTTCATCTGCCTTTTCTTTTTCCTCTTACTCTTTCCATTATCATCATGATTATCAATATCGTAAAATATGTAATTATGACAATTGTTTTGTTTGTTTGTTTCATTTTACGCCTTTTCCCAACAGTATTTCAGTCATATAGGCGGGTAGTTTCCAAACCATCGTTCCTGGAGAGTTACACCAGTACTTGACAACCTTCCTCCGCGCTAAACTACCAAAGCATCTCCCGGGGATCGAACCCACGCCAGAGAGGTAACTGGATTAGAAGTCATCGACTCTAACCCCTCGACCACGGAGGCGGTATATGACAATTGTAAATATTATTCATCATCATTGTTATCCTCATTATAATTACCATTATTATTAACATTATTTTTTGTGCCCCCACTTTAGTGGCGGGCATTTAGATTTATCCTTGTCCGTCCGTCCTCCGTCCGTTCTCTTTTGTGCCTCACGTAACTCAAAAAGTATTTGACCTAGAGTCATGAAACTTTACAGGAATATTGATCAGCATGTGCAGTTGTGCACTTGGGTATTTTCGTCAGGATATTTTTAGCATTTTTAGAGTTATTGCCCTTGACTTAGTAAATTTTGCAATTTTCACCTTGTGTCGCATGTTACTCAAAAAGTATTTGACCTAGAATCATGAAACTTTACAGGAATGTTGATCAGCACGTGTAGTTGTGCACATTGGTATTTTCGTCTGGATGCATTTTTAGAGTTATTGCCCTTGAAACTTTGTCTGTAGCATTTTCTTTGGGAGTCTTTTATCACATTCGCTAATATTAATTTGATTTGCCCCTTTAAGGAGTTTCTAGAGCTAAAATAGATAAAAAATACCCTTTAAACATCTCCTTCTACTGAAGTAATTTGTGGATGATCACCAAACTTTGTTTGAAGCATTTTTGGGTAGTCTTCTATCAAATTTGCTCATATTAATTTGATTGGTTAATTTTAGGGGCCTCTAGAGCTAAAAAAATAGAAAAACCTTTAAACAGCATCCCTTGCTGAACTAATTGATGGATGTCTGTAGCAAATTTGCTCATGATAATTTGATTGGCCAATTTTAGGGACTGCTAAAACTAAAATGCTCCACGCCGTGACATTTCTTCAAATTATAGTTAAATAATGAAAGGGAAACAACTCATGTTGGAAGTTTTCCATACATGTGTAAATGTTATGCAATTTTTCTAAAAAAAAAGATTGATTAGCAGAGAGTCATGACATTTTTTGTTTCCAAAGATCTTGATGAATTAATTTAAGGTCATGACATATGGCATGAGAGATAATAATGAAATAACTTGAGTGCATTATAAGGGCATAATGATAAACAACATCCAATAACTTACTTTAAAATTTATAAAGAGCATTTAAAATGTAAATGGTTTCAGAAATAGGTAATACTTAATTGAAAATTTAGTATAAAGAAAAATAATACAGCTCTGTTATACAGTAGATGCTTAATTTTTTGTCAAGTAAGAATACTTTTATATTGTATCAATTATTACAATATGTGCTCTGTATCTGAACTGCACATTGTCTTTGAATTGACATGCTGAAATAAGACTCTGACCCTAAAACTCGTTAGACAGTACTGAACTGTGGCAAAGTTGAATTGTATAGAACTAATTTCTGGTGCTATTTAGTGTTGTGCCATAACATTTTTTCACAAATGCAATATTGTTAAGCTAGGTAACAATAAAATCAAATAATCTTCTTTTTGTGTAAATAATTTTCTTCCTAACAGAGATGATTTTCAAAAGGTCATTTTTATTTAATTTTGTTATTATTGTTTTTTTCAATTTTAATTAATTGGATTCAATTTTGGAGATAGTATGTTCTGTCAATTTTGGACACACCTTTGTACCTGATGCCGGCTCGCCACGGCGAGCCGGTATTTCGTTAGGATTTTACTGAGAAACAACCTAAAACTCCGAATCCATCCAAAAATTCAATCGAAGCTTGGCTTCCAGCTTTCTACAAAATTTATCTTTCAGGGCTAGGATCAAAAATTATTTAGCCAATCAAATTTAATCTTACATAGCGTCAAAAAACCTTCAATTTTCACGCCATTTTTAAAAAGCAGCAAGTATTATTTTGAGCGCAAAGATATACTGATGATTAAAATGTTTGTTTTCATGAATTATTTTCAATTAATCATATTTACACTGACTTTTGATTTAGCGATCTCACCTGTTCCTCTGTAGTAAGTTTTCGTTTGGTTTATTAACATAAGTGTACATCTGGTTCTGTGCATGTTTTTCTTTTTCCTTTTTTCCGGTAATTTTATCTTTTCCGGTATTTAGTTCCGGGATCCGGGACGCCCGGACTGGCCGGGATCCGGGATCGTATAACATATAGAGGAAAAACAAATAAACTACATTTGTGTTGATTATTGTCGTAATGAAAGGCCATTAAACGTTAAGTTTTTTTTTATTGTATGTAATGAACGTTAAATTAATTAAACTTATGATATTAATATATTTAGAGCTATTTATTAACAAACTTAAAATGCGGAAATCACAATACTTATATTAATATGCCGAATTAATTGGAAAAATCAAAGACTATATATGTTCTTGAATTGGTCAAATCCCGGGATCCCTTTATGTTTTAATGCGATCCCAGCTTTTCTGAAAACTATATTCTTGAACTGGCCAATTCCTGGGATCTCTTTATATTTTAAAACGATCCCGGCTTTTCTGAAAACTATATTCACTAACTGGTCAATTCCCGGGGTCCCTATATGTTTTAATAGGATCCCGGCTTATCTGAAAAACATCTTAGACTGGTCAATTTCCGGGATCCCTATATTTTTAATAGAATCTCGGCTTTTCTGGCTGAATTCATTGACAACTTGTGTTTACTTTAGGACTTGTGTCTGTCACTCATTCCAATACTAAATAACATATTACAACTTAACTTCGTATAAAGAGACATCTAAATGTATGAATTCTACCTATCTAACATTTATTTGGTCAAGGTCAACAGGCTATACAGTAAATGTGCATAGACATAGGGTCTTCATTTTATCTGTTTACATGCATCTTCATATATACTCATATTCCTCTTTGTTAAACTGAGAGAACTGGCTTCCATCACTTTTATTTTGATGTGCGCTCAAGTCTCTTCAGCTAACAGAACTGTCATTTTTACATTTAAACGCACCCCTGGAAAAAAATTACGAAGCGAGTCGCTACTAGCTTTTTTAAAAGCTAACATTGTATCTGTTTTATGTTCTTAATTGAATTTTGGTATCAGTTGAGCTGTTAATGACACTTTGAAACCATTTTACCTGCTTTATTGTTATTTGATGTACAGACTTGAAATTTGGACATGGGTTGTAATTTCTGATGCCGATTTGAATTTTGATATCAGCAGACCTACTTATATATCGCTTGACCAACATCTTTTGACTTTTGATCTTCTTTCTTGCTTTTTGACTTACAAAAATGGAATTTTGACGAAGGGTGTAATTTGTTATGCCGAAATTAGTATAGATCATATATGACTTACTTTTGATATTTTTAAATCATTTGACTTATTTTCTTGTTTTTGACATAAATACTTGAAATTTGGATTAGTGTGTAATTTTTGGTGCTGAATTGAATTTTGATATCAGCTGGCATACTTTTCATATTTTTTGACCTATTTTCATTCTTTTTGTATAAAAAAAACTTTAAAAATTTTGTTTTACTAAACTGAATGTGGCATTTGCATTCACACAAGTTAATAAGAAAAAATTAACCTGCTCTTGTAGAATTTTATTCTACATAGTTTCTTAGGAAAACACTTGTAACATAGCCTTTCCAAAATATTAGGACAAAATATTTCAGTTTATATCGTGGATAATAAAATGAACAATGAAATGATGGGCCAGGATTATTATGAAGAAATTGCAACAAAACAATCAGTGCAACTAGAGGGGAAAGTTGAAGTTGAGCTGGATTTGCCTTTCGGCGAGTTTATTTGGAAAATTATTTCTAACACAGAGAAAAGCTGTTTCTGGTGAGCGATTCAGAGTCATCATGGCCCTCTTGTTTTTTTGTGTTTTGTTTTGCTTCTTCAAAGCTCTTTTTAGTGTACTGTTATAGTTCCCAAGCAGTTAGCTTATTTGCCAAATACCTGAAACTTCTTATTTTCGGGTGCTTTTTGATAATGAGTACATTTAACGTGATTTAGTTACAATTTAGTCAAAATATTACAATGTTTACATTTTATTATTTCCATGACAAATAATTTAACAATCAGTGCTACTTTTGTCAAATGACAAGCATCTTACATGCTCTGAAACCATTATTTAAACGTTATTAAACTTGCAAAAGAAGGAAAAATTTAAAGGTTTTTGATGCATAACATGTCTATAACCATTCTTCCTGCATAACAACATTTACACGGTGCGTAATTGTTTCGGGCTGATTTGATATATTTCCCCGTTTCTGAACTGATTTGAATTTATGGCGCCGGATTGATTCACATAAATTGGACTTTTAGCTAGACAGGTAAGAAAAAAAAAAATAAACACATTAACATAATGTAAGTCATTGAATATATTCTACTTGCATGGAACATTGTATTATTTAAGGAATTCATATACATGTACATGTACAACTTTATGAAGTTTAAATTATTAACGGTTTTTTATCAGTCAGTTGGAATCAACAGGATCAGGCGCACACCAAAAATTCACCCATAGTACATCACTCAGTTTGTTGAGTTTTCGTCGGCATGAATCTATAGATTTACACATTTTTTTTTGTTCTATATTTATTGACCTTCTTTATGTATGTCTCTTTCCGCGCGTCAACTTTAATCTCCTATGATAAGTCAATCTTTTTGACAAATATATAATATTTTGGTCCAAAATGTATATACATAGTAATTTCTTAATGTTCGGAAATTTGTCAAAATTTAAATTTCTTTTATTTCAGACAAAGGGATTTGTATTTTTGTAGTCGAATTTATTTGTGCAGTCTAACACTTCTGAATAGCGGTAAATTGGCAACAACCGTCAAGTTGATGAAACACAGCAAGTAGACAACAACAACAAAACAGGGATCCGTGGAAACAAAATTTATAGAATAATTGTTTCATTCATAGTATAGAAAAAAGGATGGATAAAAGTATCAATATATGACGCATAAGGCCATGTTATCTTGAAGCCGGATCGATTTAAAACCGGGCTGACGAGCATCGAAAAACGGGCTATATCTGATTTAATTGTACGATGGAGCGTAGCCCCCGAGTATAAATCAGATTTCCGAGTGTTTTGATGTTCTTTCTCTTTTGTATCATAGTCAAACATAAAAACGTGTACACGTACGTTCCCTGATACCACAAAATGAAACCCCACAAAAATGTAAATAATGAACGAGCATCTTAATATGATATTTCCATCGCTATTCCTTGATCTGTTGTCACAATATGTAAACCCATGTCAAAATGAACCAATCAATGGGCATGCTCTGGAGTGCGGGTAACCAGTTAACACACTGTGCATGTATATGTATACGATTTAACTCTTGATACATTTTCAACAGAAAGGTCCCCAAACTATGATACAATGGTAGGATAGACTTTCTTCCTTCTGGGCACAGTAAATTCATATCATAATAATAATTGCTAACTGCATATTTCCCAAGGTGTATGGATCAATTTATCTGCATGCTGAGGACACAAACCCGTACTGCTCATTACAATAACATGTGAATAAAACCATTCTTCTGTCGCATCTGAAAATTGTGTTTTAAGATATATTTCCATTCAACAAACGACTATTAAACCTCACGCATCTTGTTATTTCAGTGATTTCTCTTAACAGAAGATATACCACAATTCTGAACTATTTTCCCTTTACCTTGCATGTACAAGTGTCAAATAAACCTTAAACATGGAAGCACACGGCTAAAATGTGCATGGTAAACTTGGATTAACTATACAACTGTGTAATATAGAACATGGTTTAAGTAATAGAAACTCAACAAACTGACTTTTGTGTGAGGATATAAACAAAATCAAGGCGCATATAAAATATATGTTTAGCGCTTCACCATAATTTAATTCCAACTCTTATTTAGGAACATTTTAAACAAAGTAATTAATCTAAATAACTTTAGATAACACATGAAACTTTGCTCTACTTCCTTTTTAAAATGGCCATGAGCTTTTACGAAATTCTGTCAATCACATGGTATGAAAGCACATAATTAAAGGCGTATTCTGTAGTTACATAAAGATGTAAAGGCACAATAAAAACTGCATAATAAAATTTATTTTTAAACTTTGTATGCTTTTAGAATATGATAAAGTCGTTTAAGGAAAATGAGACCACCGAGCTTTACTTCAAAACAAAGAGAGGAAAATATGTGTTAATAACATTGGTGTATCATCGAATACAGCAGTATATTTAAAGCATAACGTATTAGCGATAACTTGTTGGTTTTGTAGTATAAATCCTCCGCCTTATTTTTTTCCATTTTCTTTTACCTGTTAAACAGCTAGCTAGATAAACAAAGATTCATATATATAGCAGATCAGCTAGTAGAGAGCAAGCAATTGAGGTCAATAAAAAATTTATAAAATGTTATTAACCTTGAATTTTTTCTATATTAAAACACCAGATAAGGTTTGTGCTATATTATAACCCCTGTAAATATCACGATAAATAAAACAGTTGGCTGTACAACAGATTGTTTTATATTACAAGCGTATGTACGGTGTATAGCCTTGACATATAACCACATTATTTTTTGATATTTTATTTACGTTTAGACAGAATAAAAATAAAATACTTACATAAAAGTAACTGCCAAACAACCAGTGATATTTTTCTGGTCCCTTAGCTCCATTAAATATTTTCTTGTTTTGTCGATACTTGATGAATATTGAAACAGCATGATAAAAGATGTATGTTCCTATAATTAACAAAACTGTTTGTAGGATCACATTTAATGTTGGAAACATGTTTAATGTCTGTCAGAATATAGTTCTGATTAATTTCAACATCAAGACACGACTCATCCGTTAGCGGTGTCTCGACATAAATTAGAGACGCATATAAAATATGGAGGCTATTCGTTGCCAAATATTTGACAATACATACTTAGGTTCTACTAAATCTAATTGTCGATCCGACCGCACCGGTATTAAGCGTTTTGATTCTCTCAATTTGATAAAAATGGAAGTTGTTAACATGCAACTTACATAAATTGCAAACTGTATTTAGAAATATATAAATTTAAATGTTCGACATGTATAAATGTACACGATAGAACGTACACAACACGTTTTATGCCGCATATTATGACGTTGAGAATGTAAATGCATCAGTTAACACTCTCAGGTTAACAACACCACACTTACATTTTACGCGATTAACATTTGTAAACGATTTTGTAACTGTAATGTTCTAAATAGAACAAGACCGTTAAAGGGATTGTTTGATAACACAGGATAGTTTCTAGCTTTTAATGTTTACTGTACAAGTGTATTATAAGAACTAACTACAAGTATCAGAGGCAGAGCCTGCATGTATTATTCATAGGAGGCGGGGCTTATCATTGCTGACAGCAGCATACTACAGTTACTTCCATATATGGCATAATCAGGGTAATAGAATAAGATTAAAAGGCGGAGCCAATTTTCACGAGAGCAGAATATAAAGAGAGGCAACTCTTCCTGTACAGTTATAATGAGTACAAAAATATTTCAAATTAAATGAAACTCTTATGGAGTAGGTCTTCAGCGAACCCCTTTTTATGTATTTATCTAAATAAATTACAGCTTTAAAATCTTAAAAGCTGGTACCTTAACTTGATTTCATTCTGATTTAAAGCAGATAACTATTTTTATGTACAAGAAATACTACACAGAATTTGTATTACGTTTTGTTAGTGATGGCTTTTTCATAGTGATAAAATGAAGGTATACATAAATTGATAATCAACATACATACCTTTGGACTCATTTAAAATAATTTCTGAAAAAATATGGTAAAAATGCAAAAATATATCTACACGTACTGTATGGTAAAAATAAGAAATGAAAAGTACGAAAGGGTACATACAACTTTGGTTTTAATTTTGATATCGTTAAAAATGTTTTCTTGTCAAGTCATACGCTAGTATTAAAGTTACTAATATAATAGTAAATGCTACTTCTATAAAAGACAACAGTTAGAATTTATTCTTGTATTTTAGTATTTAGTCGTAGCAACATCTCTACCAGATGTTGGCTTGAAAATTTGAAAGTTAACTTGTAGAGTAACAGCTTCACTGTCATTCAAAGTTACTCATTCCTATGCAAATTGGAATCCACTCAGTAAAATTTATTTGTCTTTAAAAAGAGCATGTTGATTATAGTCTTAACAATAATTTTAAGTTCCTTGAAAATTGTTTATCCCCAAGCAACCCTATTAAAAGTTAGATTGAGACAGTTACCTGGTGAGTTTTAGTTTCTTTTTTCTAGGTATTGGGGTATGTACAACTTTTCAAAACTAATAGGCCTATAATAATTTAAATTCCGCTGATGTTGATTGAATAAATGCATAGAATGGCAATCATGCAAATGAATTATTTTTGGTGAATAACTGTCATGATTTGCAAACAGCTAAAATGTATGGTTAACGGAATCTACGCCGGTAATTAACGAAATAATGAACGGATAAAAACGTTTATTTACGATGATGTTGTGGGCGGGTGAATGGGCAGAGCTTATTTTATCTCTTATTGCAAAATATGAACAGCTGGATAATGTTGATTTGAATCATGATGGTTTGACAATGTAAAGCTAAGAAAGTAACTTAATTCTGTTTTGTTGGCTTGATATTGCTACTCTCAGGAAACCAGTTAATGTTTTAATTTGTCGTTTAACAAAATGTATTTTGTTGAAATTCATATTTACAAAGTTAAATCGGCAAACTCAATCCAACAATGCAACATTGGAGTTTACATACAAAGGAAATTTTGTATGTATGTATGTATGTATGTATGTATGTATGTATGTATGTATGTATGTATGTATGTATGTATGTATGTATGTATGTATGTATGTATGTATGTATGTATGTATGTATGTATGTATGTATGTATGTATGTATGTATGTATGTATGTATGTATGTATGTATGTATGTATGTATGTATGTATGTATGTATGTATGTATGTATGTATGTATGTATGTATGTATGTATGTATGTATGTATGTATGTATGTATGTATGTATGTATGTATGTATGTATGTATGTATGTATGTATGTATGTATGTATGTATGTATGTATGTATGTATGTATGTATGTATGTATGTATGTATGTATGTATGTATGTATGTATGTATGTATGTATGTATGTATGTATGTATGTATGTATGTATGTATGTATGTATGACTTATTGTATGTATGTATGCGTGCTAGTGTGCGTGTGTGTGTGTCGCAAGTTTGCTTAATGTGTCCCGCTATTATGGGACTTTTGCATAATACATGTATATTGAAACAAAATTTTGGAAATAATGGTTGTGAGCTGTAAGAAGTGCTTAAAATCAGCAAATACTGTCAAGATCATTCTTATCTTATTAATGATTTGTTTATTATTCATTCGATCCCTTTAATTGAGCAAAAATTATTCAATTTAATTTATGGAGAAGTTTGAAATGCAGAAGAATTGAAAGTGTTATAAAACACTGGCTGTAAAATTAAACAACAACAAGGATGTAACAGTTTTCTATGTAGAAACAGTTATAGATGATTTATTGTACAGAGGCATAACAAAAGAACATGGGGATTTATTACAGTCACTTTAATGATGTATGGTTATTTCAAGTAGATGAAGATGTATGTTATCTGTTTAGTGAACAAAGAGTAAAAAATGTTTTTGTCCAAAATTGGTTTTCAGAATTAAATGACTAAACTAGAGCTCGTGTATTATTTGTAGAATTTAAATTTCAGAAGTGCTTAAACTGTTTTAATGTTGAAAAGTTTCGAATTGCACTGTCTCGGCTAAGTGTTTCCTCTCACATATGTTAAATGGAATAAACTGTGCTGTACAGTATTGATGATACAAGAGCAGTCGGTAGGACAGCAGGCTCGACTATTCTAAGTGCTTGATAGTAAAAGAGCCTTGATAATGTTAAATTTAGAGCTTTGATAATATTTAATTTTTTAAGTTCACAAAAGGGCTATTTTTTTTATAAATTCATGTTATAGGCCATAGAGAGAGTCTAATTATACATATTGGCTTGACTATTCGAAAGGTAATGTCACAAGGGTGTTTTATTGAGTATAATAATACTAATTACCTATGAATACATTAAATTGACAGAAAGGGTACAAAGACTTGTTATTAAGATGTTTTATCAAGTAAATCACTGCTTTATTATTATGAATGCATAAAATTGTCCCAAAAAAAGGTACAAACCCTTCAGTAATTATGGAGATAACAGCTTACAAGCAAAACTTTACCATGAATTTCTAAGTTGAAAAAGGGGAGAAAAATCAGCCTAAATGCAAAATGAAATTATGGATCTTTGTCAGTGACCTACAATTATGACCCTAAATGCATATGTGAAGTTTTAAATAAATATCTTTAATAGCTATTGAGATATGTAAAACTTGCATGTAAACATTAACCAAGAGACTAAGTAGAAAAGGGGATATGAATCAGCCTTAATGCAGGATAGAGTTATGGAACTTGGTCAGTGACATACAATTATGACCGTCAAATTATGACCCTAATTAAGTACATGACATTGTGTAAAGTTTCAAGTAAATATCTTTGAAGACCTTTAACCAAAATTTCTAAGTTTCAAAGGGGCAAATAATTCTGCAAATATTGCAGGCAGAGTTATGCAATTTTGCAAACTGATGTCCATTGTTACTAAAAAAAAGTATTTTAAATTTTAATTGAATATCTCAAGCAATAATTGAAATATTTGACTTTATAAAAAACTTTAACCAAAATTTCTAAGTTAAAAAGAGGCATAATTCTGTCAATATTGTATGCAGAGTTATCCAGCTTGTCAATCTGATGTACCTTGTTACTATAAATAAGTATTGTAAGTTTTAATTGAATATCTCTAGCAATAATTGAGATATTTGATTTTACAAAAACTTTAAGCAACGCAGACGCCGACGCTGACGCCGACTCCGACGCCGGGCGACTACAATAGCTCTCATATTCTTCGAATAGTCGAGCTAAAAATGTAGAAATTGTTTTATTTTAAAAGATAAATTCCACATTATTTTAGAATGTTCACAATATGCTGAACTACGAATATATATATAGTGAATAACATATTGTGAATAACGTGAAATTTATCTTTTAAAATATATATATATTTATAAAAACACTGTTGGAAAAGATCAAATATACCAAATTACTTTGCACTAATGAATTCAGAAAATGAAATAGAAACTAGAAACTTATCAATTTATATCTTTATTAAAGACTTAAAGCATTCGATGTACGAAACACTACTCTTTATATATATTTAGTCAAACGCTGCAACACTGTTGGTCTAAAATAGCTTTGTAAAGTCTTTAATCAGTATTTTAGCATTCTATAAATGACAATTCCATTCATGAATGCGATAGATATAAATTGATCGAGGCTGAATTGATGGCACATTAAAGGTTTATTTGCATCACTTTATTAATTTCAGTTGACATATTTAAGTGCTCTTTGTAATTATCAACTCATCTTACACTATAATTATTTTATAATACCCAACTGATAACAAACAATACACTTTATTGGACACAAAGGAAAGTTGTTTACTTTCCAATACTTTGTTCCTTTTCTAAATTAAAACAGCCTCATTTTTGTTTTTAGTTTTATCATAGAACTTATTATACGTCAGCTCTTAAATGAACTACTCATTCAGTTACAACTTGAATGGCCTTTCAATGTTCGCTATAAGCTTCTCTACTTGTTATAGGCTTTGTAGCGAACATTATGGATCCTGATCAGACTTCGCGGATGCGCAGGCTAGTCTGGATCCATGCTGGTCGCAAACCCATAATGTTCGTTTTGTCATGGCGCGGCTCATATATTCATGAAACAATTAGATTGTGTAAATTGCAATGTTTACAACCGATAAAACGTGTTCTGTCCCAACGGATAACCAATTTGTACAAGGGTGGATCAATATGTTATGCAATATTGTCTTTCAAGGTAACAAAAGATAAAATATCATAATTTTTCTAATTCAATCCATCGAGATAATCTCCTACAGAAATACAAAGATTGAGTTGTTAAATCAATTGTTAAATGCTTCAAAATAGGCCTCCTTTGGTATACCTTTCCATGACTGAAAGATGGCCGACCCAAGTCCATTTCTACTCTTGTAGCGATGACCTTTCAGATGTGTTTTTTTAGTCTAGGAAAGAGGTAAAAATGAGTGGGTACTAAGTCTGGAAAATAAGGTGGATGCTTATGGACAGTCACTCGTTTTCTTGAAAGAAAAATCAATTGTAGTAGTGATTTATTATTCATAATTCATTTAAAATTGTAGAGGCATAGAAAACAATTCATCCATATTTATCTTTTCTTTATTTCTTCGTTTGTTCGTATACTTGTGTGTGTTTTTTTACTTTGTTTTATTTATTGTTTTTTTACCATAGAAGCGCAGTGGACGTTCTTCAAATCTAGTGAAAATTAAAAATGAAGCAATGATTGACAGTTCCTGCCAGCTGTGAATACACCCGTTTGAATGTTGTCCAATTTTTAATTGTCTTAATATTTATATTGCATATGTTTCATAGGTAGAACAAATTCAATTATAAGTCCGAATGATATAAAACTAGAGGTCATAAACATTATATAATATAACAATAAAGCAATCAAAAATGCCATTTTTCCATGTCTAAAATTTATTCAAGTCTTTCGTTTCTCAACAAACATGTACATTCCATTCTGTGTTCTCATGACAGAGGACATTTTACGTTTTACTGTATGTGATGGGTCAAGACGAAATGAAAAACTGAAATATAAAATTCAATCAAATTATATTTGTTGTAATATGTGGAAGAATTTCCTATAAAAAGTGATTATATCAATATTTTTGTTTAAAAAAAATCCAAAAAACCTTTATATTCTTTATATCAGGTGTTTAAAGTGCTATGTAACAGATGTAAAATGTCGTGCCATACTTAATTCAAGTGTAATTATTGCTATTCGGATCATTGATTCCAACACTTTTCAGCCAGTGCTAGGGGCGTGAGAAATGTAACATCTTTCAAAATCTCTCACCAACAGACTCATTAAAACCTATTTGCTTTTATTTTTCATTTCTCTCAAACGATCACCCCTTTATAGAATATAAAATATCTATCAAAGAGATGTTAAATGTTATACAAACAAAACTTTTTACTACAGGACTTCTTCTAAAAAAACTCTTTGATGATGTTTCCTATTTAAACTACATATTTAGTAAATAAACATACTTTCTAAGTAACTTTGTCAGGATAACCTTTTCTTCATTCATAGCGAATACTTGTCCGATACAGTTTCTAAAAAAATAAAAAATCAATAAAAAGATAATGATGTGTTTGCAAAAAAAAGCATAAAGGTTGTTCAACCTTCAAGGAAAAGTCACACGGATACAGTAAGGTCATGTGGCGACTTCTCAGCTTTACTGGTACAGGAAAACATTATTATCCAGGTACTAGCACCTGATAAAAACAACCTATTTTCCTTAAGCAGAAAGTTTCCTCAAATGAAAGAGGATCCAGTGAATCGAGCAGGGCTTGTACCCACAGCAGCGGAGCTTGAACTCACAGCAGTGGGACTTAAACCCACATCAGCGGGGCTTGAATCAACAGCATCGGGTCTGAACACACAGCAGCGGGGCTTGAACCCACAGCAACGTGAGTTGAACATACAGCATAGGGGCTTGAATCCACAGCAGTGGGCTTGAATCCACAGCAGCGGGGCTTGAACCCACAGTAGCGGGGCTTGAATCCACAGCAATGAGGGGCAAGTGATTCAAGTTAAGCTACCTTAATAATTCGCTCATATAGGCCCCTAAAACTTGATATAATTTCAAATAAAAATATTTTAAGTGAAAAATTAGTACTTTAAAAAAAAGTGTTGTCTTTTGGTGATATATGACAATACTAAAGATGTTAGAAAATAATTTCAGTGCTATAACAGTTGTACTTTGTTAACGTACAATTAGTAACACCTACCTTGGTCCTGCAGAGAACGGAACATATTGAAAGTGCTCAATACTGTCAACGTTTTCCTTTGAAAATCGGTCTGGCTTAAATTCCATGTGATCTGAGCCCCAGATAGTTTCCATGTGGTTTAAAACCCAAATATTTGCGATGACCGTTGTCCCTTTAGGTGCAACTCTATCACCTAGATCAAAGTCTTGAGTGATGTCTCGTGTTATAGCCGGAACCGGAGCATGTAGACGCATTCCTTCCTTAATACACATAGTAAGATATTCTAGGTGACTTAAGTCAGACCTATGAAATACAGAAATAAGTTTTATACAAATAACTTCCACTGATTGATTTTATATATCATCATCAACATGGCATTGTTTTATTATGTTAACATAAAAATATATTTATTACATACGGCCCACCTTTACAATTCAAGAAGTCATAAAATCATAGTTGTGTCATATAAAATTTATACCAATCCAGGTCATCTGTTTCCCTGCCTGCAAGTATCTCATCTATCTCCGTCTGACATTTTTGTTGACATTCAGGGTGCTCTGCCAGAGAATACAAAATCCATGATATGGCACTGGCTGTTGTGTCGTGACCTAAGAAAACATATTTATAAATTTACTGACATGTTTCATTCATTTGTTACGAAAATGTATAACAGACATCTGTATCAAGTCATTTATTTAATACAGAAGCATAAATAATATTGTGATTTACAATTTACGAATCATAATTTATATATATTTTGGTTCCAACCTACTATGCGTATATTACTTTAACTTTAATATCATGAAGGAAATTCATTAAGTTAGGATCAAGGTCACCTTCAAACAAGAAAGTATCCACTTCGTTCCGTATCTCCAGTTTTGTAAGACCCTGTCCGTCTTCGTCACGTGCTGTCAAAAGAATATCTAGGAAGTCAGTGTATCGGCTGCCTTTGGTACTATCTTGTTCATTCTGATATTAGACAAAACTAAAATAAATTTTGGCCAAAAATTGAAAAAAAATGTGTGTAAGTCCCTGGAGAACTTTATAAGAGACAGATATAAAACTTTAATTCAACTTTGTATATTCTTTTTCAATACGTTATATCTTTACGGATTGGGGCTTCAGAACTGCTGCCACCATTTGACCCTGCATGATTTGTAAGAGACGCATTTGTGCATCTCTTCGTTCTCCACGAGTGAGGTGGTTTTCACCCCTTTTGTTGCTTTAAGATTATAATACCCCAAGATAGCCATAATCATCTTTCCTGTTTCAATGCCATATGAGCTGTAGCGTAAAATTAAACAAAACAAATATTGTGATATTTAAAGCTATTCGTTATTTATCTTTAGTTAGTCAGTCAGTCAGAGTTGTACTATAGTTTAAATTACCAAAGCATCTCTCCTATTGTCAATTACTTCCTCGGCTACTGTATGAACAAATTCACAATCTTTCTTAAATTGCCGTCCGATTGAACTAAACTTCCAGATGGTATCAAAGTACATCAACGGATTGCTAGAAAAATGCAAAAATTATTGAAAAAAAATATGTAAGTTTATGAAGTTGTCTATAGGTACTTTAAATCACATCCGCATACTTAAGATTATATTTTAACTGGTAAAACTTAAATGGCTTTCGTTTTGAGAATACGACATTTTGGAAAAAAGTTTTAAACCAAAATTGGCATTATTGGTTCTTTCCTGTAAGTGAGCATCGACCTTAAGTCGTTTTGAGATCACGGACATGCACTCGAGTCTGAGTTCAGCTTTATAATACATTACAACTACGATAAAGAAGAAAGAAAAGAATAACAGAAAGGCAGTCACGCAATGTACAATATGAGTTTATAACTTACAGGAACCTGTATGTCACAGCGTCTGTTATTCTATTCACTGTGTTTACGTATTCGTTTGAATCACTGAAAATGACATTAACAAACGTAATTACAAATCAGCAAGTTTATATTCAGTATTAAAATTACAAAACTAGTTACAGGGCTTTTGATCGTAAAGAGAACAAGGATAACCATGAAATATAGGTACAATGTATAATTAAATAAATGTTAATCTGTTCGTCCTCCCCTGTTTTTCTATTTAAATTTGATTTTTAAATATTTTATTTATCTTGACGTAGGTTCACTTGTAAGACTATATTTTTTTAATTTTAAGTCGAATGTAGTAATAAAAAAGTACAATTGAGTTCCTAAACATTTGTTTATAATTTTAGCTACAAAATAGAAGAATTTATCGAATTGTTAAAAAAAAGATATCATTACCCCGCTGTTTGAACGTCTTCGCTGTATGAAAACGCACATTTTAATATAACCTCCAATGTATACATACAGACGTGCTGAAAAACTTCGAATCTTTCATTGGTTTTTGCTTGAGCTGCAAGCTTTTTCTAGAACGAAATATTGGCTTATTGAATTAGATAACTTGAGACGCATAATATAGGCTTGAATATTTCAAACATTCCTACAATATCAAAGAAACTAGAAATGTGTCCATAGGACACGGGTGCCCCGACCACGCCACTGTTCTGTCAATCTTATGACTCTAGGTCAAGTGTTTTTTGAAAACTCAAAATCTTTTACTAAGTAAAGGGCAAGAACTTTACAAATACTGAATAAATCCACAAGCAAACCTTTAAGGTGCATAAGTACACATGTTGACCAACATTCTTGTAAACTTTCAGGCCTACAAGTGAAATGCTTTTTGAGCAATGCATGGACACGTTGAAAATTGCAAATTTATACTACTGTAAGTCAAGGGCAATAACTCTAACAAAACTGAAAAAAATACACATCCAAAGTCCCAGGTGCATAGCTTCACAGTGATGTGAATCATTATTCCTGTAATTTAGTGATTTTTATCATCATTCCTGTAAAGTTCGTTGATTCTTAATCAAGTACTCAAGAAACACATAACAACATAATGAAACTGTTTTTACTTAGTCAAGGGAAATAACTTTACAAATACTGGATAAACCCACAAGCGAAACCCCAGGTGCAAAACTAAATAAGCTGAGCAACCTTCCCGTAAGGTTTAATGACTCTAGATCAAATCCTTTTTGAATAACATGCGACACAAGTTGAAAATTGCAGAAATTTTATAAGTCAAGGGCAATAACTCTAAAAATACTAAATAAATCCATGCGATAATACCCGGTGCACAATTACACATGATGATCAATATTCCTGTAAAGTTTCAAGACTCTATGTCAAATACTTTTTGAGTTATGTGCGACACAAAAGAGAACGGACGGACGGACGGACGAACGGACGGACAAGGTAAATCTAAATGTCCGCCACTAAAGTGGGGGCACAATAAAATGTAGGAAATGAATCTATGTAAAATGCCGCTTGAAAAAAGGTACACTCTGAGATATTGTAGAGAGAGTCAATTCTAACACGGCATTAATTTTACATTTCTTGAGTAAAAATAGATAGGAAAACGATGGTGTTCCTCCACCAGTGAAGCTGGAACGTCGCCATATGAACTTTAATGAGTCGGCGTGACGTAAAACCCAATTAAACAAACAAACAAAAACATATCAGCAACACCAAAATATATTGCGATATGAGTTCAAAGAATTTAATTTTTACAATTCAAAATTAACACGAATTTGGCAATGCGTGTACATTTTTGTAGTTCAGTATTGCCGCTATTCTATGTTCTGCCCGAAGGACTTTAACATTTTGTATGTTAAAATTCAAGAAACTTACAACGAACACATCTGCAGACTGGTTATATACATTCATATACGGCTTCAGTATCTCAAAATGAAAAGCGGGAGTAAGCAGACGTCTGTTTCGCGCCCATTTTTCACCGTTAGCTACAAGCAATCCATCTCCAAGCCACGGATATAAATGTCTGTAAGCTCCATCTAAACCCATCGACTTTGGTTCTGTTTCGATATAAAAATGAAATGGAAAATATAGTATCCTTGTTCATCATGACAAGACTTGTCTCAAGTTCTAAGCAAAATAAAAGTAATGACTTCTCAATAATGAGTCATATCATATATAATGTAAAGCTTTAAACTGCAAGCAATTCCATTAACGTGTATTGCATGTTGATGTAAGTTATCAAAAACACTGGCACCATTTCCCTAAAAACAGATGATTTGATTTATGGAGAATTAACAGTAAAACAAAGAGAGAAAAAGATACCCAAACGAACTTAACATTGTGATAATTAACATTGGATTTAAATTACAATGTTACACTGACACGATTTCAAACTATTATGTTTGGTTGTTATGGTTTATTTAAATTATTTTGCGTATATTATTTGCTTTCTGCACAAGTTTTCAAACAAAATATTAAATACTGACCATTGCTTTTTAACAGTTTTGCAGTAATACGTGGACAGGATGGAGCCAAAATAGGTTTACCAAGCAGTCCCCAGAATACAACATAACCTTGATCACTTCCGTATTTATTACACATTTCGATCAAATACATTGCCAGCTCATGGGAATCTGTGGGAAACTGAAAATAAAGTATGAAAGAGATTAAGTAAAAGAACTTTTAATCCTTCAAGGAATTCGCCCATTAAAAGCAAAAGATTTTTTTTCTTTTGAGCATAACCTATAGACACTGGCAAAAACACTTCTAAATGCGACAGCCATATTGACCTCCAAATACAGATTTTCTTTAATACTTGCAGAAAAAATACAGTGACTGCAATCTGCCTTATAATGCGATTGCGGGGCTGAACCACCACTTCTCTCTCTGTAAAATATGAGTTAACCGAGTCAATGGTTAATCAGTTTTACCATTCTCAAAATGTTTTGGCTACTTAAAAAACGACTTCCGTCATTTATCTATGAAGCAGAAATACGTACTATATTTATATTCTGCTTCTTAATAAAACTACACCTATAACTGTCAATAACTTTGAAAAGAATGAAATAAAATAAAAGAAAAATAAAAAAAATCGTTTGCGAAATTTCGAGCAAGTCTTCTTTAAATAATTTATCCCCTAGTACTACATCATCAGAATTATACCTGTGAAGCTAAAATGATTAAAATAACCCAAGCATCAACAAGAATTTGTAACAGCCCTAGGAAGTTTATTATCAAACACAAAATTGTAAAACATTTTTTTACATATACAAAAATATCGTATACCATCAAGTCTCAATAAAGTACTTTATTGAGACGGTATTTTTCCACATATGTGAAAATTGTTTGAAAACCAGTTTTATCGTTGTAAAAGATGTCCAATTCATGTTTAAATATTAAAATATTTTTGATATAGTGTTTACAGGGGCGTATCACATTTGGGAAAAGATCTGACCCCAAGCGTCTGTGATAATGCATTCAATGAAAGCATATTTTCAATAGCATTGTAACGTCGCATAAAGGTTCGTCCTATATTATGACCTATTAAACCTAATCTTTTAATATCATTTAGGTCAATATAAAGTAGCTGAAGTTTATTTGACAAGTTAACAAATCGTTTATATTATTGTAAAGTCATCTTGGCATTTAAACTTGTTTGCTGACATAGAAGTCCCGTTTAAACAGAACAAAAACATACTTACATAAAAGAAACTGCCAAACAACCAGTGATATTTTTCTGGACCCTTAGCTCCATTGAATATTTTCTTGTTTTGTCGATAATTGATGAATATCGAAACAGCATGATAAAAGATATATGTTCCTATAATTAACAAAACTGTTTGTAAGATCACATTTAATGTTGGAAACATGTTTATTGTTTTCAGTTTACAGTACACATTAAAACAACATTAACTCTCGTGAAACCACCAAAACTCTTCACCAAAACACGATAAATCCGCTCCCGGTATCGACCCAACGTAATCGCTGAACGCGGTTAGAAAAGGCTAAAAGTTCATATCCTATACTCTGCTATCCTAAAATAAATCAAACGCGCGTAGAAGTAGAGCGAACGCTAAAAATAACAAAATATAATTATGCTTTCTTTCGATTTAAAAGTGATCTTTAATCGTTCAATTAAACTAAAGCAGTGTTTGAAGCCTGTTAATTTATTTGATATTTTATAGGTATAAATATGAGTTTATCACATAACCGTTCGATCGGCTTTTCAGACTCCAAACAGAAATACACGGCCGTGCATATATTTTGAAGGACGTCGTCATTTATCAGTAAAAGTGGTATTACACGCTCCTTTATATATTTTGACGTGACGTTATTACGTTATACAAAACATAGTGAATAGACGTAACGCGCTTAAAGATCCTGTATGTTGTAATTGAAGTTCTATACCACACTTAAGTGAAATTATACATATGTATTTAATTATGCACATAGAACAATTTTCCAACATCAAAGAATATGTAAAATATATACTGCAAATATTCGTACATATTATATGTAGTTATTAAATTATATGCATTCATTTCTTATTGAAAAATTTGATTTAGATTTAATAGAAAATAATTAATTTATTACTTCCCTTTATTTACATGAAATATTAAATTCAGTAATATCTTTATTGGAACTTACAAAGTTGATAATTCTTAATTTGAGCATCATATTTATGATATAAAACCATAACGAATGTGTGTTACGGGATCTTTAATGTTAGCGTTACACTACAGGCACGTCAGTGAAGAAAAATGATTATTGTCTTTATTGTTGTATGTGATAAATAGAATATTATATTCATGTAGGTTCATTACTAAATATATTGCAATCCTTCAATAATATAAAGTAATAGTATGCTCGCATAAAAGTTTGCATACTATATAATTTTATCCAACTCGTTCCTTCAATAAATTTAGTATTGAACTCATGCAATATCCTCTATTTATTACGCGTTTTAAAAGACATAGTGTACAACACAGCCTCAATGATAGAGTTTCAAACAAAAAGAAGGTAATTTTAAAAAGAAAGTCTTTACTTTTACAGGTAGCTATAGGTATCTTATCTTGGAATGTGTTCAATAGAATATCACATTCGTATAGCTTCATTACTAAATGTATTCAAATTAAGGAGAAGCTAATATTATATATTTTAATTCAACTCGTTCTATTTCTTCAGAATGGAACCTACACTTATTAAATATTCTATTTAAATATTGCATTGATCGAGTGCATCATTTCATGAATACGTAAAGAAAAGTAATCATACGTTTCTTTTGTCGTTGTTGTTTTGTTTGTTGTTGTTGTTGTTGTTGTTTTTGTTTTTTTGTTGTTTTTTTTGTTTTTTGTTTTTTGTCAGTGAAACAAGATTTTCTAGAGCAGTAAAAAGTGATAAACCTTCATCTTTGAAATCGCGTACCAAGTGCACTACTCATTCTATTTACTCTTTCATCAATTGTAAAAAATGCAAGCATATATAGACTTCCATCAATTATGAGATTTTTGTGATACATTTCTGTAGCTGTTTATTATCACGTTCAAAGCCTTGGTAATGACCGTTTTTGTCACTCCGGTATGGGCGATGCATTCTGTTGTGCTGCGGCATAATATAAAGAGACCGTAGCTTTTAAGCTGTCTAATCCTTTTGTGAGCCTGTCAGAAATTGTAATGCTTTAAATTTCAGAACTAAATCCATTCCCTCTTCGTATATAAAGCACACATTAATGGTTTTGCTGCATAGTGTTTCTGACATTCAACAAAATAGCAAATATGAATATTTTAATTTGTTTCATCTTTGGGCACAACTTTATTTCTACTGCTAATTTTTTAGCTCTAAGGAGTATTTCAGTAAATAATATGGACGTAGGTAACATAAGTAATGGGGTTGAAAACAATATATTATCTTGTGCGAGGAAGTGTAAAGAAGATGACACGTGTGATGTACTTATTTACAATGAAATCGAAAAGTTATGTGGATTGAAGAAGATTCAAAATGTTTCCACTGAAGCTCAAGAAATATCCGGTACTGGGTTTGAGGTATGAGTTACAAAAACTCCTTAAACATAACAGACTTAACATTGCTTTGCAAGAAAGAGTAAACAATTGCAACAAAATTAATATTGCTTAATGCTTATACAAGTCATTAATATATAGATCATGAAATAAAATGTAATTGGTATATCATAACATAAAGAAACAGTAACATAAGCCACATTTCTGTAGAGAGTGTACCGTTTAAATTTGAATATTAGATGTTAACCAAAAGTCGTAAAGAACTTAATTTGTAGCCATTGTTAAAACTTAAACAATATGTAACACGTTTAACAATTTTCATATATTACTGAATATGTATTAACTTTATTTATATTTATGTTTTTTATGCTAAATAAATGATTAAGTTATGATTTGCACTGAATAATAGTGATTTTTACCCTCCCGTGTAACCTGGCAGATCAGTAAAAATGTTCAACTTCTCGTATCTCAAGATATGAGCCGCGCCAAAACAAAACCAACATAATGGGTTTGCGACAAGCATGGATCCAGACGAGCCTGCGCATCCGCGCAGTCTGATCAGGATCCATTCAGTTCGCTGTCGGTTTCTCTACTTGTAATAGAGTTGGTTAGCGAACAGCATGGATCCTGATCAGACTGCGCGGATGCGCAGGCTGGTCTGGATCCATGCTGGTCGCAAACTCATTATGTTGGTTTTGTCGTGACGCGGCTCAATTATGTTTATAATATTTCAGGTGATAAGCCAGTTACAAAAATCATGCGGTATGTACTAGAAATTATCAACTTTTATTCAAACTACTTCTCACCCAAGTAAAACATGTTATTTTTCTATTGGCTAATTCATTCTGATACTAAAAAGACAGTTAATCAAACCATTTCATGGGTATTCAAAATGATTTTGTAAACCAAATTTGTTCTTTTTGATATATCTTTATCATGTTAAAGTAAACTTGAGGAGTAAAAATCTAGAACTCATTGACGGTTAAAACAATCATCCAATTTCAGTTATATTCTCTGCAACACACTATCAATAACTTCGTAGTGAAAGGTTAAGTCCTTAATTTTCCTTTCAGGGACGTGGCAACACCTTCTTACTGTCGACAACAATGGATACATTTTATTTGGAAATTTTGAAAGCTTAAAGACAAGAGTTTTAAACGGGGCAAAATTAAAAGTTATTGCAAAACGAGGCGATATTATACTTGCCTTTGAGATCAACACTGTGCTTAGCAATGATCAAGTGATATGTGCCCAATCAATGATGTATCTTACTTTCGTGGGAAAATGGACATCGTATTTTATGTGTACCAATGGTCGGGTTTATACTGTTAAATTTGTCATGAACAACACAGAAAGTGAATCTTTACCGGAACTGAAGGATATAAAGAATATAGATTGGTTTGTGTTAGACAATGTCTGCCAACGAGAAATGTTAAATGAAACTAGTAAGCCGCACATGAGATTTCACGATCGGCACGTACCTTCAATCACTGTTTTACAATTCAATGCTCTTTTTGCGAAAGTAAATTATCAAACATTCCTGGACGTAGCTGAAAACTATATTGAGGTCAATGCCTATGGAGAGATATCATCAACTTGTATAAATGGAGAATTTGAACTTGACAAAGATTTTGCTTGGAAAAGTTCTAAATATTACTTCTCACATGCTGTTAATGAACTGAGATGTTCAATAAATAGACATATACCATGTACATACAGTGAACATAGAGTGCACCAAAATATGTTTATAAATGAAAACTGGGAAGAGGCATTTGTAACAACCCTTTCGGGAGATGTAGAATTCGGGAACTTTGATCATTTAAGGACAAAAATTTTGCAAGGCATAATGTGAAAATTTATTTTAGTGGCAAATATAGAGAACCAGACATTGTTTTCGTTGACAAAAAAGATGTAATTGCATTGTTTTCAGCATATCGACAACGACATTTGGCACAAATCAGTCTTCTGTTTATTGGTATTTGGTGTCCTCCTCCGGACGATTCGAACAAGTCGTAATGGATTATCTCACAGGCAATGTCACAAATCACTCCGTGGACTCAATCGCAGTATCATGGTTTACTGACAAGGCAATTTGGACTGATGTCCATCATGTAGACAGTAAATCACCGCAAAGATTGAAAGCTTCGATCATGGCTGGTTCCCCTATACGTATTAAGTCAAAATGTTTGTATAGCAACGGGAATTATACGATGGTATATTGTCTTTATGCTGCAGTGAACCTTTACTGGAGTAACAATAAAACTGTATATGCTCGATCAAACTTAATACCTTACCCTGCTGTAGACATGTCTGAAGTACATCTTACACATCATGAACGCCCAGTGTGGATGCACTTGACCACGCATTCAAATAAAATGATACGGATACGAAAATTGATGTATAGAAGTCCATATTTCGAGGATGACATAATAGAAAACCGTCAGGACACGTCATGGTATGCCAACCAGGGATTATACGGGTAATACGCATACATATATTGCATTTATATCGGATATATAAACGCCTTGTATGATAACACAATAAGACGATGTTCGCGGTAATAACAGTATTAGAAAAAAAAGACAGATTTCATGAAAATGAAAACGATTTCATATTTGTCAGTAATTCCGTTTTGTTTCAATGAATCTTCAGCTGTTTTTTTTATTATTTGTTGTTGCTGTTGTTGTTGTTGTTGTTTTGATATCCAAGTTTCAATGGTAATTCGTATTACAAGGAACAATTTTGGAACATGAACTACCGGTATAATATATTAATAATGCATATTGATCGTTGACATAAATTAAGAAATAATTGTGTCTCTTTATGCTTCAAATGTATATATTAATTAATTATTTATTCTATGGTGTTTTGATTTGTGTTCTGTTTATAACCCCTTTACAAGAAGATAAGATTGTCTTTCCATTTGTGGAAAATGTAAATAAAAATGTTTTGCAACAAAGCAAGATATCTTATTTTGGTCCTGAAGTGTACAGCTGATGAATGTGATGCTTTTTATTAGCTCAGGGTGAGCTGTTAGGATCATTGAGTGCCCGTTGTCCGTCAACACTTGTTCGTTTACCTTAGCGGTCACCTTTTTGCCTCAATCATCATCAAACTTTGACAGGATGCTTGTCTTGTTAATAGTCGAGTGAGTTTGAATAGGGGTGAAATATGTCGGATGAAAAACTAGGTCACAGGAGGCTAAAATAAAAAAAACAAAAGAAAAAAATTTTTTTTTTTTTTTTTTTGTAAAAAAAAAAAAAACGCTCTATTTTGTCACATTTTTGAAAAAAATTTTCAATTTTGTAAAAAAAAAAAATTTCAACTTGAAAAAAAGGGGGAAAAAAATTGCTTGAAAACCTTTTTTTTAAAAAAAAGAAAAATTTTTTAAAAAAAAAATTTTAAAAATTTTGCTCAAAAAATTTTTTAAAAAAAAAAAATTTTTTTAAAATTTTTGGGTAAAAATTTTTTTAAAAAAAAAAATTTGAAAAAAATTTTTTTTTTTTTTTTTGAAACCCTAAAAAAAAATAAATTTCAAAAACCCAAATTAATTTTCCCCGAAAAATCGTTCCCATGAAAAAAATAAAAAAGGTCATTCTCTGTATATCATGCGTCTTATTCAAAGTATGCTTTGCAGCCGAATAAAACATCGGATCCGGGGAATCAACTTAATAATAAAGGATATTAATGTGTGTTATAATGATAACTGTTCAACATAACATGCTAACCCAACCCTGGGATAGTAGTACGTTTAGTTTGGTAAAAGATATTGAAGTACTGATATTATCATTTACACTTATTTCAATCTTTGATTAAGTTATTTTTTCTGTCACTCCATAAAGATGGTGACATTGGAGAAAATTTTCCACTGCAAAAATATCCCAAAATATTGAGAGATATTGAAAGTACTGAGAATCTGTCAGCTGAGAGCAAACTTTATTGGTCATGTTCTGGTTTTATTTATATATTAAAACCCTTGCTTTGTCAAAATTAAATCATTTGATTTTGTGTATTCTTAACCCATCATTAGCAAAAGTAAATATTATCCAGCAATTTTTTTTCTCGATTTTCTGTGGAGTGAATATAGAGATAAGTTTAAAAGAAATATTAAACCAAGTTTGGAGGGCTTAAGATGGTTGATGTTTTTTGTTTAGTTAAACAGCAACATGGTTAAGAAGACTGTTGACTGTTGACTGTTAAGATCATGTAACACATTTTTTTCATGGTTTTATTTCATAAATATGATGCTCAAATTAAGATTCGTCAATATTGTTAGTTCCAATAAGCATTATTTATAAAGATATTACCCAATTTAACTTTTTCATGTAAATAAAGGGAAGTAATTAGAAATTTATTTTCTATAAATTCTAAGTCAAATTTTCCAATACGAAATGAATGCATGTAATTTATTGATGAAATTTAATGTGCATAAATATTTGCAGTACACATTTTACATATTCTTCGATGTTTGAAAATTGTTTTATTTGCATAATTGTATACATATATACTGTTTTACAAGTGTGGTATACACACAATAACAATATCAATCACAAAACATACAGGATCTTTTATTGTAATTTTTTACATATTGTTAAAAGTGCATGCCCTTTTTTAAAATAATATCTATAAGTATGGTACAAGAATACAATTACATCAAGATTGAAATCCTTTTTGGAAAGATGTCCTTTACAGTTATTATTTAATTTCTTCAAATGTAGAAGTGAATTCTTGTAAACAAAGTTACTTTAATGCTGGGATTGTGTCAATTTATGACACAACCCCTGCATTAAAGTAGCAGGATCTAGTCTTTGTTATAACCGATGGGTATCGAGGGGAGTTATATTTTCTGGGACCTTATCAATCAAGAAAGTGAATAAACCTGGCAAAATTTTATATTGAAGAACAAAAACTGACTAAAATAAAGGCAAAACAAGGCAAAATTTACCATTGACGAAACTTTTTTTTCGTCCTGAATATTTATTTTACTTCGGATGGCAAAAATTCTAAAACACAAGAACCATCTGTTTACTTTTAAATAATCTGTTCCTCTTTTAAGTTAAAACCAATCATTTTCGAATTTTAACATGGCATAATACGCCTATTCTCAATAGAGCACTCTTTAAACTTTTAAATGTATTCAACATTTTGAATAGCGTTACTCGGATGTATTTGGGATACATTTGAATTCGAGGAATAGTGATATTTGCTACCGGTAAAATGTTTCCTGTTTCGATGAGAACCCCATTTATAAAAGTGTAAATTAAATAACCATTGAATATTTAGATTTAAAGAATCCATAAAGGAGAATGGAACTGCATGAAAAACATATAGTTTAATCAAAAACAAATAATGTTAATGACGTCCACAAAAAAATATTTACAATTCCACAGGCTTTAGAATATTATTCAAGCAATTGCAAGTCGAAATCGATTTTTCTTTCTTGTTCGTATACTTTTTATATTTACTTTTTATCCAATGAAAACTGAGCTAATGTGTACCTACTCAGAAATAATACATAATAATACCTTATTTCAAAACTATTGAAAAAAATTATCGGGGGCATCACATGAGTATGAATTTTGATTTATGTTTTAAATATTATCGATCAGTACAGTTTGAACAGATTTTTAATCATCTTGTATGTAATTTGTAGGGCTGGAAATCACGAACGAGATACACCATATTGACATTCTTGCAATTTATCAGGACGCGTTAAAATCAGTAGTAAGCTATACCTTATGCTTCTGTCTGTCAACAAAACTGGCGGGAAATATCGGGCACATTTGATCATTACAAAATCTCATTCCGATCCAAATCTACCATTAGTGCTTTCAAGGTACAACGATTTAAGTTCATTTGGTATGTACCCAAGTCAAGTGTGTGGGTAAGAAAAGAAAAGCACCAAAACAGGGCAAAATTATTTTTAAGGGGGCTACCCCCAGTTTAACAGATTCCCGGGTTTTTGATTTTTTCCTTTTGTACAAGGAAACTAAAAAAACGCCCTTTTTTCCAATATGAAAAGCAAAATGAAAAAAATGAAGAAATCTAATATACAAATTCATTTTCTTTTCCCCTTAAATTTGTATAACCTTTTTTATTTCTTTTTTCCCAAAAAAACGAGTAAAATTTCCACTTTGAATAAAACAATTAATTAAATTACCTTTTTCAAAAAACATTAAAAAAATTAAAGGGGGCTAAAATGAAATATGAAAAATTTTATTTATTTTTAAAATTTTCCCCTAGTTTTTCAGTTTTCCCCGTTTTTTTTTCTCTTTTTTTAAAAAGTTAAAATTTGTTTTTTTTCCTTGGGAAAAAAAACCCCCAAAAATTAAACCAATATTTAACGAAATTTTCCGGTTAAAATTTTTGCTTTCCTTTCTTTTGCCGTTTAAAAAAATGGGGGAAATACCGGAAAATTTTACATTTAAAAATTGGGCCCCTTCCTATCCAAAATCCCATTTAAGGCCCTTTCAAATAAACGTTTAACCCGGCCCTTTTTTAAAAGAAAGGTTCCAAATTTCTGCAAACTTTGATAAAATTTCTAAACTGTTTTCATAGCAGTTGTGTACAAATATCAGTTTTTATTTGGGGGAAGGTGGTTTAATAAACCTTAAAAAAAACAAGGACTGTTACAGATTTCGCCCTTTTAGCTTTATGGCAATTAAACAAAGTGATTGGTTTGCCAAGGGAAAGTAATAAACAAAAGCATGACAATTTTTCTCCCTACACGGTTTTTCAAAAGGTTCGGACAAATTTTTAAAAATATTTAGGAGTAATATTTTATTTTACTAGTAAATGTATTATTTTAAAACAAATTCATTTTGGGTTAGTTCCTCGCATTTCTGAAAGTATAGAAAAAATGTTAATGTGCCGTTATAGAAATGAAACTATTGTTAATGTGCCGTTAAAGAAATAATGAGTGTATAAACAAAAGAACAAAGTATGTACAAAAAGGTACTTTCAAACTAGTTTCGAAGTCTTTAAAAACTTCACATAAGATTAATTTTAGATGGCAAAAGACCCCTTATTTTTTATTTCCGTGACCAATTTACGGAGCAAACAATATCTTTGTCTAAAATACCCAGTCAATTAAATTTCAAACCAGACATGTAGGGTCATAAATTCTTCATCGGGAATATATGAAAAACAATATTTGATTATTTAACTTGAAATATACTGGTCATTGCTGTAAGTGAAACACATGGTCATGGTTGTCGACAAAGCGGTTTTGACGATAGTTCATAACATATAGTGAAAAAAGCAGTCGTAATCTTTAGATAATCCGTACGCATCAAATTAACTTGCTTCCATCTCAACACTTCTATTTATGGTTTGTGAAATAATCATTACAGTTTTGTTAGGCTGGCTAAGGAAAATATTCCGGATTTATGTTATACCAAATAAAAAGAAAATATCACCAAAAATATTTAACATAAGTTGACAAAGCCTATTGGTTGAATGCCTTTTACGAGGTTTTTTTTTCTGTTTGGTGCCTTCGGGGGTTCCTTAACATTGGTGTGTCGGGGGGGGGGGGGGGCTGCTCCTGTGAACGTTGCCCTTTTTTTTGTTGTCTTTATTCCTTTTTTTATTTACCAGTATAATGGATTTCACGGGAAATATTTCTAAAAAGTTAACATATTACAAAGTTTTGACGACACTTCTTGTGGACCAATACTTGGGTTGCTTTATAAAGGAACATTAGGTAGGGAATTGGTTTGCGTTTTAGATAATATCACGTGATAAAATTAAATCTGTATACACAATACACAGTATGAATTGAATAGTGGTTTGTATGGTGCTCTGTGATTCTCTTTTCCCTTCCATTTAAATACCATATTATTGATATGTATATCATGATCCGAGGTTTTACCTTGTATAATTTGTTTTAGGAGTATGTGGGTTAAATTATGATTTGTGATAACGCATCGTTTTCGGATTGTGTATTGTATTTTTGTATTGGTTACACATTTATTTTTTTGTTGCGTATAATTTTTTTTCTCATTAAATGTTTGTCGTGCTACCGACGGTTCAAATGCTATCTTTTTACATTAAATTCTATCAAATATGACATTCTTTCTTGATTGTTTCAGTGTAGTTGTCCATATCTGCCAAGTCGTCTATTATGATTTCTTGTATTTCGTACATATCTATAACCACAAAATCCTATAAATAATACCACCATTCCTATACCAACACCGCCAATGAAAGACCCTGCGTCAAATGCGTGCTTATTTTCATTCATATGTGAAGCAGTTGTAGTCTTTGAAGTTACAGTACTCATTTTAGAACTTGGTTTCGTAGAACTTAGTTTCGTAGAACTTGGTTTCGTAGAACTTGGTTTCGTAGAACTTGGTTTTGTAGAACTTAATTTAGAAGAACTTGATGTATATGATGAAACAGATGTTTCTAAAGAGTTGGGTGTACTTTCAGAAATAATAGTAACATTTGTTGTCACAATAGAAGAACTTTCAGGTTCAGGTGCTTGTGATGAAAATGATGAATTCTGTTGTGAGCTTGTTGTCGGTATAGAAGGTCGTGATGTTTCGCCTGTATTTGAAGATTCTGTTGTTTCTTGGGATGATGGGGCAGACGTTGAAATGCTGGGTTGGTGTGGTGTTGGCAGTGTATCTATCGATGTTTTTGCCGGCTTTAACGAAGTCGTAATGACTGTTGTATTCCCAGCATTAGTTGGCACAGCTTTAAAATACAAAGGATATAAATACAATATGACAGTAAAGATAAGTAAAGGCGAGTAACTAGTCCAACTAATTTTACAGCGCGATGTGATATTGTGCTATTTTGTGTTTGTGCAATATCTCCGTTCTAGATTCTGACCCATTAGCAAACATATTTTAGAATCTTGCTTTGGCACGTCAATATATTTTGACTAGAGAACAACCGGAACGTAACCAAAATATCCAGCGTCACGAGACCACCAGATAAGCACCGAACAGGACCAAGTTTCATTTTGTTATTTTTTGCCATTTCCATGTTGTTTTAAACCAACAAGTCGAAAATTTCATTGTTGAATTGTATTATTATCAGGCAAAACATACCTTTTCTTAGCTATTTCATTCTTTACCCAATGATCAGTGGTTCAATAAGCAATATAGTGTAAATTCAATTTGTATTTTGTAGTTTAAACAGTATTTTATTGCATTCTTTTAAAACAAAACGACACATGAAACGGTATCGATGAATAATATTTGATATCCATTTCGGTTACGTTTCTATTAATACATTTTTCGGGAAAAATAGTTTTTAGTTGATATATTAAGTTCAAATATGAGATTGATACCAGATTTTTTAGTGGAGCAATGCATCGTATACTTGGCACATCGCTGACATTTCTATAGTTCGTTATTTTAAATGATTTACAACTTCTATATAATGTAAGAACAAATAACCCTGTATTGCTATAATAAACAAGGACAAATAAACTAGATATATATTGTATATAGATATATATGTAAAATGTACTTACCTAAAAGGTATCCGAAGATAAAGAGTAGGTATATTGCTTGTTTCATATCGAATAATTGGAAGTTCTATATATTCTACGTATAATACATTTGATGTGTCACTATAACTTACAATGTAGTCTACAAAATATTTTTTAACCACGTATGTTTAATAGTTTAACTAGCAACTCAAATATTATCGGTGGTTTTATTTTATCATCATATGATAACGATTGCTGATATGAACAGATACGTTAGCAAATTTCATTACCAATTTGGTATATAGATCAATATATGAGCCGCGTCATGACAAAACCAACATAATGGGTTTGCGACCAGCATGGATCCAGACCAGCCTGCGCATCCGCGCAGTCTGATCAGGATCCATGCTGTTCGCTTACAGACCCTATAACAAGTAGAGAAACTGATAGCGAACAGCATGGATCCTGATCAGACTGCGCGGATGCGCAGGCTGGTCTGGATCCATGCTGGTCGCAAACCCATTATGTTGGTTTTGTCATGACGCGGCTCATATAACATTTTTACTGTCATTACATTTTCGTGAAAACTTCCGTGATGATCATCCAGCAAGTCACTATGAGTTTGGCGTTGATGTCAGCATAGCTATAATGCGGCACGGAGTTCGTGTGCCAAAAGAAATACATTTACATACATGTATAGACAAAAAGGGCGCAATCCTGAGTTTACAATGATAAATGATGATAAATGATCAAAACTATATGACCGGGTTGAGTATGGGGTTATATGAATATACCATATTTTCCGTTTACACCAAGGGTTGTGCTGTCGCCGAATAACAGTCACTAAGTGCAACAATCCATAATACCCTTAGTACCAACATATAGTTTGTAAACATTCGCATGCTACTTCATCACCTGCGTTTATATGTAGTTCAAAGGCCTAATATGCCTTAAATGGTTTTATTTTTATTTATAAAATGTGTTATCATTTGTTTCCAAATAGGTTACTCATTGTCAGATTCCCTGACCATCTTTTGATTTTGTTGCTTTTTGGCAATTAGTATAGATATAGTGATTTAGAATGTTATATGAAAGGTAAAATACCACTTTGTTTACATGTTGTTTAGTTTAATGACAAATAATTATTCATATTTCCGCTTTATTTGCTGCACTTGATAAGCATTTATTAAAGGGTATAAATCTATATCTTATGAAATATTTTTTATACATTTTGTTAACAGTAAAAATTATTTTGGTTTCATTATTATATGGTTGATTCCCGAAAAAGTTGTAACATTGAATGTCTCTGTTATTTAACACACTAAAAATTGTACGTAAACTGAATAAAATGTTCCGGAACAAAATATGATTTGCTATTTTAAGTAGGGTTTTATCCGCTTAAGCAATGATTTTGTGCATGCGTCATTCGCTTTTAAGGCAATTATCTACCATGTTCATACAGGCATTTTGGAAGTATACTTTCTTTTTTAAATTGAAACAATAATTTTTGCAGCAGATACTCGTATATAGCTTTATACACTTAATAATCATAAATTTCACGTTATAAAACTCGTTTGTGACTAATCTAAAGCAGGAAAAATGTATTCCTGTCTTGGGCAGAAACTGTGAGGTCTTAGACGATATCTCTCTGGTGCTCCCTTTTATCATGGTGCTTTTGTAGCAGTCGAACGTTAAATTTATACGTGCTGAAAATTACATAGAGACAAATTTATATTTGCCTATATTTTCACATTTACTTATCATGACTAATACACATTTTTATAGAGAAACGTTTGCTATACTGATCTATGACACTATATTCAAACGATCTTTTGCAATAAATAAGGTAGATTTTATGTAAAGAAATAAGGCCCGTGTCGCTTTAGTTTCCTTTATTTTCATAATCTTAAACATGCAGTTGAATAACGAATACGCATAGCTTGGTAATAATAGAAGAGTAAACGAATTAATGTAACATGATCATTTCAGGAAATTAAATAATGAAACAGATTTCTTTTCCATTTAACTTTTGTGATAAAGAAATAATCTTCTCTACGATAGAATTCTGATAAATTCCTTACTGTTCACATACAATGTCACAGTTTCTGCAGAATTCTTTTTATAACAGACTTAAGGCAATACAACCATCTAACACCCGTGCTCATATCGTCACGTGTCAGGAAAACTTCCACTTGTTATGTTAAGGTCAAACTGAACAACATAACAATTTATCTAATCATTTCTATTTAAATTGAAAGTTTCGAAAATACTTAGTAATAATGCTTAGTAATAATAATATGTAGATGTTTAAACAGATAGTCTGTAGAGGATTTTTACATTTGCTAAGGTGTAAAATTGCAGAGGTCTTTTATGACCACAGTGTTTTGTGCCCATGAACATGTTGATTAGTCTCTTGTTTTGTCGGTTGTTCAATTTTACTTAAATACTTTATTATCACATTCTCTCAATAAAAATAATCTGAAGGAGTACACGTTCTGTTTACAAATATTTGTGGAAATTATCTGGACATTTCTTTATCATCATTGACACTATATTGACGCATATTCTCCTTTCTTCCTTTTGCAGCAGATGAACACTGACAGTATGATTAATGCGGCAACACCGAAGCCAAGAATGATACCGCCAACGAATGACAATGCGTCGAATTTTCTGTGACTTTGGTGAGGTTTCGCAGTTGGTTTGTGTGTTGGTTTTACAGTTGTTGTGTTAGTTGGCGTTGTGGTTCGCGTCTTTGGTGTTGTCAGCCCAGTTGATATGGTGGTAATGTTGCTAGGCTGTGTCGTGATTGTACTCGAGTTTGTTGTTAGCGTACTTGGCTTGGTTGTAGTATTGTGATGTGATGTTGTGACTTTACTCGTTGTTGTCGTTATGTTGCTAGGCATGGTTGTAGTATTGGGGTGAGGTGATGTTGTCATTTTACTCGGCGTTGTCGTAATGTTGCTGGGCTGAGTTGTAGTACTGAGGGGTGATGTCGTTTTACTCGGCGTTGTCGTTATGTTGCTAGGCATGTTTGTAGTACTGAGAGGTGATGTCGATTTACTCGGCGTTGTCGTAATGTTGCTGGGCATTGTTGTGATATTTCCTGACGTTGATGTTGTTTGAATGGATGTGCCATTACCTTCATTAATGTTGACGTTGGCAAACACCAGGAAAATATGTGTAACAACCAGTAACACAGTCGAAAGGCCGAAAGGAAACATATTGTGTATGCGCGTCGTCTAAAATACCTGCAATGTATGACAATATTGTATGTTCTCGGCTAATTGCTGATATAGTTGAACAACATACATTTGAATGTAATGTTTAATTAACAGAGATATGCAATGTATCTAGTATTCAAATGTCAGGAAAGAAATAAGTGTATGGTTAAATAATGCCATGTTTTATTATCATCTTTTTTAAATTTTCATTATCATTAGTCATTTACTTATTTATTTATTTATTTATTTTCTTGGGTTTTACGTCGCACCAACACTGTAAATGTTATATGGCAGCTTTCTAGCTCTACTAATTATTAATATCAGGCCCTAACTAGCACCTGAGTAGAACCACTGACCTTCCGTACGCTATCACGTAAAAGAATTCAAAGTTCCTGACTGGTTCGAACTCACGTCTGTGAGAGGCTAGTGGTTTTAAGTCAACAGCATTAACCAACCCGGCCATGTACGCCCGAAACACACATTTCAAAATATACGAACACGTATAAACCCACATATTAGTAATAGTTAACAGCATTTTAGTTTAATAGTTAATTTCTAGTTCAACATTTTCAATTTTAATTTTAGATACTTTTCTAATTATAAAATAATATTTAATTAAACTTACCAGATTTCCGTCAACTGATCAGTCCAAGTAGCTGTAAAATAATGTTGAGAAAAAAAGAAAAGAAATGGTATGAAACCGGACCTTAAGTAGTTTATATTGTCCTTGCTAGTGTATTCAAATTTTACAAATACAAATCAGTAAGAAACAGGTTGTGTTTATTTCCTGTTTCATTCACGAGGACACAATCCGGAGTAAATCGATTATCTAGAGTTTGCATCAAAGTACTTTTATATACATGTTTAATAATTATTAATTGTTTAATGATATAGATCTGTTTGTTGACATTGTGAATAAATCATTTTGAGCCGGACTAGCTCGACTTTTCGAAGAATAGAATGAGCTATTGTAATCCCCCACCAAATTCTTTTATATATAAGAAATCACTCTCTTGCGAGCCAATACAATGCAATGGGAATCCTGTCTTGCAATTACAAATACGTTTCAATTCCGAACTCTGTACATCTCTTGGGAGTCTATCTGTTTTAAATTGAACCTTTTTGTTATAACAGGAAGTATACTTGTTTATATACGGGTTAATTGTTTGCCTGCAAATTGGTATCTGAAAGAAATGGGTTGAAACTTTACACACTTGTTCTCGGTGATAATCTAACATGGTGGCCCCACCGTGGGCACAAGTCCCACGTGCACAACTCTGTGTTGCCTTTAAACAGAGTCATACTGTCTATCACTGAGGAGTCTTGCGGACGGCTCTTGTTTTTCCTTTCTTTCTTTCTTTCTTTTTTGTATTTAGTAAGATAATAAAGCTTAACAACTCTCCCACACTCCGGCCCACACATGGTTTGAACGTTTCTGGAATAAAGCAATGGAAGAAGAAGAAAAACACTGCAACTTTATACTTCTACACTAGATTGTATTAAATAACGGTCTTTTTTGTTTTTGCACTTTCAGCTTGCTTTGACTTTAAACCGCAGCAACGTTTATTTATAAGGTGTGCTGCAAGATTTCCTGTATTTTTTTATAAAACGGTAAACCCTTTTCAAAAATAATTGATGTACGTATTTTGCTTTTTATTCTAATTTAACAGCTACATTTTCAGAAATAAATATGAAAATATACATCGATAATAATCATTTGTGAAATACTGACTAATTATATGAAAATTTTGTATCTTTTTAGATACCAGAACCTTGTGTGAGTCAGAAGCTATATATACATAATTTCAGTAACATGCCTACTTTTCTTACATAATCAGGTCTTTTTATTCGCTGCGTACATGACTTCCAACTTTCTGACATACAGTCATAGATTTCCAAGATACGTGAAATATCATTTAGCAAGCACAACAAAATGTGACCTCCTCGGCCATGAGATAATGTGTTATTCATATAAGCCGTAGTCTTATTACTATAAATTCTTAAAACATGGGTAAGGTTGTTTTTACACAGGTAGCCAGTTAAGTTTGACACACTGATATCTGCCAAAACTGATCTAGGAGCCATATATAAGAATAATTCATTAAGTTTATTTTGGGTTACATGTAACATATCTATCACAACCACTCGTCAGGTCACTGATTTATGTAATATAAATCCGTGGTCAGGTGAACATTTCTTTACTTCAAGAACGTTTCAGCTTTAGTTTCATAATCGTTTTTTACTTTTGCACATGCATTTCCGTGGCTCTATCCGGGAAGACGAATAAATGAACATTGTTTTTCATTTTAATTTAATGAGTAGCTATCTTATTTCAAATCAGGCTCTAATGTGTTAGTACTTGAGTACTGAGATGTTAAAAACTTATAGTATATCTAGTTAGGTTACCCCCGTCACGAGTATGTCATGTAAACAGTATATATATATCTAAAATAAACATACAAAAGTCTAATAATTTTTGTTCTAAATTTTAGTTACTTTATTTCTTTTGAACGATTACAGATGTTATTATAGATATACAGGTGAACAGGACATTATTTATATGTTGACTATTATGTTTTTCGAAACCGGAAGTACTGTCGTATAGTACGCATTTCCTCAATTAAAACCCGTGGGTCAATTAGGTGGACAGCTCGTCCGGTCACATAGTAAACATACAAAACAACAATAGTACTTTCCGCCTGATAAAGATCTTAAATTACTAAAATGTGGATAAAACATTTTATTAGCGGTAATTTCGGTGTCGTTTTTAATGTTAGTTTGGCACTCACTTAATTAATTTTGGTACGCAGTTATAACTTACTCTTTAAATTGTTTAACTTGGAAACTTTGATTATAAATAAATGTTGAACTTACTGTAAATGCATATTCTAGTAAACAATAATTAAACTGAATGACATTTGAATATACACTGTGTTGACTTATTGTATTTGAGTTTTTTCAGATAACCCGGTTACAATACAGTACAAGCTGTATTTGCGGTATGCCAGAAATACTTTTCAATCATAATGACCGAAATTGACTTCCTTTTCCGTAAGGTGTCAAATAGAGGGAGACCGGGACAAAGAGAATAGACGGAGTTGGGGGGGGGGGGCGGGTAAATGCTCGCTGAAAATTATTTAGTACGTCGCTCATTATGCAAAATTTTAGTCACCCTAAATTTTAAGATATTTGATTGCCAGGGGAACGATAGCTACTTTCGGACAGTTACAGGAAGAAAATTTTACCGTATATCGTGTATTTTGTTGCAGCTGAAAGTATTTTTATAGGATTTAAATATTATTAAAACAAGAAATTATTTAGTTAAATCCTAAATATAGGTTATCATATAATATGAAACGTGCATGTATGCGAACTAACACGATGCCCATATCATGTGACTTTTGTGATCTGCATCCAATAGTAAAGTCAGTCCTCAAACTTAAAAAAAAATGTGTTCAACTGAATGAATTTAAATATTCTTTCTCAAATATCTAGTATAATTTTTTCAAGTTATTTGTTTGTTAAGTACAATTATCACTAAGCGAAGTACTTCAAATGTCTGTTACACTTAAATATGAAATACACAAATATCGAATGAATTTGTACAAAAACACTCACAGTCTGAGAATTTCATACACTACAAGAGTGTGGTTTACAATAACATTACAACCTCTTTGGAAGTCAATTTCTTCACATTATTCCGTTCATAATATTTTTTTTCAGAGCACGGTCCCTTTTTTGACTTTTTATATTCTTTTTGGCTTTTTTTCTCCAACAATGCCCTCTAAGCTTGTAAGTAATTTGTGACTTGTTGGCTTAGAGCGACGCTTTTCTACAGACTCTGAACGTTTTCAACTTGTGGTGGAAGAAAAAGGTCGTCTACAGAAATTCCCCCTTCTTTAGGAATAATATCCATGACAACGTCATCGCCGGTAGCAAGCAGACTCATTAACTGACCAAGTTCATTTTTGTCTAAATTTGGAGCAAGTGAGTTATCAACTTGTTCCAATAAGATACTATCAGAAGAAAACGAATGAGACACCGTGAGTAATAGACAGTGTGACTTCTTCAAGGGATTCTTTCATTGGAGCCGGCATAATCACTTCCTCATTAGAGATATTGCCTAGAGTTAAAACAGGCTCTAGTGGGATGACAACTGGTACGTAGGATTTATATTCCAAAACTATGACAGGTTTGAGGGAACTAACAACTTGTTCGGACATATTTTTCGATAAAATACAGACGCAGGGGACTAAGAATGTCTCCAGAGAACTGAAATAGGTCGAGTGCTGGGAAGATCAGTTAGCTTACTTGGACAGAAAGCCCATGTTGGCACTGCGCGTCTATTGAGAGGTATCATACCATAGGCTCTTAAACCATTTTGGACATTCGTTGATGACACAGCTTTCTCCCAAGCAAGTGAGAAAAGAGCAGGTCAACTACATGAAGAACATTTTGCTGCAAAAATAGAAGAACATGCATCAGTGTACGCCTTTTTCAACGGTCCAAAGACTGTGCGATCTAAGGGTTGTAGAAAATGGGTACAATGTGGTGGTAAACTCATGAGGGCAATATCCTCTCCAATAGCACGCTCTATTATAGCCAAACTCTCATGCGATCAATGGCCATCCATTATTATACTGCGGGCGGTCAGGACCACAGTGTTTAAGAAAGACTGTGTCAAACCACTCTTCAGCAATGTCATCTGTTATCCATCCTTTCTGTTGAAATGTCCAGACAGATTTGTCAAGGGTTCCAAGTGTATTGAATCCCAACAAAGACCGTTTGGTTTTGCCTTTGGTGATAAACATGGGAGGCATGTGATCACCTGCACCGTTAACGCAAGCCATCAACGTAATATTCGATGACTTGTTGCTGGTCCTGCTCACGACATATTTCTCTACTCTTCCAGCGTAGACCTTGACTGGATTACATGTATGTTCCATATTAAATCCGGATTCATCACACTTCCAGATGTATTGCGACTTGTACTGCAGATTATTTGCAGTAACAACTGACTAGTGTGTCAGAGTACTTTCCCAGCACTTCTGGATTTAACATGCATGCCCTTCCAGATGACAATTTATAGGGCTTTCTTAAAACAAGGTCTGGGAATTGGCGCTTGAAACCATTAAGCTTTGAAATCATTATAATCGGAATTGATCTTTAGTCGGTCGCACGGTACATGTGTCCTTCAATATATGTTTACAGCTAAGGCCAACCCCAAGTTTAACGAGTTTTTCTTCTACAACAGCAGGTAATGCTGGTGGTCTGCCATGACTAGTGTTCAAGCCATGCTTTCCTAACTTGCGGTCACCAATCGTTAGCCTCCATAATTGTCGACCTCGGCACATTAAAATGTTTGGACATCCTGGCTTTAACAGCTCTAAAAGCGTTTTCTAAGGATTTTATTTATATCTCATAGTTTTCCCCTATAAGCAGAGCGTACCTCGGCTTATTATGAGTGTACGCCGAGTGCCGGTTTTTGGCCGAAGGATCGCGAGAGCCTTATATATGTGCTATAACTAAGGATTTAGGGGATATTTAAGCTAATTGAACTACTTGTCTTTATCTATAGTTATGAAAATGACATCAAGTACATATATTGAATGTTAGAGAAATAGTACGAAGTCTATCGTGTACACTGTTTTAAATAGTTCAAAGTTATTTGCTTTTACAAAAACAAAACATAGCCAGGTATCTGTCTTTGTAACAAGTTCAGTTTTTTCTTTGTTATTTTTCTTTTGTTTCACCATAACTTAACGCGAGATATTATCAAGGAAAATATGCTTTAAAATGATCGGTATGACTTTAATACAAACACAACAGCTTAAATGTTTAGTGTAACGAAATTTTATCGTATTCACAGCTAAAATGTAATATCGCACGATCATTTAGCTTTCTTAAAATATTTTTAATGCGTATTATGTCAATGTTGTAGACAATAAATACTGTCTTTAACATTTTTGTTCTCAACTCTAGTCTTTCAATTTCCATTCGAAATATTTAAGTTATTTCATTACGGAGTTAAATGCCTCACGCACATAAAGTATGTTGGTATAAACAGACTAATAAAAGAATTTAAACATGATTTGTCTTATATGGTTATACATATATACGTCATTGTTTTCAGAAGTGTGCAATTTTTTTACTCAATAAAATAATACAGTAGAAACAATTTTCTGTAGTGATATATTTTGTAAATACTTGTATTCTGTTTTGCGGTCAAATAAGCAAAAGTTGAATTTGGTTTGTGACGATGGGTGTTGGCAATAGTTCAAATCTATTCTACATAATTTGAAATGAATTTGAGTGAATATTACTAACTTAAATAATATACTGATTTATAGTTACAAGGTGAAATATCAAAGACATTCCATACAGCTAACTCACTCCCTAACGCCAAGTTGCAAACAAGATCTTTATTTTGCATATAGATCTAGATGTAAATCAAAGCACTGAAGGCGCTGAATTTGTTTGGGTCTCAGAATGTCAGAAAGGTGAAGGTTGTGAGATTATATAACCAATTTGTTTTCGTATAGTGCCACCAATGCTTCCCAGTGTTTTAACTGTAGTAAATTGGCTATAAGTCTAATTGCAACACTGATATTCAGTTCAATGTTTATTTGACTTAAACAATTAAAAAAATGAGTTGCCTTAACTGGGACTCGAACTTCAGACCTCTCGATTCCTAAGCGAGCGTGCAAACCCCTCGGCCACTGTGAAGTTATATGTACACGGTCTAAGAACCATATTATTCTAAATTAGGGTTTGTAACTCTTATTATTTCGACGCTAGACCTGTTGTTTAACACAGATGTAAATAATCATGGAGCTTACTATAAGAAAGAATAAAACAATTTTAAAAATCTGCGACCATTCTGGAACTAGTTTGCTTGAAAATTAATGCGCCTGTCATTTGACAATCTTTACGCAGTGATCTCCCCTGAATATTTCGACGCTAGTGTACATATAAAGGGAAGTAACCGCTTCAAAAAAGCGGACTACTTTCGGCATTTGCAATTAACAACATCAGGGTCTGAAATTTCGCTACCATTATTTGTTTGGTCTGACGACCCAAACGTAGAATCAATTAGCAGCTACGAATATGATGATCGGTCAAAATCTTTTTATATATGTAACTCGCGTATTGACATCGTTCAGTCATTTAAATACCTTGGTGTTCATTTGTTTAAAAACGGGAAATGGAATCGCACGCAACAGAGAATCGCTCAACATGCTCAGTTTTCACTTCACAATTTATTTATTGTTTACAACCTATTAGAACTACCTGTATCCCAAAAAAATATATCTTTTTGATTCTCTTGTAATGTCTTCTCTTAATAACTTATGGGGTTACCACGCTGGACCAGATATTGAGATTGTACATACGAAATTTTGTAGGAAAGTTCTATGCGTAAAACGCTCAACAAACGAAGATGCTCTGTACGGCGAATTAGGGAGGACACCAATGAATGTGTATCGAAAAATTATATTGATAAAATACTGGGTTAAACTAATTACTTTGGATAATCAATCACTACTATTTAAAACTTATAATATGTTGACGAGGGATGCTGAATTAGGACATACATATAATGGTAATAACTGGGCTAGTCAGATTAAATAAATACTTTATAATTACGGTTAAATGTACTTATGGCAAAACCAATTTAACATTTAAATTAGCGTAAATATGATTAAACAATTGATATTAGATGTGTATTATCAACAATGGTGCTCATCAATAAATAACTCTCCTCGTCTCGAAACGTATTGTTTATATAAACATGAATGTAAATTAGAAAGTTATCTCGACTTTATACAGATAACCGAGTGTTTTGGTGTTCTTTCTCTTTTGTATCATAGTCAAACATAAAAACACGTTCCCTGTTGTCACAATATGAAACCCCGGCAAAAATGAACCAATGAACGAACATCTGAATATGATATTTCTGTCGCTTTCCCTTTCTCTGCCGTCACAATAAGTAAACCCCAGCAAAAATGAACCAATCAATGGGCATGCTCTGGAGTGCGGGTACCTAATATCCGCACTCCAGTTAACGCACTGTGCATGTATATGTATACCATTTAACCCTGACACATTTTCAACAGAAACGTCTCCAAACTATGATACAAATAATATATAGACTATTATGTATAAAGTATATTTTTTTTTCTAGAGTTACTTTTTTACACTATCCCAACACTGTGCCGGTCCCTTTGGTTAATTACACATTTAAAATTATTAAAATAAATAAATAAATAAATAAATAAATAAATAAATAAATAAAATGGGATAAATTTTACATCAACATGAAGTAGCCTTGTGCACGTGGTTATAGACCATTTTGAAATTTAGCGCGTGTGCAATGATTATAAAATATTATTAGATCTACACTTATTTTTAACATGGAGCTAAATATGTGCATGTATACCTGTGTTTTTAAAGTGTAGTTTATTGTTATAAAATATTGTCAGTTCTATCACGGATTTATATTATAATATAAATCCGTGGTTCTATGCCTCTGGAGAAAATGTCGTAACGGGACACCATATTCAACTGTTAGACAAACTTTAACAACAACGGCCTTCCATAGATCTGACAGCTTGTGATCAAGACGCTTTCAATAAAATATGTATTTGTAAGCGTCTGACCAACAAAGAAGAAAAGGCAAGTTTGAATTCGACGAGCGGTAACAAAACAAAGTTAAAAACCTAAAAAGAACCATTTTACGATAATATTATTCGCATTTATCTTGAGATTAAGGTTGGGAATAATTTCATTAAAGCATACTTCAAAAGTTATGTTAAAACATGGTGTAAACAATTTGTATATAAGCAACAGTTTGGTTCACAAATTATGGGCCAAATTTAAGAATCTAGATCTATGCCAATTTCAAAATTTATGTTTAATTTTCGTTTTGACTCTTACTGCACTAAACTGAATATCAGTGAGATAAATGAAAATCTAAATTAACTTGATATCAGAGAATGAATGAGGCAAAATTCTAAATTTATCCAATCAATGATGGTTTACAGACACTTCACCCCCCCAGACACTTCACCCTAGGCCCTTTTTTGCAGACACCTCACCCCTTAGACAGTTCACCCCTCATTTTAAGAAATTTTATTAAGACACTTCACCCCCCATTTTTTTTATTTTGTGTTCAACAATAATTTATGTTCAAAAATGTCAAATGTATTCAATACTGTACAGTAGTGATTGAGTATGTTTATTGTCTTAACAAATGTTATATATTATTTTATCATGTAATTGACCAAAGACAATGGTTATATTGTTGTTTTTGCACTACAAAAAGGCTCATATCACAAAGTTGAAAGTAAGTAAATTTTTGTTCTTTATTTTTATATATTAATACTTATTTCAATTTATGTGTAAGTGATATAACTAATTGAATAATCTTTCTATTGAAGTGTGTGAACTTTTGCCAGTGTTTAACACTGTTGCAGAATAGAAAATGTCTGTGAAGGTCTCCTCTGACTGAAACTGTAAATAAATATATATATACATGTGTGTACATGTGTCACAGTGTGTTCTCTCAATGTTATGTTTCAATGATATAATATATATAAGTGTTTGTCAGCTGTAAATTGTTGTTCATGTTAAATGTTTTACTAAAAAATAATAAAAATAAACATATCAAGGCATTATGTTGTTGACTTATTTACTTTATATAAAAAAATGGATGAGGGGTGAAGTGTCTTAGGGTAATTTGGGGGGTGAAGTGTCTTGAGGGGTGAAGTGTCTTCAAAATTTGAGGGGTGAAGTGTCTGGGGGGTGAAGTGTCTTGCTACCTCAATGATATAGAAAATCATCTGCAGTTTGTAGCAAGGAAGCATTTAAACAGATTTATTGTACATTGTATTCTGAACATTTTCTTATAAACTATCCCAATCTTTAATACTACTGTAAAAACAATGTTCCAATGCATTTTGAATTACATTGAGAAAATTTTATGTAAAAATTATTTGATCGGGAAACGGACAAAAGCCCTCCCAGACAAAAGCCCTCCCATCAAAAAATGCAAAAAATAATTCTTTTATCTGTATCACTGAGAAGCTTAGCCGGTGAAACAGTATGTTTAAGCTCGTCTAATTTATCGGAGACTCCGACGGGTAAACTCGATTTAACTGGAACTGACACGGACGTGACGGAGCCTTCTGTCCCAGGAATATGTTTTCCATGTGACTTATTTGTCGTACTAATCTTATCCGGAACTGTAACGACCGGACCTTTAGTGCCCGAAATTTTCGTAGACACCTTAGAACTCGAATCTTCCGTCAAACTTGTCGAACTGTGACTAGTTGAAGGAACACTGACGGGACTAAAACCCGAAGCCATTTTTCTATAGTCTATAGCTTTTCTAGCCCTAGAACTCCTCATTCAAAACAGAAAATTATGTTACAGAAAGCTCTGTATTCAACGTCAAAAGAAAAACAAATTCAAAATAAAAGTTTTTCCCCACTGGGAAACTCCTCTGAAGAACGTAAATTAGTCCATATAAAACTGTATCCTAGAGAAGCAAAGTAACCACAAAAATATTATATTCTTTTCAAAATGGCCACAGACAAAAGCCCTAACATTCATGAAAAATGACTGGTGGACAAAAAAAGCCTTATTTATAATAACCCGTGAAATTCAAAACTAGATTTTAAAAGGGAGACAATAAGCCACAAAAGCCCTCCCGTAACAAAAATAATTATGTATGTATGTTGAATACCTGTGTTTTTTTCATTGCACTCAACATATTAAAATTGTTACATATATTTCTTGTTGTTTCAATTGGCCTAAGTATGGTGTACGAGTTAGAACCAACCTTTTAAAATTCTGAATTCTTCTTCCATTGCAAACTTTTTTACCACGAAATGTAGTTTTAATTAAAAAAAAAATCACTTTTATAAAGTAAATGAATCAATTAACGGCAATATTATAAATGTATTTTAAAACTTTTAAAGTTAGATAATTTTAATTCTTTTCATTATGATTACTCTACAATTAATATTAATTCACATAGGAAGTAACCTTCATATCTACGTTGAATAAAAAATGCAACTTTTAAAGCATTTTAGCACTTATTATTCAGATGGCCTCTAGGATATGTGGCTTCAACTCAATACAAACACAGGTTATGGCCAATGGAAAACAAAAATATTCATGGAATCACAATTTTTTTGATATTGTTGAGGTGCGATTGAAAAAATCATAAACTATTCAAAAGTACATATGTATTTGCTGCGGGAGGGCTTTTGTCCGCCCTATTATTTTCACAGGAGGGCTTTTGTCCGCCAAGTCATTTTTACGATAGGGCTTTTGTCCGACCTGTCATTTTCATGGGAGAGCTTTTGTCCGCCTTGTTATTTTCACGGGAGGTCTTTTGTCCGCCTTGTCACTTTTTGACGGGAGGGCTTTTGTCCTACACTCATTTGATCTAGTGTCTTGACTTGCATGTGTTTGTGTGTTTCACTTTCAGATAGTACACATGAAGCAAATAATTTTTATGTAAGGTGGACAAGTGTAAAAAATCTTATGTATATGATTAAGTCTTAATTGTTTTACTCTATTTTCAATATTTAACAAGTACATGTTCATTCACATCTGTAAAATTTGAAGGACTTCTAAACACTAGTTCTTGGATGGTTCTCTTAAGTAAATCAATGCACTTGTTAGTTGTAGGAAGGGTAATAGGACATTTCAGACCATGGACATTTCAGACCAGATTTTGGGACACTTCGGACCATATTTCGGGATTTTTGGACATTTTGGACCATGTATTGGACATTTCGGATCATGAGTTAGACACTTCAGACCATCGTTTTGGACATTTCGGACCAGATCAAATATTATTTTTTGATATATTATGCATCAATTATTCTATAAACTAAAGAGTAACTTTAGTATAAATGAGACACTATGGAACGATTTTACACCTATCCCGATTAAGATTTTATATATTTTGCAATATAAATGAAGAAAATTAAGGAAAAAAAACAAGCAATGTTTTGTTGACACACATTTGCAAACAATTTATTATAAAGTATATATACAAAAAGACATGACGAAATATAACTTTTTCAGTTTGTAAGCTGTATAAGTTATGAGGATGAAATCAATTTCTACATCGTTTTATATTGCAGTCTGGACATCAAATTTTTGACAATCCATTTGTTTATTGTTTATTATTGATTAAAACTGTACTTAACCGCATTCCAATCAAACCAATCAATTTAAATAGTTGTTGTCAAATTAGGTACAAATTACAATACATACTTACGTGTTCTATTCAGCAATTAAAACATGTGAAAAACTGCATTGAGTCTGACAAGGATGTCGTTGTTCTTTAATACCTGCCAGAACACAATTTAATTTGGTAAAAATTTACTTTATAATAACAAATAATCATAATTATATAAAAAGGGAATAAATGGTCTGTTGAAAAAAAGTTCTGGTCAGAAGTGTCCCCATCATGGTCCGATATGTCCCAAAATCTGGTCCGAAATGACCAATAAATCGGGTCCGAAGTGTCTGGTCCGAAACGTCCGTGGTCTGAAATGTCCGTACTTCGTAGGAAGTATATGGCAGGTATAATTATGTCAACTAAGTACTTGTCCCCTCCTTTGTTGAATTCATGCTTTTTTATCTGAAATTACCATCAATTTTTATTTCAAGATATGGTGCACACTAGACATAACTAGATCAAGATGGAGACATCTGATACATTATTAAAAAGTATAATAGCTGCAGAGACACAATATTGTTCCCACAAGATAGAACGTAACTTGGTTTTCTTGCAGAGACAAATTGATGTGAGTATATACAGATAATGTTGTTGATTGTTTTATGTAATTAGTTTAGTTTATGCTAATTTATTTTAGTTTGATTGTGTTAGAAGCTATAAACTTATTGAAACACTCTTGAATCTGTTCCTGAAACAAAACAATACTAAGCAGTGAGTGTAAAGTTTCTAACTTTCATGCTCACGGAAATAACGGCCAACCCCTAATAGGGTTTGAGTCCGCATGGCCAGCAATCCTCAAATGACTAGTCTGATCTGTTAACCATTCCGAGTGACTAGTCCACACCACCATTTTATGTAATTAGATTTGAATCTTTATATACAGAATCTCTTGATATTTTTAAAATTTTTGTGTTTAATTTTATTTTATGAAAATTAAATATTGTTAACTACAATTTTTATAGAATTGAAGTATTGTTTTGTCTTTCTTGTCAAAGTTGATAAATCCATTTTAAAGAAGAAAAAAAACTTTGTTGAATTTCTTTCTTATTCTGCCCATATTTGAATGGAAACCTTTATAATCATATTATATACATGACATGTATCAGGATGAAAGGGCATTTTATGTAAAGCCAGCTTTAAAAAAAATCTTGGTTTTAACTTTCACTTTATTTTTTAACAAATCATTATTATTTTGATGCAATTAAATCAACATTATTTGAGCTTTGCTTACAATGTTATCCACATCATTTAACATTATCAGTATCTAATATATCCAGAAAATTTCAATATGATTTAAATTTCAATAAAGAGAAAATATATCATACAAAACATAACAAAATATATACATTTACATGTATGTTTATTGCAGAATCTTATATTATGTTGTGTTTTTTTTTCAGGTGCTTATTAGCAAAACAAGTCGTGGATGTTCCTTGAAGTTCTTTAACCCTTCAAAGGTTCTAGCAGCAGAATGTATAGCCTGTCTTGTAAACCTGGTGTCAGATCAAGCTACAAAACCTTCACTTCTACTCAAGTGTATTCTCCTCTTTAACAACCTTGGTACTTGCTTATTATAATATTTTATCACACACATGTGTTTATATTCTGTAACTATGATTTGTAAGAGTTATACTGTATAACCCTTTCTGAAAGTTCAAAGATATTTAAGTTCTTAGTTTTACCTTTAACTTTTTCTTATGTTATAATTAAATGATTTTATTATTTACAAGATTAAGTGTTAAAACTTTTGGAATGAAAAACTTGTGTGAAATATCAGGACTTTTTTCAAGAGGAAGGGCATTTTTCTTCAGTATGAGGAACAATAACACAGTATCTTTGTGAAAGGGGAAGAAAAAACCTGATGTAAATTTGATTTGAAGTGTTAAACAGAATATTTAATTTGGAAGATTATTTAGGGGAGGAGAGACACCTTTTTATTACATGCTTTTCGGTGGTTTATAGAAATATATCAGTGATATAAAACTGGTAATTTCACTGTTTTAAACAGTGAAATTATCAATTTGATAATTTCACTGTTTTGAATTTAAGCCCCTTACGTTGTTTTCAGTGAAATACCAGCGTGCACAGTACTGGGAACCAACTTAATGACGTGACATCGTAAATGACGTCACGTTTATTATCATTTGGCGCGCTTTTCATTCAGTAATAGGTTTAATGTCTCTTTAAAAGGTTTCTTTGCATATAATAAAAAGAAAATTTGTTTAGTTTAGTGTAAGATGGAAATATATTTCATCTTGTGAACACCAAAAGTTCATGTTTCACTTGTGACTGCGCCACTCGTGAAATATACCTTTTGGTGCTCACTCTGTGAAATATATTCCGATCTTACACTGAACTAAGCAAATATCTTCTATAACAACCCCTGCTCAGTGCTGTAGAAGGGCAAAAAGCTCTGAATAATGTACTGTGAAAATTTCAAACTTCTCAATCACATTGTATACTGTTTTAGTAATTTGTCAAAGAAGTTTATTTACACACATAAATGCTAAATTAAACATAACATTCATTCTTCATACTGTCATACATCATTCTTTCATATTTAGGTTCTTTGGGTATTATTCTTATCAAGATGATAATTGTTTGTGATATGAAATCTACACAAAGTTACTTTACAGATTTCAGACAATTAGAATAAAGTTTGGTGTCCTTTAATTAAAAAATATTTGATAATTTTTTGCAATAAACTTGCATTTTGCAGTTACAGACAATCATATTCGAGAATGTTTGCATGAAAAATTTCAACTGACCCCGGCCTTGGTTGGTGTTGTTGTCAACCATGGTGTATCCACTAGTGACACCCTTACTGCTGAGGTATATATCTTATTTCAATACAATATTTTGAATAATTGTGTATTTTACTTATTGTGCAAAATATATAATTGAATTTTAATTTAAAATTTAGTGTTAAAATTCATCAGATTTGATCTGATCTTTTTCTAGAAGCTGCCGTGTTATAATTACATGGTCACAATCAGGAGTGAGTTTTGAACAATTGTAGAAAGGCAGCAAATGTTTTGATTTAGAAATGTCTTAAACTCTTATGATGTTGAAATTTATGTATTTGTTTAAATATGAATAATTTCAACACATTTTAAGTCACATATCTTGGCAGTTGTTTCACCCTACAGGCTTCCCTGGATAACTAACCAGTAATGATAAATATCTGAGCTGGTCACGACAAAACCAACATAGTGCGTTTGCGCGACCAGCATGGATCCAGACCAGCCTGCGCATCCGTGCAGTCTGATCCATGCTGTTCGCTATCAGTTTTCTCTACTTGTTAATAGAGTTAGTAAGCGAACAGCATGATCCTGATCAGACTGCGCAGATGCGCAGGCTGGTCTGGATCCATGCTGGTCGCAAACACACTATGTTCGTTTTGTCGTGACACGGCTCAAATATTCATTAGACTTAACATCTGAGATCTATTGTCTTTTGAAAATTTTGCCTCACCTCATAAGTTGAACCAGCAATCCCTGGAATACAAATCTGATGTTCTCCCTATAGAGGTAAATGGGCAGACTGAGATATTTAGAGAATGAAAACGAAATAGCTATGATATCATTCCTAAACTTTGAATGTACCCAATTACATTGTATTATTGTTTAAAATTTTGTAATATCTAATTGTTTATATTTCAGGCAATGCAGTTACTTCAGAAAGTAACATATGGTCACAGAATCAGTTTCCAGGAATTTTATATGGAAGATCTAGTCAGATTTCTGTTAAGGAATATGTAAGTCAGCATTTTACATACTACTTAAATCATGAACTATTTATTATAAGAATGACCAGTCCAAATCACAAATAAAGATTCAGACTAAGCAGACTAGATCCAGCAATGTGGGATCTTCAGTTTGATTTTGAAATTGAAAATTTACTTTTCAAAAATTTAAAAGACATCACAAGTACAATTTCTGTAAGAAAAATATATTTTGATATTTAAAACAAAAGTAAAGCATATGTAAAACTTTTTGGTTTGTTTAGTGTGCATTAAATTAAATTGGACATACATGACACCAAGTTCATGAAGATTAGATACCTTCTACAGTAAATTGGTGCACTTAACCATCTCAACTTTGTCTTTCTGCTTTTCTCTTACATATTTAGATTTTTTTTAAGCCTGAAGACAAAAACTACATGTATTCTATTACTACAATGAACAGATCTTATCCTCACTGATAAACACTGAAGTTTTTGTTTAAAATGAAACAATATAATATGATATTTCAGTGTATCCCCAGCAACAGGTCTGACTCAACCAGCAATGGGAATTATGGTGAATCTTACAAGAGACAATTTCTCTGTGCAGTCATACATTAGAAATAATGTAAGTAATTAGAGAAAATTGTTACGTAATTTTTGCTTTCTTTTAAGATTTTATAGTTAGTTAAGAATGCAAGGTCATTTATTATAAGCTTTTTGGATTTTAAGTGTAAATATGTTTAGAAATTTGAAACTACAGCTGTCTGTATATTAACTCAACTGTCAAATGCTATACATGTAATTACATTAATTAAATAAGCATTTACTTAGAAACTGTTTGTTTCAGTTCAATTGTGAAGAAAGATTAGAGCTTATTTGTACCATATTATTTTATAGTCCATACCTAGAAATAACAAGTAAAAATAGTGGTTATCTGAGTAGGACTAGAATTAACATGTCTTGAATTGAAAACACTCATATGAAACTGTTATGATATAATAATGTTGCCGTTACTGTATATTTATCTGTACATGTGAAACATTGCCTCCTGACTAACTCTTAAGTAAGGCATACCTTAATATGGCAAGATGGAGATAGTTAAGTTATTGCATTTAAACAATATAGAGGTTTGTTTATTCTGGGATATGTTATTCTTTTTAACATTTACAAATTCACTTTAATAACTTTGCAATATTTCACAACTGAAATAAACTCATGTAAACATATCTGCCATATTTCACAATTAAAAATAAATTCACATAAATTTTTTTGCATATTTAACAATTGCAAAAATATTGTATAATGTATATTTTTATGACAGGAAAACACCAAGGAACTTGCAAGGACTCTAATCAAGTTGCTAGGAGACCAAGCTCAGAATACATTACTGTTTTCCCTTACACTGTTGCTGAATGTTTGTCCATTAGAGAAAATGGCATCAAAGGTAATGTATATGAAATTATATGCCATTAGTTTGTTTTGTTACCATAGCCATTAAAGGTTTTAGAAGTTGAAATTTTGATTTTATAAAAATTTTGCTACTTTTGATAATAATATGTTAGTTTTCATTCCGTTATAATTTGCTTTGAAAATCTAACTAAATCCAGCATATGACCCTTACGCTGAAACATAAACAAAAAGATATTTTAAAGGCTTCATAGGAAAGGTAGTGGAGGGTCAAGTAGGATATGATTTTAATGAGATTGAGATTAAATGATCGGTCTGGCATTTTACTTGTATCAATGGCAGCTCATTTTCACTTCTGTTTTAAAAGAATTTTCTGCATTGTTTTCTTTCATTTTTGTGTGTAATAATATTAATGTAACTACGAGGGCTGTTCAAAAAGTTTGTGGAATGCGGCTCTACTGTTCACATCTTTTAATTTGCGTATATGATTTTACAAGAAACATATATGAAAATATGTCCTTAATAAACAGTGAAAAAATCAATACAATATGTTAACAAATAAAAATTATGTGACAGTTACAAATCACAAGGGGTGCACAATCCGGCGCACGCTGATGATGAAACAAAATGACGTTTGTGACGTCGCAATATAAATGAAACATTTTACCAGCGTCATTGTTTCTGAAATTACTCTTTTTAGTGTTCAATATCTACGGATCATATACCAAAACCATTTTTCTGTTTGCGATGATGACCCGAGATATAAAGTGGTCATCTTTTCGCTCCATTCTCCGTATAAAGGTCCGAGTGCCGCATACTTTCCGCTCTTTATCGGGACTTTTAAGTAATTTAGACACTAAACGAACAGTGTTATTAAGTTAATTCAATTGTTGATTCATAGTATCAATTTGAAACCGCCCTCGTCCGATCTTTAAACAATATGATTATCGATGATATCAACTGACAATTATTCTATGCGGTAAATCTACTGAACACCGGCTAGCATTAATTATCAAACGGACCAGGGTAAATACAGGAAATACAAATAATAACTACAAGTATTTGTTGTAAATACGCATATATCCTGATGAATGAAATAAAATATTATTTTAATTAAATTAAATTGTTTTGTCAGAATTGAATGCATAGACCCGATGCAGAAATTAAACATGTCGGACATCTCGCAAAACTGTCAAAATGCCTGAACTTCTGTAGATCTTTTGCAATTGACGTTACAAACGTCCCAACAATTTGCCGCTAAAATTATTCATCGCCCTTTCTGTCTGTGAGCATGTATTTGCCGTATTTGAATCGCTTGCGCGACCTGAAACCAAGAGACTTGCTCGACAACTCATTGTTTTTCGTTAATTGAATCACCTTATAAAAATATAAAGGAGTATACCACATTTATTGGTAAAAAATTCCGAAAGAGCGAATTTCTAGTTTTTAAACGGGGTTTATACTTCCCAACTTACCCGTCTGTCTACTGCTGCTCAAAACTTGTTTGTTCAGCTATTCAACGTCCAAACGACGCCAAAAGTCAGATTTATGTCATTTAAATATTAATAGATGATTACGTGTGTTTAACTTCATAAAACAATCATTTAATTTGTTTCAACATTTGTTTATATTTAAACACTATATGAAAATTTCGGCGTGCGCCGATGTTGCGTTGCCATGGTTATTAAAGTGCACAAAACTCGTAAAGGAAATAAAAGTTAACAATAAAAGTAAATCTTACTTTTGAAAATAAAGACAATCTTTCGATTCATATCCACTAAGGGTGTTTTTATGAACCAAGTAAAAAATGACAGCAAAAATCCACGAACTTTTTGAACATACCTCGTATTGTTACAATTTTATTCCAGTTTTACAATGAAACAAACGTACCGCAGACATTTCAAATGATATTTAATGTGTTAATTGATGGTACAGGAGACACAAGGAGATATGCTGTTGATCTCTTTAGAGATATTCTAAAGAGCCCACAACATCAAAAGAGTTTAGCAAAGTAAGTCTTGAATTTCTATTTTCATGTCATATTTATGAATGATACACAATTGGAATTTCTGCAACTACATGTAGTTAGTAATGTTTTTATATGGCTTTATTTATGGCATTCTGTTTAAAATAGTATATAGATGTTTAAAAAAGAAATCTCACCAATTGTGGCCACCTCATTTGGTATATGTCATAAAAATCTATTCTTTTAGTGATGCCCTTTAAGGTTTAGCAAACAAAAAATCATAAATTATCATAGTTTTTTTCCCTGAAATTTTAGAGAATACAGTTTTTTCCCTCTTAGTTTGCAGTACATCCCACAAATATCAATTAAGAAGTAAAATATGCTATTTTTTCCCCTCTGAATTGAGACAAAAATGTCATAAACCACATGATATGTCTTCACTACAAAAGTTTTGTATTGAAATTAAAATATGATTTAAAAATTAAATAAATGGTAAAATTCTTATAATTTTATAATAAGGTTTTATTAATTAAACTTGTGAACTTTTATAAATTACTTTTTCCAAGCTCAGACTTGAAGAAAACCAGGGGTTCCGAATGCACCGTATAATGCTGCTTTGTATTTCTGTTACAGTTATGAGTACCTAGGAACCTGTGTGGAGCAGACATTAAACTTGTTATGTACAAGTTCTCATGAATCTGTTTTAAAAGTAAGGTTTTTTCTTGTTTTTTTTTGTAAAGAAATTTAAAATAGAACTAAACAAACTGTAGAATTAACATTACTATTTTGCTTTGTTAACTTTAATTACAGATTGTTTAAACCGCAGATCAGTGGTGTTAACTGTCAATAGATAATGCATTCATGAAAATCATACTTCATAAAAATGTTTAGGGTGTATAATAAATTTATAAGTATTCATACGTATGTGACACTTGCTTTTTTTGACACATTGAAATATATCTTTTATAGATAGTAAAGCTAGGTTAAATTTCCAATACCTTTACTTTTTGAACTCTGACTGTTCATATAAAATAGTATTTCATTTTCTTGGACAAAGTTTGCTTTAAATATTGTGGGTTTTTTCTTATCTCCATATGTAAAAATAAAATTGAAAAATTGTTGTATTTAATACAAGGTATTTTGCAAAAAAAAAAAAAATATAAAGCAAAGCAGTTTTATCATTGAATTGCATACTAGTAAAAGATTTTCTTATCATAAATAATTTATACCATTCATATATTCTGAAAAATCATCTGTTTTATGGATAATTAAAATACATCTTTATATTTCAGGTTTTTGAGTTTCTACAGATTCTGTGTCGGGTAGAAGGTGTACGTAGAGTAGTGTGTAAAGCAATGTTCGCAACATTCCACATACAGGACCTGTCACAGTTTGCTAGTCTTGTACAAACACCTTTAAGCAGGATACCTGACCCCCTTCTTGCCACAATACACTGGGCGGGGCAGTCTACAGATACCCAGGGGCTGGCCCCGCTGGGTGCTTTTGACCTTTTAATAGAGGTGTATGAAGAACAGGTATTTTCTCACAGTAAGATGCACTATGAGAAACACGTGGCGGCCATTTTGCCAACTGCCCATCACACACTGCAGACAACATTAGAGGGAGATAATCTGACTATAGAGAGAAGATGTTCCGCATTAGTGAGATGTGTGAAACTGCTTTTAAGTATCCTTTGCAGTAATGAATAATTGGTCTTGAATGTGGTGTGGTCTTATGTAGGTTTTGAACTTAAAACTGGCTTGTTATGCTTAAAAGTAGACCAACTCTTCACAATGCTTGTCCTATTTTCATTATAGATATAAATTTTTAAGAAAACATCCTAAAATCAAAAGGAATGGTAAAGGTTTTAAGTGATGGAGAGAAAAGCAGAAAGTGTGTGTCAAATTACTCCAGTCTTGCCATTTTTTATGAATTTTATCTTGACTCTTTTAACAGAATTTCAGAGTAGATAGGTATTGTATTTTTATGCTCCACGAAAAATTTCGGGGGAGGATATGGTCGGCGCCTTGTCCATCCATCTGTCCGTCCGTTGTCTTGTCCGGAGCATAACTTGAAAACCCTTGGAGATAATTTGTTTAAACTTCATACAGCGGTAGAGGGCATTGAGGGGGAGTGCAGTGTCAAGGAACCATAACTCTATTTTGCCCGGTTTTTGAATTATCTCCCCTTATAGAAAAATCTTGTTCGGAACATAACTCTAAAACTATAAGAGATATCAACATGAAACTTTGTAAGTGAATAGATCTCAATGGGTAGATGTGCAGTGCATAAGAACAATAACTCTTTTTTTTCCCTAATTTTGGAGTTATTGCCCTTTGTTAATTTAACACTTTGAACTTTGTCCGGAACATAACTCTAAAACTGTAAGAGATAGCAAGATGAAACATTGTAGGTGGATAGATCTCATTGAGTAGAAGTGCAATGCAAAAGAAACATAGCTCTGTTAAGCCTCATCTTTTAATTATCTCCCCTTTTAGAAAATTCTTGTCCAGGACATAGCTGTAAAATTATAAGAGATATCAACATGAAACTTTGTAGGTAGATATATCTCAATGGATAGATGTGCAGTGCACAAGAATGATAACTCTGCCGAATTATGGAGTTATTGCCCTTTGTTTATTTTTACTTTTTGAACTTTGTCTGGGAAATTACTCTAAAATTATAAGATATATCAACATGAAACTTTGTTGGTAGATTGATCTCATTGAGTAAAGGTGCAGTACAATAAAACCATAACTCTGTTTTGCCCATTTTTTTAATTATCTCCCCTTTTGAAAAAATCTTGTTTGGGAAATAACTCTAAATCTACAAGAGATATCAACATGAAAATTTGTAAGTAGATGGATCTCAATGGGTAGATGTGCAGTGCACAAGAACTTGAACTCTGCCTTGCCAAATTTTGTAGTAATTGCCCTTTGTTCATTTTTACATTTTGAAGTTGTCCGGGTCATAACTAGGAAACCATAAGAGATATCATCAAGAAACTTTGTAGGTTAATAGATCGCATTGATTAGAAGTGTGATGCAAAGAACAGTAACTCTGCCTTGCCTTATTTTGGAATAATTGCACTTTGAACTTTTTCCAGGAGCATTATTCTGAAACTACAAGAGTTGTTCTTTCCTGTGTCCAAAACCTATTTGGGGAGCATCACCCGGCTCAACCGGGCTCTTGTTTAACTTTGTAGGGAGTTGTAAGCTTTTATATGTTCAGACAAGCAATTTAAATTGAGACCTTTCAGTAATCTGTTTCATATATACATCAAGTTATTTAAGTTGTTTATGTTTTATATCAAGTTTTAAAATTGAGTTTAGGGATATGCTATATATACATTTATTCAAGCTTAGATCTTTATGAATTTAAAAAAAAACAAAAAACAAAATCAAAAAAAAATACTAAAACTACATGAATTTTAAAAAAGACACACTAAAAAAATAATGTTTTTTCACCACACATGAATATGATTACCTTAATAATGACCAGCATTTTGTCATGATGACACACTTCTGACCCTGATATCTAAACAGACAGATGCTAACTTGTTGTCCAAGTTACTGCTCTTCCAGTTTGACAACAATACTAAAGCTTTGTCCCCCGATATAACCCCACCCTCAGATGACTGGAGGTATAGTATACATTTTTACTTTTCAGTACTGAAATATCTAAACAAATATTTTCTATAAACTCAATACTAAACTTGTAAAGTATAAGTTAAAGTTGAGTTATGTAATGAATTTAGTATATTTCATTTGCATAAAAAAATGAGAGTTAAAAGAGACAGTAGAAGTAAATATGGGTAATTTCATTCAAATCATGGGTATCAAATGTAGGAGTACAAAATCAGCCAGACAGGGTAAATCTAGGTTTTTGTCTGGCACATTGTTTTCATTGAGTCAATGTATCTTACACTATTGATCTGCAACACTTTGTTAAAAACTGATCCTAAATTATCATGACAAACAAGGTAGATATTGGCTACAGTTGTGTATGTTTCATGAAGAAGTATTTGTATTGATGGCAGATTTTGTAAAGATGTGTGGGTTGTTTTGTCGTATATTTATTACTAGCTCACATTATAATCTTTAAAGCAGCATTCTTCCAGATTTATGCTAATTTATATTAAAATTTTGTAAATGTATTTAAAAGTAAAATATTGTGGAAGTAATTTACACATTGCAAACAGCACTTACAATTCACAAAAAATTACCAAAAAAGGTCGAAATATGCAAAAGTAGCCATCAACTATGTTAGTCATGCTGTAGAAATAAAGTGATAAATACTGCAAAATCAGTCAATAACATATAAATTATTACTTGAACCTTGAACAGTTTCTACTTTTCTTACAATTTTAGTACATTTGTTGCTCAAAATTTGATATTCTTGGAATAGTTTTGCTCATTTAGGGGCATGCAGCTTTCATATGAAACTGTTTTGAATGTTTTGTTTCAGTGATGTGGGGGTAGAACTGGTGCTCTATCTTCTAGATTTAATTGCCAAACTCAAGATTGGAGCATTAGAAGATTTGTTTATAAACACAATGCAGGTAACATATACAGCATCTTATATTTTATGTTATTAGTGTTAAGAGAAAGTTAATGTAAACCTACATACATACTTCACTGCTCAATCAATAGAACAGCTAATATTCATAAGTAAAATATACTTTATAAACTAATTTGGAAGTTAAACTAATTTTCTATTTGTCTTATGTTATTTGACGGTTTTAATTCATTAATTTTAATTGGAAATATGTATTCATTTAAGATATATTTAAATACACACATTCAAATTTAAGATATATTTAAATATACACATTCAGATAACTTTGGCAACAGATAAATTAAACTTTGATAATTTCATTGTGAAATTATCAAATATAATTCACTGTTAACATTTTGATATATACCCCAAAGCCTGTAAATAAGTAAAAGTACTGTTTTTCATCATTACATTTAGGAAACAAAGGTTGTGCCATTCCTAGCCTGTGGATTATGTAGTACAAAACGTGAGAGAGTACAAGATACATTAAATCTGATACAGATGTGTAGTAAACTAGAGGGCTTTCCTGTCATGATGTAAGTCAATGTCTTTATACACAACAAATATTCTCATTATTAGGGATGGCAACGAGTAACCGGTTAACGGAGTACTCGATCGAACATCCGAATATCGGTTAACAAAATTGATATTCGATTACTCGGAAAAAATATATAATTTCTATTTTTTCACGATTTAGAAAGATTGGTGTGTTAGTTCAGAAATTCGGAGATGTGCATGTATCTTCATAAATACAATCAAAACATCCTTGCAGAGGTGCGAAAATGATATGGCGATCAACAGTTTGACACGCGCACCTGTATCGCTTATGTTATCCAGCCTCTAATGATATTTAATTACCTTTAATCGTGTAACAGTTTGCAGCGGATGTAACTGTTTTGAAAACAAGAAAGGGTTGATTGCTATTATGAATGTAAGAAAAAGGTTACCAGTATTTTAGACCCCTTTTAAACTTTTGTTGCCGCCCATCAGTCTATATTATTTCAAAAAGAAAAGATATATGAACTGTTATACATGTTTTAAACTTGATATTGCATTTATTAAAATGGTGTAAAATATCATATTATTGAATTAATTTTATTAAATTTGTCTCCTGTGCAGTCCTATTTATAGGAATGAATTCTATGAATTTAAATAGAAAACGAAAGTAGCATGTGGACGGTGTTAGAATTGTGAGATAAACTTTGAATATCACCGGAAATCATCCGAGTAACCGAGTACTCGATCGGAAAAATGACCGAGTACACAAGTATTGTTTTTTTTGTATTCGTTGCCATCCCTACTCATTATCCATTATTTCATGGCTGGTGGTAGCAGGTGTTTAAGTGTTTAAAAGTTAATTAGTTAATACAGTACTCAAAATGTTCACCACCTTAATTAAGCAAACTTTCTCTGTTCTTTTTTGACAAAAGTTTTCAGTTTACAGTTGAATTAAATTTTTTTCAAATATGTTTATCTCTTTAAGACTTGGTAATGTGTTGTATGTTCTGTTTTCTATTACCTCTTTAAGACTTGGTGATGTGTAATGTGTTCTGTTTTCATTTATCTCTTTAAGACTCAGTGATGTGTTATGTGTTCTGTTTTCGTTTATCTCTTTAAGACTCGGTGATGTGTTATATGTTCTGTTTTCATTTATCTCTTTAAGACTTGGTGATGTGTTGTATGTTCTATTTTCATTTACCTCTTTGAGACTTGGTGATGTGTTATATGTTCTGTTTTCATTTATCTCTTTAAGACTCGGTGATGTGTTATATGTTCTGTTTTCATTTATCTCTTTAAGACTCGGTGATGTGTAATGTGTTCTGTTTTCATTTATCTCTTTAAGACTCGGTGATGTGTTATATGTTCTGTTTTCGTTTACCTCTTTAAGACTTTGTGATGTGTTATATGTTCTGTTTTCTATTACCTCTTTAAGACTTGGTGATGTATTATATGTTCTGTTTTCATTTACCTCTTTAAGACTCGGTGATGTGTTATATGTTCTGTTTTCATTTATCTCTTTAAGACTCAGTGATGTGTTATATGTTCTGTTTTCATTTACCTCTTTAAGACTCGGTGATGTGTTATATGTTCTGTTTTCGTGTACCTCTTTAAGACTCGGTGATGTGTTATATGCTCTGTTTTCATTTATCTCTTTAAGACTCGGTGATGTGTTATATGTTCTATTTTCGTTCATCTCTTTAAAACTCGGTGATGTGTTATATGTTGTATTTTCATTTATCTCTTTAAGACTTGGTGATGTGTTATATGTTCTGTTTTTATTTATCTCTTTAAAACTCAGTGATGTGTTATATGTTCTGTTTTCATTTATCTCTTTAAAACTCAGTGATGTGTTATATGTTCTGTTTTCGTTTATCTCTTTAAAACTCGGTGATGTGTTATATGTTCTGTTTTCGTTTCTCTCTTTAAGACTCAGTGATGTGTTATATGTTCTATTTTCATTTATCTCTTTAAGACTCGGTGATGTGTTCTATGTTCTGTTTTCGTTTATCTCTTTAAAACTCGGTGATGTGTTATATGTTCTGTTTTCATTTATCTCTTTAAGACTTGGGGATGTGTTATATGTTCTGTTTTCATTTATCTCTTTAAAACTTGGTGATGTGTTAAATGTTCTGTTTTTATTTATCTCTTTAAGACTCGGTGATGTGTTATATGTTCTGTTTTCATTTATCTCTTTAAAACTCGGTGATGTGTTATATGTTCTGTTTTCATTTATCTCTTTAAGACTTGGGGATGTGTTATATGTTCTATTTTTATTTATCTCTTTAAGACTTGGTGATGTGTTCTATGTTCTGTTTTCGTTTATCTCTTTAAAACTCGGTGATGTGTTATATGTTCAGTTTTCATTTATCTCTTTAAGACTTGGGGATGTGTTATATGTTCTGTTTTCATTTATCTCTTTAAGACTTGGGGATGTGTTATATGTTCTATTTTCATTTATCTCTTTAAGACTCGGTGATGTGTTCTATGTTCTGTTTTCGTTTATCTCTTTAAAACTCGGTGATGTGTTATATGTTCTGTTTTCATTTATCTCTTTAAAACTCGGTGATGTGTTAAATGTTCTGTTTTTATTTATCTCTTTAAAACTCGATGATGTGTTATATGTTCTGTTTTCATTTATCTCTTTAAAACCGGGTGATGTGTTAAATGTTCTGTTTTCATTTATCTCTTTAAAACTCGGTGATGTGTTATATGTTCTGTTTTCATTTATCTCTTTAAAACTCGGTGATGTGTTATATGTTCTGTTTTCATTTATCTCTTTAAGACTTGGGGAATGTGTTATATGTTCTATTTTTATTTATCTCTTTAAGACTCGGTGATGTGTTCTATGTTCTGTTTTTCGTTTATCTCTTTAAAACTCGGTGATGTGTTATATGTTCTGTTTTCATTTATCTCTTTAAGACTTGGGGATGTGTTATATGTTCTGTTTTCATTTATCTCTTTAAGACTTGGGGATGTGTTATATGTTCTATTTTCATTTATCTCTTTAAGACTCGGTGATGTGTTCTATGTTCTGTTTTCGTTTATCTCTTTAAAACTCGTTGATGTGTTATATGTTCTGTTTTCATTTATCTCTTTAAGACTCGGTGATGTGTTATATGTTCTGTTTTCATTTATCTCTTTAAGACTTGGGGATGTGTTGTATGTTCTGTTTTTATTTATCTCTTTAAAACTCGGTGATGTGTTATATGTTCTATTTTCATTTATCTCTATCAGACTTGGTGATGTGTTAGCCCATCAGAATGCAGCTAGAATGAAGCAGCAGGAGGCAGGATTGATGTATGACACACCTTATAGATATCCCAATAAAAGGATACATCTAGAAGACAAGGAAAATAGACCAGCCATGTACATGAAGGAAAATATATCCCTGAAAAATACAAGTGCCTTAAACAACACACAGTCCGATATCAGCTCAGAGTCTATCCACTCTCTGATAGAGAAACTTGACTCAGGACTTGGTGTATGTATTAATATTTGAGTATTAACATGAAATTATTTGTAACATATTAAAGATACAAGTACAAGCTTATGTTATATTATTCAGTGCTTATTCTCACACTGGAATAAGAATAAAAGTATGTCATGCATTATTGCATTGGGCAAGTCATTTTAAAGCTATTAAGCCCAGATGAATAATGAAAAGTTAAACTAATTTCCATGTGCTGGTTTTATTATAACTATTGCTATATTTCTATTCTGTATTAGTGTTACTGATAGTGTTAAGCTGTTTTATAGTATATTCTATACTTTTTAACATTATATGAAATTTTTTAACTTGAAGATAGTTTGTGCTTTACACTAGCTATTATCTGATGCACCTTATATGTCCACAGTTTCTAAATTATCATCAAAATTTTTAGCTTTTATGAATGCTTTGATAGTTTGTATGAAACCATTTATTTTAATTTAAGACATGTGTTTTCCATAGAATTTGTTAAATTATCTTGTGATAGAAATATGTTATTGTTTTACAGTTGAAGGATTGTAAGGAGTCAGAGATTGTGGCAGTTTATGAGAAATCTTTACAAGCAATGCAGGTTTGTAATCAAATCTAGAACAATATTTGAAAATGCTCTTTTTAATTACTTTGTACATAATTATCTCTCCTTGAATAAATCATTTAGACACAGTTATCTTACCTTAATTTAGATAGCAAAAGCAATGTTTTACAATGATTGGCTGTATCTAGATACCCCATATATTGGGAACCTGTATCTCAAAAAGATTGAATTTTAGAGAAATGCCTCTAAGGTAGTGTGAAATAAGTTTGAGATTAATATTTCAGACAAAAGAGCAGCATCTTCAAGATTTACTAGAAGCCAAGACTTTATCACTAACACAAGCAGATAGAATGTTAGCACAGTATAGAGCTAGGAAAGGACAGGATGAAGCTGAGGTAAGATAATTAGATTAACTTTGATATGTTTTACCTTGATTTAGGACTACAAACCTTGAGAAATTAAAAAAGGGTTTCTAAATGGCCATTGGTATCTTTTAGGGATTTTTGTGAAGAAATATTCAGCTTCCTTTCAGAAGCATGAATCAGAAGCAAGAAGTTTCTTGTACCTAGAGGCAAAAATGGTGTTTGCAGTCTAACTGGGATGGTGTTTTTTTGTTGTTTTTTGTGTGTGTGTTTTTTTTTTCTTTGAAAGAGTTGATACAATGAAAAGAAAATGGGTGGCTATCAAAGTGGGGTATAAATGTATTGTAGTATATATGATATGAGTACTAATATCTGTAACTATACCTCAGAATTTTATTTGTAGTAGAGTTTTCTATATATGTACAAAATGATAAGTTAATAACTTCTTTTATTTATTTATAGATAAATGTAGTAAATGTTGTTATATTTCAGTGCAATCGTTTCCGAAGTCTGCTTATCCAATCGGAGAAGAAATGTAAAAGTTTAGACAGTGATGCCTCAGATATGAGAGGCAAGCTGGAAAGATGCTCCAAGGAAATAGAAGATCTACACACTGAAAATCAAAAGTTTGTTTTTATTGTATACATGGTTTGTTCACTCTTTGGTGAAATAGAATGTATAATTGTCTATGTTATGAAAATTAATTTTAATGTCTACACAATATAGGTGGTCACAATATGAATATAGTGTCATTAAAAAACCTGGGATTTTGTAAAAAAAAAAACATTACTTGCCCTGTAATAGGGAATGCAACTTCTTATGCAAAGTTGTTTTCATTTTTCATTTATTTTTTATTCAATTTAGACATAATGATATTTAGTAAGGATTTCAATAATTTTCTGTAATTAAATCATTTTACTCAAGGATGAGCCTTATATATATAAGTATTTACCTCCTCTCAGCTGAATTTGCTTATGTAATGATCTGTTCCTGATTTGAGCTGCGTCACGACAAAACCAACATAATGGGTTTGCGACCAGCATAGATCCAGACCAGCCTGCGCATCCGCACAGCCTGATCAGGATCCATGCTGTTCGCTTACATACCCTTTAACTGATAGCGAACAGCATGGATCCTGATCAGACTCCTCATATGTGTTTGTTAGTGTCTGTTGTGAGAAGTAGGTATTTCAATATCAAAATAATATTGATTGAGCCGCCTACAATAGAGTTTGGATTACTTGTTGTTATTATCCCTTCCAGTACTTAAACTGATACATCAGACTTTTGACAGATTATATTGCTTTGTGTAGATGCTAACTCACAATATAATCAAGCTTACAACCAATTATACTTGAACCTGTCAAAAAGTCTTTATAAATCCTGTTACAATTTGTATATGTAGTATTATAAGTACATATAATTCCTGACCAATACTTTGTTATTTAAAAAAAGAGTGTTAATGTATATTTCAGATTGCAACAAGTGGCACAGATGCATCAACAACTGACAGTAGCTCATACAGAACTAACAGAAAAGTAATGAGTTTTAGATAATTTGTTTCATTAACAAAATACTTTCACTGGGTTTCATCAGTATTTGGTATCAGTGACAAAAAAAAATGGAGCAACTGATAATGTGATTATTTTTAGCCATATTTATTAAGTTTGTTTTAATGTTCATTCAAGCAGGTGGTAGATTTGATTGTAATATATTGTGTAGGACCTACTTAGTATTAATTTATGAAAATGTTTTCTTGAATTTTTTTTATGCTCCCCGAAAAATTTCGGGAGAGCATATAGTCGGCGCCTTGTCCGTCTGTCCATCCGTCCGTCTGTCCGTCCGTTGTCTTGTCCGGAGCATAACTTGAAAACCCTTGGAGATAATTTGTTGAAACTTCATACAGTGGTAGAGGGCATCGAGGGGGAGTGCAGTGTCAAAGAACCATAACTCTATTTTGCTCGGTTTTTTAATTATCTCCCCTTATAGAAAAATCTTGTCCGGGGCATAACTCTAAAACTATAAGAGATATCAACATGAAACTTTGTAGGTGAATAGGTCTCATTGGGTAGATGTGGAGTGCATAAGAAAATAACTCTTTTTGTCCTAATTTTGAAGTTATTGCCCTTTGTTAATTTTAATACTTTGAACTTTGTCCGGAACATAACTTGAAAACCCTTGGAGATAATTTGTTGAAACTTCATACAGTGGTAGAGGGCATCGAGGGGGAGTGCAGTGTCAAAGAACCATAACTCTATTTTGCCGGGTTTTTGAATTATCTCCCCTTATAGAAAAATCTTGTCCGGGGCATAACTCTAAAACTATAAGAGATATCAACATGAAAGGTAGATAGATCTCATTGAGTAGAGGTGCAGTGCAAAAGAACCATAACTCTGTTAAGCCTCATTTTTGAATAATCTCCCCTTTTAGAAAAATCTTGTCCAGGACATAGCTGTAAAACTATAAGAGATATCAACATGAAACTTTGTATGTAGATATATCTCAATGGGTAGATGTGCAGTGCACAAGAATCATAACTCTACCTTGCCTAATTCTGGAGTTATTGCCCTTTGTTTATTTTTACTTTTTGAATTGTCCAGGACATAACTCGGAAATCATAAGAGATATCATCAGGAAACTTTGTAGGTTGATAGATCACATTGATTAGAAGTGCAGTGCAAAGACCTGTAACTCTGCCTTGCCTAATTTTGGAATTATTGCACTTTGAACTTTCTCCAGGGACATAACTCTGAAACTACAAGAGGTATACTTTCCTGTGTCCAAAACCTATTCGGGGAGCATCACCCGGCTCAAACCGGGCTCTTGTTTTAACAATTGTCAATATTTACTAACTTCTAGTTACTGCCTTCTGCACCAGATTAGCATGATTCCTTTTTTGATGAATGATCTTCATGAAAAAAATTTTTTTTTTCATTTAAGATCTGTTCTTAAGGTAGTACACCCCTAATGGGCACTATAAGGAATTGTAAATTTGACAACATAGGACAGATATATGCCTTAAATGTCACCTGTATACAAAATTTAAACAAAATTTACCGTGTGGTTTATGAGTTATGGACATTTTTATGAACTATAACTTTGCCATTAGAAGAGATTTTTTTCAGAAATGAGGAAACTCTAAATAATCTTTAATATCATCATTATGAAAAATGTTTTCTTTTTGCTATTGTTAAGAAATAAATAATGACATTTAGGTAACAAATTAAACAAGCAAAATGATTGTTTTTAAACGAAATGTTTAAAATATGTATAAAAATGTAACCCTACCCCAGCCACTTTTAACACTAATTTGACCATTTTCCTATGTAAAAAGCCTTATTTAAAATATCCCTAAAATTTTCCAAAATGAGGGGCTATTTTCAAAGTTTGCCTAAATTTTCTTTAATGAATATTGGTTGGTCTTGCAAAATATAAAATACTTTTACCGTTTAGTTTTTATTTTATTAAACTTTGAAAATATCTGGTATCATATTTGCTAATAAATTTGGCATTATTTAGTAAGTTAATACCTACAATAATTACAAAATTAAAATAAAACACTTTTTTCTTCCATAGGGGGTCTGAGAGATTAATAAAAAATGTTAAAAAGAAAAGAAAAGAAAGAAAAAAATTTGCCCCTTCTGGGGTTTGAACCCACGCCCCCTCAGTTTCAATACATTTTACAGTGATTTTAGCCTATTTGAATACTCTTCAAAGTGGAGACAGTGCATAAGGGGTGTACTACCTTAAGAAACTTATAATTCATGGTGAAATTACTTGGAAATAATATTTTAACTCCAAAGGTATATTTGATTTGTATTACAGGTATGAGAGTGGACAAAAATCTCTACTCACATTGAGACAGGAACATAAGTCATTGACAGAGATGCATGAGATGTTACAGAAACATAATACTAACCTCAAACAACAGTTTGATAAGTAAGTATATGTAACACTTGATCGTGGTGTCATATCAGTAACATCTCCTTGTGCTCAACTTTCCTTGGTCACACTGTCCAAACGTAGACTGACAAAACCTTGGAATGTGGGGGGAAGGGGGGGTTCCTTGTCCTATATACACATTTCTAGTTTTGTTACATAATTTGGCAGAAGACTGACATATTTTTTATTATTGACAAACATTTGATATTGGAAAATGTTTTGGATGAAATATAAATCTGCATGAAATGTAGAAAAAAATTCCCCACTCTTTTAATAAATTGAACGTTACAGGCAAATTTCGGATGGATATTTAAAGAAATTTCCTTGGGCCATGTGAGTTATATATCGTTCATCTGAAGTAAATTATAAAATTGAAAGGAACTATGTCGAAATGTAAACTTATTTTGACTTCCACCTGTTCACTAACTTTATACCCTTGGGTTGCCATAATGTCACTCTAAACTCATTTTTGTTAGCTTGTCTGTTTTAAAGAAAAAGTCAAGCTATTAAAACCACGGTGTTGTGGTCATTGTTGTCATGCAAAAACTTTAATATAGCCCAATATTCAAAGATTTTAGAACTTATCAACAAGGAACTTGGAGTACTTGCTTATCTTGACAAGGTGCAGTTATAATTCTGAAAGCTTTATTTTTTTTAGTTACATGTATGCCCCAGTTTAACTTAGAATTTTTATCATAAGTAGTTATTTTAACAGACATACGTTAAAACCGCATGCAGTTTCAGTATAGGACTTTAAATAGAAGGCTCAGCTAATATACAATGTATAAATTGTAATATTTTCATTTAAATAACAAATATTATACACAAGTAATGTGGTATGAAATGTAATTAATGTAATTTTAATAGAGCTTTCAAAAAATTAACAACATGTGATAAGATTCCATCAAGTTGAGTGTCATAATAATTTGTTAACATTCTTTAGGTCACAACATAGGACTTTTCACTAATTTAGGAACAGATGTTGTCTAAGCAGTCTGTTAACTTCTTGGACTGAATTAAAATGCTGTGATCCCAGGTTTGAGTCTTAACAAGGCTGCCAATTTTCTCACTCTGTGTCACATGAAGTTAAAATAATGCTAAATCACATTTATCTTCTTTCTTACGTCAATGTCGTATATTTGACGCTGAACTAAGAATGATAATGAACTTGACATTCACCTTTAGAATAAAACTTGTATTTAAACATATGATTGTTAATTGAGCCGTGCCATGACAAAACCAACATAATGGGTTTGTGACCAGCATGGATCCAGACCAGCCTGCGCATCCGCGCAGTCTGATAAGGATCCATGCTGTTCGCTTACAAACCCTATAACAAGTAGAGAAACTGATAGCGAACAGCATGGATCCTGATCAGACTGCGCGGATGCGCAGGCTGGTCTGGATTTATGCTGGTCTTAAACGCACTATGTTGGTTTTGTCGTGACGCGGCTCAATTATGAATTTTAATTTTGCAGCACTATGGAGCAGTTAACAACTCTGCAAGATGAGAGAAGAAAAGTCATGACCCAGCTGAAATCTGCAGAGACCAAACTTGAAGGTAAACAGTTGTGATAATTTGATCCATGTTGTTTTCATAGTGATCATTAATATCATAATTAAAACATTCATTTTCGTATTGGAGCAATACAATGTATTCTTTCTGACATTATCATGTTTGGTTTAAAGACATGGTCAATTCTTAGTCATGTTTAATAAAACAAAACCAGCTATTGCATTTTCTTGGAGTGAATAAATGCTGTATAACAATCTGTTTCCTAAAATAAGAAGGTACAATTCTTGATATTATATACCAAATTGCTGAAGTACAATTATAGGATTTACAACAAACAAATTTCTTACTTTGATTTGTATTATGTTAACACTATTAGATAACATAATATTGAAATCGCTGCTTTGATCTGTATTAAGAAACAAGAAAAACATAAATAGGTTTGGAAACGAATATGACTACATGATATGTAAATGTCTGATTTTATATTATTAGATACTAAGAAAGCATCATTGAAGTGCGAGTATATGACCATAATGTGATACAAGTATAATTATGTAAATGTCTGATATTGTATTATTAGATACTAAGAAAGCATCATTGAAGTGCGAGTATATGACCATAATGTGATACTAGTATATAATTATGTAAATGTCTGATTTTGTATTATTAGATACTAAGAAAGCATCATTGAAGTGGGAGTATGATTATAAGAAGTCAGAGGAGGAGAGAGAAGTGATGGAAACATCTATAGAATCACTACGTAGCTCGATGGCCATATCAGATGGCAAGAAAAAACAGTTACAAGATCAGGTTTGCTTTTAATAGATTTATTTCAGATTTCGCTTGTAGCAGAATTCATTCTAGAATTGGATTTTAAAGACAAGCCTTGAACAATTCTGTACGGATGATTTTGATATTTGCTGCATAGGTCTTTAACAAATCACAAGAAATTTAGTGAATTTGAATACAGAAAGATGGCGTAAAGATGGCCGCTTGACTGAAATATTAAAAAAACTCAAGTACCATAGTAACGTTTACATCATATTAGACACATTGAAATATTTCTTGTAAAAAGTGTAATTAATAAGGTTATCATATCATTTGTTCATATCTTGTTTGAACATGAAATATATACATTTTGTGTTTTACCCATTATCTAAATATTTAAGATTTAAGGATTTATTGTACCATATCAAGAAGATACAATGTGTATTCTTACATGTTGATTTAAGAATGAACATATATTAGTAAAACAACAAGTAGGTGCAGGCATGGCCATGTGGTTAATTCATCGGCTTTGTTATCTAATGATCGCTTGCCGCATGGGTTCAAATTTCGACAGGGGCAAAACATTGTTTCCATGAGCAACAAACTTGACACTCGTTACTCAATACTGGTTGGTTCCAGGAACAGATTAGAAAATGTATCTATAAGCTTATAGCTTGTTATATAATTGAATTGAAATAAATTCTGTATAAACCAAACAACTATTCAATAAATTCATTCTTAAATATATATTCAGGTATCACAGCTAGAGTTTGCCTGTAATCAACATGAACAAACAATCGCTAACTATGAGACAGAAATCAAAGAACTACAAGCAGAAATAGCCAAGCACAGACAAATCACAGCCCTTATAAACAGTTTAAGTAGTGGTAATGCATCAGACACTAGCGGGAATCCAGCTGCTTCCTAACTCTTTTAGTGCGGACAGTGAAAATACATGTCAGTGCACGAGTGATAGAATTCAGGATTATTTCTGAATATAGAATTTTTAAACAAGACTCCCATAAGCCTTTTTTTCTACATAAAAGTTGTAATAATATGACTTAATATAGAGTTTTCACGACTTCTTAAATATCTTGTGTTTACCATACCTATGTAATTGCTACTTTACTCTACATAAAAAAAAATATATACGAGGGTTGTCCCAAAAGTCCGTGACAAATTTTATAGCCGGTTCATTTTTAACGCTAATAGAAAATAATTCACACATATAACCGTTAAGTTTATTATTTAACATTACAACAAATCATTTACAAAAAAATTTACCCTAGTTACTTAGAAATTTTGAGTATTAACGACATTGGTATGAGTTGCCGGCGCACGTCAAATAATTTACATTTTGTTATGAATAGGCTGAAATTAATTACGTATATTTCAAATATCTGATGATGTGTCTGCACAATGTCACGTTGACTTCCTCTGCTGCTATGTTTAAATCATCTCTGAAAATTTTAGTTATATAACTTAAAAAACGAAAAAGATACGAATAAATGAAAATATCTCATATAAAATAGGAAAGTTAAAATGGCGACGTTCGAAGAATTCGAACGATTTTCAACAAATATACCAAATATAACAGTTTAGCAACATATTCTGAGCATTTGTGTACAAAAGGCATGAACGGAACCAGAGTTTTGCGCTACAAAAAGCGAAAATAAGGAAAACACGGATAGGAAGACCGATCTTCGTCGCCTATTTCCTACAGCTAAAAACAGGAGTAACAAGACCCGAAGTTCGCATATAGCAAAAATTAATGTATGCCATCCAAACATTCAACAGACATAACAACCACATGATTTAAGTCAGAAATTGACGATTTATGGGAACCATTATTACGTTGAAAGCCATTTAGAGTATTTGAGAAAGGCGCCTTATATAGATTTAACGCCGTCTTTGACGTTGGACGTGTGCCGCGATTCAGTTAGTTGCATGGTGTTTATGGCATATTTTTGTTGTTTGTTGATATTTATCTATGAAAATTTGTGAAAATGTTTAAATTATATGGGTTTATAACATATTAAAATATCAAATTCGTACCTGTTTTATTTAGCTTTAATCAATCTTGTCACAGAATATTGGGACAACACTCGTATGGACAGCCTGCTGAATTTTATGTTTTGAAGTTGAATTATTGAACTTGGCAATACACAATTCTGTTATCAGATCCAGTCAAGTCCTGTTAAAATATAAAGTGGTAAGGGTAGAAGACTATTAAAATGTATGTGTTACTTGTACTAATGAAATTATCAATGCATTTAAAGTATATGTGTGTGTGTGTGGTTATATTTTATATATATGTCTGTGGTCATTTGTTAACCTCATTGTGTATTTTAATGTTACAATTTAGTGTTTTCACATAAAGAAATGCTTTGCCAAATATTTTTTTCCTCTCTTCTTTACAGATGGAACTTACTTGATTGTATGCTCTATTGTCACAAACAATTATTAACATTTATATTTTTTTTTTTTTGGGGGGGGGGGGGGTAGGGGATTTTTAAAGATGATAAGACTTTCTAAATTTCATAAAATCAAAGTTACATGTCACTTACTTTGGGATACCGTCATTTTTGTCTTAATCGGGGAAACTTTGTATTACTGAACATAATTGCTTGTATGAACTGGAATAAGGACAATCAAATTTCTTTAGCAGGTGAGTTTTGTTAAGTCAACATTTTTATTCTGTCAGTTTGTAAACTAAAACAAACATTTCGGTGACACCCATTCTTGCTTATTTGTTGATTGTAGCATGTGTGTAAAACTTTTAAACTTGCCGGAAAATAATGAAGTATTTAAGGTAGTTAATTTTACTATTCATATCAGTTTGAATATCTACAAGTCTATTTACTCTTTCTTTCCTTCCAACCTTGCATCTTTCTCTCTACATTTTAAATTGTACCTTTGTTTTATGTTGTCAGATATTAACACAATAACAAATGAATTTTCTTTGAAGCCATCCATGTTATATAAATGTATGTACAGGGAACATGTTTGTGATATTTTGATGTAATACCTTTAACTGTGTGGAATGTAGGATTTATATCATAATATTATGTTGGATGGGTATGGACTGAAAGTGACACAATAGAAGTATTTACTGTTTATGTGAAGTTGATATTGTATATGACTGCCACCAAGATTAAGTTTAATCTAAATATGAGTTTATATGACTACCATCAATATGAATTTTATACTGTATATGACTACCACCTACTGTTTATTACTACCGCCAACATGATATAAATACTGTTTATAACTAGTAGTAGTACCAATTGCTGAAGATACACATTTGTTATGATTTATGATTTATGAATTGTGTTTACATTTAAATGTTAACTTATTTTGACAACTGATCTAAATAATCAAACAACAATTTGAAACCAATGTATGTGTTGTTGTTCATGATGATCAAGTACAGAGGTACTAGTGTTAGTGATTGGTATATATTAGATTTTCATCTGTTAGTTACTGAAGGGAAATTGGTACTGTATAGATAACTTTGTTGAGAAAGTGACATAAATGAAGAAACACACCCTTGATAAAATGTTATTACCTCTAGTTCACCCAGAGTCTTTCAAATAGAATTATTTAAAGACCCTGGCTCACACGAGCTGTGATGTGCTAGCATGATCACTCATCTTTCATCACTCTACATTTTTCTTTAAAGAACTCATCGTATTGTCCTATAGGATCAAAACCATACAGTGATGTTCCTTTGCCAGTCAGCTTTCAACATTGTTAAAGAAATCTAATCAATACTGAAGTCTTGTCTTGTTGCCTTGGTAACAAAAAAGGAAAAAAAAAACTTTAAATAATGTTAAAAAATTAATTTGATAAAAAATAAATGCAACTACAATGGCATTCTTTATATGAACTGGTATATAAGGAAGTCACAGTATATAAACTAAATCACTGTACCCTGTCTTGCGAGCCTATATATTTTTTGCCTGTACCTTTCTTGCAATAACAGGAAGTTGACTTGTATATAATGTGGAAATTAATTCAATAGAAATCTTTTCATAATATATAGTATGCAATATAGGGCTAACAAAACTACAGATTTTTATAATATCGAAAGTATTGTTTACTTTTTTAAAATAAGAAAAAAGAATGTATGTAACAAGCAGCTGCTGGTAATCGTGCATTATGGTTTTCCTGTCTGGTAATCTGATTACAAAAGCTATCGATTTTATGTTTATGGCTAGCCAGAAAACTTGTATACGACGAATTTTTGAGAAATTTAGATGCTTACAGGTGTACCTGATAATCCAATTTTCAAACCGTTTGATTCTGATCTTTCACGTTAAAGGGACTCAACTGAGTTTTTTTTTGACAGGACGGGGTTGGAAATAATATTTCGAGATTCATGTTACCACTTGATGTAGGTCTAGACTAAATAACTTGTGTGCAAAATTTCAGATCATTCGCTCACTCCGTTTTTTTCCGGAATATTTATTCTAATGGTGAAAATGTTTAAAATTTGAAAAGCGTTGCAACGCTATTCACTCAAATCGGGCTAAGAATAGCACAAAATCAACGCTCAATTTATTTTCGAGTACATTTCTTAATTATTGTTTGTATCTTTCTATTTTAAGTGCCCCAGCTGATCTATATAAGAAATTCATTCTTTATGTTTTGAACCTCAGTGGATTTCCTTTAATTTTGACTATATTTTTGAGACAGGCTTTTAATGATATTTTTAATTTTCAACGCAATATTTTCACGTTAGCTATAACATTACTCGGATCAGGTCGGTGTTGATTCTTCAACAGCGTCTAATCTAAGTACAAGCTTAACTGGCTGGGCTATACTTATTGATGGTGGCTTATGGATATATTAAAGAAGCGACACTGAATTCCTTGCATAACTTTTTCACGTTGTAAGACAGAATTAGTATAATTATGCGGATTGATTTCGGTGTAGGTGAACCTTACATACGGTGGTACACCTTATGCAAGGTGAATAACATAAAACATAAGGAACCTATATTTATATTTTAAATGCTAATCCAAATGTTCTATATATGCAAAATATGACGGAATTTATTACTTTATAAATCCAAAATTCCACCAAGTTGTAGTGACGTAAAGATTGTCCCTAATGCTGCTTAACTGCAATGGTACTGCGAACTATCTTATGTTTCTTGACAGGATTTGATATATAGCTGGTATAATAAAATAACATTTTCCCGTTAACGGGCTTTAATTAAATTGACAAATTAACGCCATGAGACCACTGAGGAAGTGTATTTATATACGATAGCAATGAAATTTGGAATGGTGGAACAGGCATTGGGCTTTATTTGGTTAGGTTTATTTCGGAAAGGGTCATTGTTTATCAGTGGATTATGGTGTCGTTTCTATTTCTAGAAGCCAAATCCATTTCGAAAACGTTCGGTTATATTTCATGAATGTATTTCCCCAATGTGATTTAGAATCACTTGTAGAGATTCACCAATTGATACGTTAAGATGTCTAAAGCTGCTTAACTGCTTGTTATGCGAACTATTAATGTTCTTGACAGATTTGATAATAGCTTATGATAATAACATTCCGGTCAAGGGTTAATTAAAATTGACAAATAAACGCATCCAGACCACTAGAGTGATTTAGCTATGTCAGTAATGAAAATTGAATGGTTGGACAGCATTGCTTATTGGTAAGGTTTATCTCGTACACTGGTCGCATTATGGCGTCGTTCTATTCAGAAGCAATCCATGCTGATGCGCGTTAATTCATGAAGTATTTCCCCAATGTTGATTTAGAATCACTTGTAGAGATTTAAATTGATGTTTAAATGTTTAAAAGTGACTTCAAAATGCCACTTTACACTGAAACTGTCTTACATTTTAAAGATTTGATAATAACGCGGTCAAAGGTCAAAAAAGGTTTACAAAGACCAGACTAGATTTAGTCATGACCGGTCATATTAGTGAAAAGTCTTATCTTGTCAGAAATCACGCATGATTCTATCATTTCACTAGTGAATTATGTTGTTTATATTTATCATAAGACCTAGAGGCGGTCACATACATTGGTAAGTTTATGAGCTATGTCGTTTGAAAACAAAAATCGCAAAAAAAAATGCAGGCAATCTATAATAATTTGAATTTGTCTATATATGTTGAAATATATTGAAATATCTAATTAAGTACCTTGAAACGTTTAAACAAGCATTCACTTGCAGGGGACCAAAATGCCCATGTTACGCATACTGATTGGGTTGTTGACAATACTGGCACAATCGTTTGGACCGTCTAGTGCTTCCAAACCAGGCAAGTCCAACTCCACACTGATATCTTCATTCGCTCCCTTGCCTAATGTTTTACGTATATCTGCATTTAACATTAAAACGTTTGGACGAGCTAAAATGAGCGATCCGTTTAAAGCCGGAATAATCCGAGATGTAAGTAATATTTTCTGCTGCAACAAATGTGTTTATTCTTGTTTGCGTTCTTGTTAAAAGCTTGATTTTTTTGGAATAAAGTAGTTTGACACCAATATAATAGTATAGATCTTCAGGTTTCAGAGTTTTCAGATATACAAATAGGTTACAACAAAATCACGTAACGGTCACTGTATACATCCGGATGTCCATGGACTAGTGGTCCCGGTCAATGACTTCAAACCACTTGCTTCCTTACCACTTTTGGTTCGAATTTGGTTCGGATTCTTCGTGTGAGGAAGCTATATATCCAGCTAGATTACGGAACGTCGATGGTTCTACTCTGGTTTCAGCTCGTGCCTGAAATAATGCACGGAGGGACACCTTAGGTCTTCGCCAGCCAGTGAAGACATAATATTATAACCTGCATTACTGCGACGAAAACCCCAACCAAAATTATTAATAATAATAATAATAATAATATCAACAATATAGAGGTTATTCAAAATAATGACATAGCATATTTAATTGATTCTTTTCGTGTTGTTTAGAATACTTTATGTTTTTAAGATTGTAAAGCGATATGACGTTATCTTAATACAAGAAATTCGGGACATCAGCGGTGAAGCCCTGCAACAACTGTGGGACATGGTAGATAGGTAGGGCATTAATTAAAACGACGTTCATTCTATAACGTCACGACTCCATGATTGATATCGTTTTATATTGTAAACATAATACAATTCTGTTCAAGGAATTCAATAAATTTAATAATGAAGCTATACGAATCTAACAATCTATTCATAACATACCCAAACTGCGAACAATAATATTCGCATATACAAAGAATAATTTGTCATTGGCGTGCTAATACTACATTAAATTCAGCGTGAATACGTTACGTTCGCTATTACGCATATGACGTCAAGTAAAAATATAATATGAGCCTACAAACCATATGACGTTTAAAATGTACAGATGTGTCAAACAAAAGTTTGTTTTTGTTTTTGCATATGTTATTATATATTGATTTCCTTCTTTGAAGAGGAGGTATGCTTCTAGTTACTTACATGTATATATAGAAAAGGTAACATTTGAATTATATGTATGATAGAGGGTTAATGAAGGTGGGAACTTTAAGACGTTAAATTAAAATAATTCGGGTGTCACTTATAACATTTTCATAATACCAAATGTAAATAAAAATTAGAAAAGATGATGTTTTAATGATGAATCATTCTGTAGGACACAGTACAGCATGGTATACAGTGAACGACTTGGAAGAAGTTCGTACAAGGAACAATATGCTTATTTCTACAAGTAAGTTTTGCGTTGCCAAATATAGCATTTTCTCCTTGGAATATCTAGCTGTTACTAAATTACACTATATTTACGTTCAGCTGATCAACCATTTTAGGAAGTACAATTCTAATTAAAATGTGTTGTCCAGGAGTATGATCTATATAATTTTATGTAGGCTAACATGTTTACGTTCTTCGCCTCCTATAACTACTTACATTAATCATGTTACCACCGGTGTTTCGTAGTCCCCCCACCTGCCTATTTCGCTTTTGTCGTCAGTAAACTGTCAATTAAGTCCTTTAAATAAAATTGATGCAAAATACATTTTGGGTTCTTCTAGATTTTCGACAGTTCAAGTTATCGACGTACATCAATACGATGATGGACCTGATGACTACACTGATCCGTTTGAGAGAGAACCATTTTCCGTGAGAATGAGGCCAGTTGGAGGTGACACCATTTTATCTTATTTTAGTATATTGGCGATTCGACATATGTACAAATTTATTATCTAAATTAGAATCGAATTAGCCTTATAATTGACCAAAAATGCGATTTTCAATTTAATTCCGTCTTAATTGAGTATATTTCTTTAAGCTGTATGCATGTCTTTCTGTTTTGAGTGTCCCTGTTGATCAATGTAAGAAATTCATTTTTTTTTGTTTTGCGCATTTTTAATCTCTGTGGCGTTCCTTTATACTAGCCCACATTCTTAATAAAACTTTGATTTTTTTTAAACAAACCAGGTGGTTGGGACTTTGCATTGGTTGGCATTCACGTGAAGCCCGCTGACGCTGTTAAAGAAATTGCCTTTCTTTATGACGTTTATAATGACGTCAGAAACCACTGGCGAGACGTTCAGGTTATTACAGGAAAATAACTCTTTTTTTATTACTAATGAATATTAAAAATCATTTGGAAGTAAATGTAAGGACTTTGAACATAGAGATCTGATCATCTATATATAGATATATTGTATTTAACCGTAAACGGGAGCACGAATATGGGACTTTTCAGGAGTATTGGTTGCAGACATTACATTGAGACAATATTTGCCCTGAATAATATTTGTGTGGTGTCTCTATTATTTTTCAGTTATCTTAAATATATAAATTAACTTATTAATGCTTATTTTCCTGTATCTGGTTGGCGCTCTAACTGTTGTAATTTCGATGGTGACGTATGGTGGGTGATGTCTGAGACTTTGCCCCGTGCGTTTCGCTCTCCCTTGTGAAATTTATATTCATACTTAAATCACATTCGAGTCTACAACTTGACTAACCAGTTATAGTTACAAATCAATAAAAAAATGTCGTTATAAAAGTAAGAACGGAACCCGAGAGACTTACCACCAAGTTTACTATACCATCATCATTTTGTTGTTATAGGATGTCATCATACTGGGAGATCTTAACGCCGCATGTTCATATGCTAGGGAAACTGATCTGAAAGGTCTTACTATCTATGATCAAACACAGTTCCTGTGGCCGCTAGGTTTTGATGCTGATACAACTACCAGTACAAACACTGACTGTGCATATGACAGGTTTGTTTAGAAACGAAATAACCTTATTTTACACACTTACGGCGATAAACTTAGTAAAGACTCGTTACCCTACAATAATGCATTTATTCAACAGAAAGAAATTTCGAAGTATATTAAGTCCGTAGAGACAAGATATGAATCATTATATTATTATGCTAGAGTAATAGGTATACTACGATTATGACTCTGAATACATTTACGAATTTCAAAATGTTATTCTGTGATTGCTCTGGAGATACAATCGTTTACAAAGGAGTAGAATTCAGACAAAATCTATACTTAGGACGTATGTGTCTTTGACAGATATATAATTAAGACCTCAGAGACACGTAAAATATCATCTGGGGTTAATGAGAAATGCCATCTGTGGTTAATAAGAAAAGAATCAAACGCTATAAAAACCTATCTGGTAGGTGTGCCGGTACGGTCACTTATGGTGTTTAAATAATGACCAAACAATAGCTGATTTTATGAAAAGCGTATACACCAAAGCATATTAATATAATACATAAAAAACAATGAAAATTCTTATCTAGTATATGGTGAAATGAACTTTTAGGTTTATAATTTCTGGTCAAAACATACGTTCAGCATTTATTCCTGGAAGTGAAGGCATTTATAAATTTGAGGAGACGCACAAATTGGACTACAGTCAGGTAATGTATGAAATTCCATTCTTCTAGTTAATAAAATTCTTTATACATGTAATTTATATTGATAAAAGCTATATTACTAATTAGATTTCGGAGTGTCTTGCCCTATTTATCAATTTATATGCAGTTATTACAACCAACGAAGATTAAAGAGAACATCCACAGTCGGGCAACTTTAAACATAAGTTCAGAGACATATAAGAACTTGATAGCAAGAGCATGCTAATAATAGAAGTTATGTGCCAAAATACATCGTTTCTATTCACATGTATTCTTGAGTATAAATTTTGATCTTTGTAATATCCGGAATTCAGCTGTACATGCCACATTGATTTTTGCATACAAAAGCTGTTAAATTGAGCATCAATTAATGTTTTAACTGTGTAAGACTAAAATCACGTGACATACGATTATAAAAAGGTTATAATGAACACTTTCTCAATATTTAGATGGTGGATGTCAGCGATCATTACCCAATAGAACTTGAATTGTATTGAAAATATGATAAAGTTCATGTTATAATAACAATAAAATTGATTATCTAATGACAAACGTCTTGGTTTCTCTAGTTTCAACTTTTTGAAGACCGGATCATTACGAGGCTCGAACTAAAGTTAATTACTGGTAAATGTTCATGATACATTTAAATCAAGAACACATGTACTACTCTTATACAGGGTCTTTCAAATAGAAAGGTTTTGAAAGACCCTGTCTTATATTATGATGTGCTTGTATTTGAAAACATTTAAATCAAGAACACTCGTACAAAGAGACATGTAAATCAACAAGAACTGTCGGAGAACAGTAACGCTCGACTATTCGAAAAGTTGTCACAAGTGTGTTTCATTGAGTATAATAATGCTTACCTATATGAATACATAAACTTGTTCCAAAAGGTACAAAGGCTTGTTATTAAGATGTTTTATCGAGTTAATCATGAATGCATAAAATTGTTCCAGAAAAAGCACAAACCCTTCAGTAGTTATGGAGATACCAGCTTACAAGCAAAAACTTTACCAAGAATTTCTAAGCCGAAAAAGGTGCATAAATATGAAAAAAAAAACTATGGGTCTTGTGCCAATCATGTTAAATAATCACAGAGAACAATGTTGAAGTTTCAATCCATTCCCTTCAGTAGTTATGGAGATACAAATTAAGCTTGCACTCAAAAACTTTACCAAGAATTTCTAAGTCGAAAAAGGGGCATAATTATGCAAAAAAGCGGATCAGAGTTATGGGACTTGTGCCAATCATGTTGAATAATCACAGAGAACAAGTGTGTGAAGGTTCAATCCATTCCCTTCAGTAGTTATGGAGATACAAGCTTGCACGCAAAAACTTTACCAAGAATTTCTAACTCGAAAAAGGGGCAGTTATGCAAAAAAGCAGATCAGAGTTATGAGACTTGTGCCAGTCATGTAAGATTATCACAGAAAACAAGTGTGTGAAGTTTCAATCCATTCCCTTCAGTAGTTATGGAGATACCAGCTTGCACGCAAATACTTAACCAAGAATTTCTAAGTCAAAAAAGGGGCATAATTATGCACAAAAGCAAATCAGAGTTATGGGACTTGTGCCAGTCATGTAAGATTATCACAGAGAACAAGTGCGTGAAGTTTCAATCCATTCCCTTCAGTAGTTATGGAGATACCAGCTTACACCCAAAAACTTAACCACAGGGACGCCGACGCCGACACCAACGCCGACACATCGGTGACTGCATTAGCTTGATTATTCTGCGAATAGTCGAGCTAAAAACAATTGTATTAGGAGATATTTACGTCAAGAACACTTATATTATGAGACATTTAAATCAAGAACCCTTTTATTATAAGACATTTAAATCAAGAACACTTGAATTATGAGACATTTACCCTTTCTGAAACCAGGAAAAAATGAATCAACCAAGTCATCAAGAATGGTTTATAATGTCTTTTTTATTTAAGTATGAAAAATGAAGAAATAAATGTACACAGTATAAATGTTATACAATACATGTATATCAGTGTATAAAAACAGATCAACAATTGATAGTTATACATTAATACAAGCACATGACAAAAATATAAAATCATATTGTCCATAAATAAATGAAATACTGCATGATTTAAACAGCATGGTCGACTGTTTTACTTCACACATTGGATTATATCCTCAATAAAATAACATTATTATACATGCAATATGAAAAAGGTAAGTTAAACAGAGCTAGGCTCCTCGATGACATACATATAAAATATATATAGAATGATACATCAAAATAGTACAAAAAGAATAAAACTCTGTTTTCTTTATGAATTATATGAGGCATGCAGATGAGTACCAAAACAGCTGTAGTGTTCCAAGGCTACCATGTATCTACTCTGTATGGATGCACAACTTATTCTACCTGTGCATTCTGGTAATAGTCTGCATTGCTTGCTATTCAGTCTTTATAATTTTCCATTGTTATGATGGACGTTTATTTCAGATATTTATCATGGTTAGGGTTAAATTGATGAAAGCAAAATGGTTCTAAAATTTTAAAATTTAAATGTACATTTTGTATATAAATGTGTAATATATTCCACTATTAAACAAGAGCTGTCCGTAAGACAGCGCGCTCGACTTTTTTATTGCTTGCCAATAAAAAAAGTTTTTGCAGTAAAAGGCAATACAAGAATCTCTGTATTTTTAAAGTGAACTAGTTGTTTGATACCCTTGAATATTACAGCAATGTTTATATGACATAATTTATGGTAAAGTGAACAAGTGGATAGGAATGAATTTTTTTAGATTTTTTAAGTTTTTTAGTGCTTGCCTATAATACAAAACATTGACAGTTAAGGGCCATAATTCAAATAAAATCTTTGACAGAATTACCTTCTCCTGGACATGTTTGGGAATCATGATTGTAAACAAGTATTCCAACTTTCAAATTAATATCTCAAACAGTTCAGTCAAAAAGTGGACTGGTACTAAAAACTTAACCAAGATTCTAATTCGATAAAAGGCCTTAATTTTTAAAACAAATCCTTGACAGAGTTACCTTCTCTTGCGTACAGATGGGGGTAATGATGTGAAATAGCATTAAAAGTTTCAAAGCAATATCTCAAAGGGTTAAGGCAATAAGTGGATTTTACCCATATTCAATGTATTTTCTAAGTCAAAAAGGGGCATAATTCTGTCAAAAACCTTGACAGAGTTATGTCCTCTTGTCTGTTGATGAAGGTCGTGATGGTAAACAAGTATGGTCAGTTTCAAAGCAATACCTCCAATGGTTTTGAAATAAAGTGAGGTGGTACAAAAAAATTAACCAAGCTCAATACACTTTCTAAGTCAAAAAAGGGCCATAATTCTGTCAAAAACCTTGACAGAGTTATGTACTCTTGTCTGTAGATGGAGGTTATGATGGTGAACAAGTATGGTAAGTTTCAAAGCCATACTTGTAATACTTCTGAAATAAAGTGGGGTGGTACGAAAAACTTAACCAAGGTGTGACGCCAACGCCGACGCCGACGCCGGGGCGAGTAGGATAGCTCCCCTTTTCATAGAAAAGTCGAGCTAAAAAGTATTCAAAAGTTAACAACAATTTAATGTCACTGACGGATGTAACTATAATACCTGTTAAATAAAACTCCTTTCCATTTTTAATAATTTAACAGTACATATATAGACAGACAAACAACCTGATCAAAGGAAATAAATTCAGAAAGTAAATACAAATGTATTGAAAACCGAAAACACCTGCCGAGAAAACAAGCAGTGCTCCTACTGTTAAGCACAAAACCTTTGTAATATTTACCTTCTATATTACACTGCCTTATTTTGCAACTTACAGAATTTCCTAATCTATTATCTTGGAGGTGCATTTTTCAAAAGGAGGCAGGAAAAGGTCTTCTCAAAGTTTCTACATGTTTCTTATGTTAAATAAGCTTAAAACATACAAAAAATAAAGTTTCATAAAATAACAATCACAAACCTCATAGCAAAGCAGAGATACAAATTAAAGCTACAAATACTGGCCTTTGTACAATTAAATCACATACAAATATATACATGGAAAAAAGACAAAACAAGCTCTAAAAACAATGACAGTGATCTTAATATAAACATATTTTTGTGAAATTTAGTGCAATAATATATCAGTGTTACTATGGCAACAAGTAAATAATTCTCATGCTAAACTAGCTACCTATGTTCTAGTTAATTCAAGGTAATTTTGCATTATTACCCCTCAGAAGTTTTCAACTTTAATAATTCCAAGCATTAATTTTGCAAAACAAAAACAAATTCTCATAAATATTAAATATAAATTGGTAAACAAATATTGTGACAAAATTTGACAATTCTCTCCCCAGCATTAAAAACTGACAATAATAGCTTAACAATGCAGTGGTAAAAACACAACCCCACTCAAAGCAGCATGCCTTCAGAAGAACATGACTTTAAATATATCAAATAAGAATCATATCATATCGAATTTCATCTTTCATAAAATTAATCAAGGTATAATATTTTAAGCCAAAATAACCAAACTATATATGTTATATTTATATCCAATTTCAAACTGATTCTCTTATATTGCAGAATTGTTTTCAGCATAATTTATGTAATAAACAAGTTCTTATAGTAACAGAGTTTTATTAATAAATTAACAATACATACTTCCTAATAAGTATAACAATAGTAATATTTTAATTATATTCCGTTAAAAAAGTTTTCAAATAAGAACTTCAAGCTGCAATACTACTATACCTGAATCCAACATGTATCAACTATTAGCAAATATATAAATATATGTTTAGTGAAACAAACAAACTCATTATAAACATTGGACAGATTTATGGGGTATTAAACAAAGCATAAACTTGTGATCCTTTTTATTCAAACAATATACATGATATACTTAATGATAAGTTCGTTGGAACAGTGCCAAAACTATATCTATTATTAGCAACAATACTTCTATTTATAGTAACAAAACACAAAAAAGTATCCCTAAATAACAGTACTTCAGTAGTTAGAATTTGATATTTTTTAAGCCTGATGAAGAGTATTGTATTACTCGAAACTAGTAGCCAATAAAAACTTTTTAAACTTGACCTGGTGTTGTATGTGTGTTCCTCACCTGCTTTACTCATTATTAGCAAATAAGTTCATAACTATTCAGCATTAAATGCAGAGAAAACATTTTGTGCTATTGGAATTCAATAAAATGCTAATATCACATTAAAGGAACTCCACTGAGGTCCAAAAGCATAAAAAATATAAAATTTGAATTTCTTTGGCACTAGAGCACTTAAATCAGAAAGATATGCAAACGATGATTAAGAAATTTACTCAGAATAACTAGTATTTTTGCACTATTCTTTGCCCGATTTGAGACAAAAGCACAATGCTTTTCAATTTTGTGTCATTTTTCACAATTTGGATAGTTATTCTGAAAGCGTATGATTTGAAATTTTGAACATAAGAAATTTGTCTAAATCTACATCAAATGGAATATCACACTTGGAAAATTACTTTCAGTCCTGTCATATCAACAATCCTCCGTTGAGTCCCTTTAATAACATGATTCTTATGATAATATATGAATTATTTTCACATATCTATAAACTTCCTATATCATTAAACTTTTTCAATTCACTATTAAAATTATCTTTATATAGCACTGGGTCAGCTCGGAATTCCACAGATTTTAATGGCATAGACTGATACACACTTGTGAACTGGTTGATACACTCAGATCGTTCCACCATATGTGTAATATCAGCTGATAACATCTCTGTGTTAATACACTCGGGACACTTAAACTTTTTTCTTGGCGTAACTTTAATGGGTGCTTTGCCAGTGACATTTGAGATGAGGAAGTTCATGGCAATATCTTCACAGTTCATGTGGTCATCCACCCAGGACTTTATATTGCCTGGCATATTTGATGTGTACAGGTAACTGAAATACTGAAATATAAAAAAGAGATAAAATTAAGACATGTATAGCAGAGCCATCTGGTAAGCTCAATAGGTAGAGCAGTGGACAGTGAATCGGGCAGTACGGGTCCAATTCAAATAGTTTTTTGCCAAAATGAAGGCAACTAGTACTGGTAAACTGCTTGACAGCATGCCCTGGAATGAGCGTTGGCTGAACAGTGCTCTGGTAAATTCAATTTAGCTTACTATGAAAACTACCAACACACCACCACCAGACATGTATAGCCCGGATTCAATGCTGTATAGTCACAACAACAACAATCTAATAGCTGTCATATTTTATATACTCTTTAAGTAATTATAACATTAGCATAAAAAAGTATGTACAAAGTACTGAGACATCAGTCCTGTAACCTTACAACTTAGGTTTAGTATGAAAATACATGTAAATACAATTCCTATCATTGGTAGATTAATGTTACTATAAACAATTAACTATTACAGTGGTTATTTGTTTAATGCAGAAATATGTAATTAATATAATCCTTAAAATGGTTTTGATTCATCTGAAAAGTATGCAAGAAGCATTTTGTAATGAGCAGTAACTACATGAGTCAATTAAAGAAAGTTGCAAACATTTTCTACATTACTTCTAAAGAGTGTATGTGAAAAGTTAAAAGTCATAAAACTTATGCAGAAAGTTACAGCAGTATTGTATGAACCTGCTAGCAGATCAGTCATAATTTTTTTTTCATAAGTTGAACCAAACAGACAAGTTGAACCAAACAGACAAGCACTGGTACATTAAAGTAATATGACAAATATAAAATCAAGATTGCCAACCGATTTCAATTTGAAGTCCTAAGATAACCTTTGGTACAAGTTAATCAAAATTGATACAGCAAATTAATTTTATTCATATCAGTCTGCTAATGTATGGTAGATTTCTGGTCTCTATATATGACTTGAATTACCAATGTAAACAAATAAAAACTCCCCTCCACCCAGATTCATATCCATCAGAAGAATAATATAATATAGAGTAACCCTTGAGAGATGGTCAGTCTACAAATCTGCATATTTTACCTTGTGATAGAAAGCAGCTCCAGTGAGCACCATTGAAATAGAGTTTGTCCATTCAGACTCATATCTCCACTTTCCTGTTGTGTTGTCCCACAGGTGAACCCGTGATGGAAAACCTACTAAACGATCGGGAAACTCACGCCATACCTAAAAATTAAACAGACTAGAACTATCACTAAATGTGATTAATACCCCCACAAGACTGCTTCGGAAATGAGGATGTTACTAGTAACAGAATACCTTGTAAAAGAATTGAAATATAGAGTTATGGTTGTTAGCAATTAAAGATAGTTGTGGTTCTTCTATGTTGCATATCCTTTCAATGTGGTTGGCCTTTGATGAAGTTTAATTGAATTACTCTGTAATAAGTCCAGAAAGACAAAGAAAAGGAACAAAGGGCAAAAACTCTATAAAAACTGAAGATAGAGTTATAGTTCTTGTGCACTGCACTTCCTCTTATTGTGCTTGAACATTGTATGAAGTTGTTTTGAATTCCAACCAGTACGCATTAAGTTATGCTCAGGACAAGGAAAAGTATCGAAGGGCAGTAACTCTGTATTTTGTCAAAATGGAGTTATGGCTCTTGTGCACTGTACTTCCTTTTAATGTCCTTGACAACTGTATGAAGTTGTACTGAATTCCAAACAGTAGTTTTCAAGTTATGCTCTGGACAAGGAAAAGTAACAAAGGGCAATAACTCTGTAATTAGTCAAGATGGAGTTATGGTTCTTGTGCACTGCACTTCCTCTCAATGTGCTTGACCATTGTATGAAATTATAATGAATTCCAACCATTAGTCTTCAAGTTATGCTCCGGACAAAAAAGCAATGGAAAAGTAACAAAGGGCAATAACTCTGTAATTAGTCAAGATGGAGTTATGGTTCGTGTGCACTGCACTTCCCCTTATTGTGCTTGACCATTGTATGAAGTTGTTTTGAATTCCAACCAGTAGTTTTCAAGTCATGCTCTGGACAAGGAAAATTAACAAAGGGCAGTAACTCTGTAATTAGTCAAGATGGAGTTATGGTTCCTGTGCACTGCACTTCCTCTCAATGTGTTGAACATTGTATGAAGTAATATTGAATTCCATCCATTAGTCTTCAAGTTATGCTCCCGACAAAAAAGCAATGGAAAAGTAACAAAGGGCAATAACTCTGTAATTAGTCAATATGGAGTTATGGTTCTTGTGCACTGCACTTCCCCTTATTGTGTTTGACAATTGTATGAAGTTATTTTGAATTCCAACCAGTAGTTTTCAAGTTATGCCCCGGACAAGGAAAAGTAACAAAGGGCAATAACTCTGTAATTAATCAAGATGGAGTTATGGTTCTTGTGCACTGCACTTCCTCTCAATGTGCTTGACCATTGTATGTAGTTATATTGAATTCCAACTATTAGTCTTCAAGTTATGGTCCGGACAAAAAAAAGCAATGGAAAAGTAACAAAGGGCAATAACTCTGTAATTACTTTAGATAGAGTTATGGTTCTTGTGCACTGCACTTCCCCTTATTGTGTTTGACAATTGTATGAAGTTATTTTGAATTCCAACCAGTAGTTTTCAAGTTATGCCCCGGACAAGGAAAAGTAACAAAGGGCAATAACTCTGTAATTAGTCAAGATAGAGTTATGGTTCTTGTGCACTGCACTTCCTCTCAATGTGCTTGACCATTGTGTGTAGTTATATTGAATTCCAAGCATTAGTCTTCAAGTTATGCTCCGGACAAGGAAAATGCAACGGACGTCTGGACCGACCGACCGACCGACCGACCGACCGACCGCCCGACCGACCAACCGACCGACCGACCGACCACCGGGTGACTCCTATATACCCCCCCAAACTTCGTTTTTGGGGGTATAAATATTTATCAACGGTCAAACATGTAAATCTTGTTAGTTTCTCATATCTATCAAATATCATTTTATGTTTTTTTTTCTATTCTGGTGAAATGGAACACTGTTTGAGGATGACCTCTAAAGGTTTTTGAAAATTTAATCTGATGACCCAAGCTGACAGATCTTTAAATACATCAAAGATATCATCAATATAAATATTCTAACAAAGTTTAATGATAATCAAAATTGTGAATTCTAGTGTTCACAAACTCTTTCTATGATTCAATCTGTTAATCTAGATTTTCACCCATGATGACACATATTCAAACCCATATAAGATACCACTAATAAAATTTTTTGACAAAGTTTGATAAAGATCCAATCAAAACTGTCAACCGCAGAGTGTTAACTGTTGATGCCGGACACTGGAACGACTGGCTTATTCTAATAATTCATTTCAGTTATAGCTCAGGTGAGCTAAAAACCAAATAAAAATTTTACCTCAAATCCAAACTGTAATTCATCAGCTGTCAACATGACAATATCATCATCTAGAGCAAGAATACATTCTGTCTCTATCTCTTTATATGCCTTAAACCTAGAAATTATCACAAATTTAAATATCATCCATTCATGAACAAGTTCAATATACAATATAATTTTATGCAAGGGTTGTTTAAAAAGTACATGTTATAGGACTATGACTCTACTATTCACATCTCTTTATGTACATCATTTTTGTTGCTTTAAAATGGTGTATAAAGGTGTGAATAGTAGAGTCACAGTCCTAATACATACAAATAATTGTAAATGTCCTTTATATACAGAGAAAAAAAAACAACAACACCAATTCAATTTGTTTAAAAGTAATAATATTATTGATTCATTCCAAAAGTTCAATACAGTCAAGTGTTTCACTATGCCTATTCTAATTTCCCACCTCCCAGAATAGACTTAACCTGCTGAATCTATTTCTCAAATGGACTTGTCCAGCCTCCATTTTTGGAACTTCCCATTATTAGTTATGGGGATATCAAGATGAAAATTTATAAGTAAGCCAGCCATCAGTATAGAGCCTGGTCGGAATGAACAAATATGCAGGCTGGCCTGGCTCTATACTGGTGGCAAAGGCTAATTACTTTTGATTCCAGCAAGTTAAGGGATTATAAAATAAAGATACTCTGTTTCTGTAACTTACTTTATGTCAGTAAAATAAGAACATGAAGAAATAGTAATGAACAGTGTAAAGGTCAATGGCGATATTCTAAACATTACTGAGATTATTACATTATGTACAAATTATATTATGTAACAAGTGATGTAAAAACCATCATGAAGAAATTGATATCTTATATATAACTGATCACACAAGTGTTGTAATTATGAATGTATACCTATTGCTCAGTTTGTTCTCTGATGTCTGGATTACTTTCAGTGGTGTCCCAGTATTAGGCCATGCTGACTCTAAAATATACATTTTTTTAAGGTAACTACATGTACATTTACAACATCCCTTTTTATTAAACTTAACTGACAAGAAGGTACACAATATACTAGTAAACAATTTGCTTCCTTTACTTCCTGTTCTTTCTTTGTTGTATAACAAGTATATTTTCATCTATCAGATACATGGTATTTATATTTATGCCTTTACATAAATTGTGTCCAGAAAAATCAATAAATTACATACAATAAATGAATTAAATCATTTTTTCATGTCTTTTTCTCAATGAAAAGTAATAACTCTCTTGAAACTATTTAGCCTAAAATTCTGATATTTTATCTTTATTCATTTGACCATGTAAATCTGTTGATATACACCTACAGACATATTGTAGAAAAATGGCAATTACACATAAAACTAGTTAAAGAATTACTATGCTCATCTTATGGCAAAATACTTTTATCACAGAAATTAAGCAGCAAAATACTTTATCACAGAAATTCATTGAAATCTAGTAAATTCTTCCTGAATATGTCTAATCTAAATAAGTGAATGTATAAACTATGTTTGGGAAGCATTCCATATTATTGGCCAAATTAATTAATATTAATTCTATTCTTATAAAAACTGCCAGTTTTTTTTTCAATGACAAAATGTTTCCATACTGTGATTACTTTTAGTGTGTAGAGTTTAAAAAATAACATTTTTTCTCTGTGTGTATTCAAAAGATGTTTAATAATATTTACATTTCAAAAGAGACTGTGTAGTTATTATAAGTTTTTTTCAATTATCAAATTTGAGCATAGTATATCCGTCAAGCAAACCTTAATTGAAATACAAGATGTCACTTAAACTTTAATTTTTTGAAATGGAAATCTTTGACCATATATCAATATAAAACAGCAGCAGTGCAGCCAAGTGGTTAACAATTCAGACTAGTAATCTAAGGATTGATGCAAGGGTCCAAACCTTGTCACGAGCAAGCTGTTGTTTCCTGGAGCAAGACATTTTACACTCACTGATTAGTGCTAGTTGGTTCTAGGTAAGGATTACACTAAACAGTGTTTCAAGTACATTACATCTCCCACCATTAAGCTCAAACAAATTGGTAAGCAAGAACTAACCATGAGGTGGTGTTTTCTCCTGGTTATTCCACACTACAATAATCTTGGCCAGACTGGGTACCTTGGCAACTTGTAGTATAACATCAAATAATGATTCCAGTCTGTCATATGTCAAGATGACAGCAGTAAAACCTTGACTACTGGGTGGCATCAAAGGCAGGAACAATGGATTCCTAGAAGCTCCCTAAAAAAATTGAGAAAAAGTGTCAATTAAAATATCTGCAGGGTTTCCATTTTTATGTGGGGCAACAGATGTGTCAAAGAAAAAAACAACACTTTACCCAATGGTCAAGTTTGTTTGTTTCATTTTATGCCTTTACCCAACAGTATTTCAGTCATATAGGCCGGTAGTTTCCTAACCATCGTTCCTGGAGAGTTACACCAGTACTAGACTACCTTCCTCCGCGCTAAACTATCAAAGCATCTCCCGGGGATCGAACCCACGCCAGAGAGGTTACTGGATTAAAGTCATCAACTCTAACCCCTCGACCATGGAGGCGGTTCAATGGTCAAGAGGGATATTTTAATCTACAAGCTGAAAAACCAAAACAGCTACTACCGGCTTGCATAATATTATTTTATTCAACTTGTTCAATAAATTTAGTATTAGATCTAAACTCATTCAATATTCTTTATGTACTTTATGTATTAATCGTCTCCCAATACCAAAATAAATATTGTTCTATAGTTTACCAGTCTTGGGAAGTCATTCCATTCCTCATATTTTCTGCCAGCATATGGAAACACTCTATCATTGATGATTTGTAAGGTAGTAAGTGTGATGTCCTTCATTGTACGGAAATATTTATGGAAGAAAAATTTAACTTGCTGCCTCATTTCAAAGATACGGTCTTGACTAAATGATTGTAGAATTTTGATGACGTCACCCAGGTCATCCTCCCTAACTGTCACAGCTGCCCTGTAAAACATCATTCAAACTTTCAGCTATAACTTTTGTGAAATCACAGACTTTGTGTGAAATTTTTAATTTTGTCAAATTTTATTTCCATGCAACATTGCTGTAAATAAAATAAATTCATTTCCCAATCTTCTAATTTTAGAAACTCATTATAAATAGCTCCCGGGACACTGTTTTGAAAAAGGATTAACAATGATATGATAAAAAAGATAAAAATACTTAAATACTTTGTTTAAAACAGTACAGAATTGTTTTTGCAAACAAAGAAAAAAAGCTGAAGTTAGCTTTAAAGCGCTGAAATGAACCTAACAGATTACAAAAATGCCAATAGCGTCGGTACCGTCAGGTTATTTTTGTTCTTAACCTAGAAAATAATCTAGTCATGTAATGCAAAATTTCACAGATTTCAACAGTAAATATGTAAAGCATCAACTCAATTTAGACCATATTAATATATCAATTACCTTTTCCAATCTAGAACTTCAGAAAAAGGCATGACATAACTGTCCGCAACAACAACAGGTATACAGTTTGCCTTCATAGCATCATACATTGCTGTCTGTCCTAGTCTTGAACCTCTCAATACTAGACAAAATGTGGATTCCTTAAAAAATATCAAAATAAATCATCTGAACAAGTTTGCAATACATACTGTATCATTTATAAGACTTCAGTGAAGGTTTGATTTTTTATTCAGAGTCTTTTTTATATCAGAGAAAATCATAAGTACATTCTGTAAATGATTAAAAGTTAAAGTATTAAGGGAGACAACTCCAGAACAGCATTTGCTGTGTATTTGTTACAGTTCTAGAACTTGTAACCTGTGTATATTGGATGTCACCTGGTATTCTGTATTATGAACTTGTGGCTTCAATCTATGCCTACTTTATTCATTGATTAATATGCACTCAAGCCAACTTAACAACAATCAAATGCCTCATTTCTCTGTATTTTCAATTCAACAGTTTTGGAATTCTCCACCAGACATATTTTGCTAATTTTTTTTATTGTAATATAGTTTCTAGCCTTTTGCAAAAGTTTTAAAAGATAGATAAATGAATAAAAATGGACATGTAATTATTTGTCATGTTTTATTACCATGGATAGCATTTGTTTCAAAGATGCATTGGAAATGCACTCTCTTAGTCTAGAATAACTATCACAAGATCACTATGAATCTCAAAATAGATAAAAGCCCATATATCACAATATAAAGGCAATATACAGGGAAATTTAAATAACCCTCCAGAACTGTTTTCATTCATAAGGGCAAGTACAGCACAAATCATGTCGGAGTTTTGTAAATAAATGAATATTTTACCAGAAGAACATCTGGATACTGGAAAGTTAGTGTTCCCTGACATCTCTTTGTGAAATCCCAGTTATTGTCAGTGCCGAGACATTTCTCTACATACAGAAACTGTGTCTTGTCCAGTGTTTGTAGGACCTCTTTATATTCCTGATGTAAACCTGTCTGAGTGGATACCAACAACCATTGGCGAGGCTCACTGTAAAATATGTAAGCCACTCAACATAACAATACAGAAAACTCATGGTCTTCAAAAGACATGCTTTTTACATCAAAAATATTATTATTGGATATCTCCTTCACATAAATGTCTTAGAATAAAAAACAAAAAAGCAAGTTTTTAATGTTGAATTTCACTTGTTTCATATATAATTGCACCTGCCTTTTTTTAAAATGCATTTACTTTTATCCCTGTCAAAGGTTTTAATAAATGTCTAGGAATTGGTTGCCTTAAAGAACATTCAATTTCATTTAGAGCAGAAAGCTGACACGAGTTACGGACAGCACAAAGCTGAGCGGCCGAATTTATGGAAAATTTGAGCACTTGTTATACACATTATTCCTAGTAATAATTTTAACCAATTTTGCTGACTGTATGATATATTAAAGATTTCTACTAAAATTGTCCATATTACACATTTGTCTTTTTTTGTCATTACTTTAAACTAACATAAATTTTAAGTGAACTGAACACACTTACACGTATGATTTTTCTGGAAGATGAATACTGGCTGTAAGAGGGTTATACACTGGTATAGATATGTCATATGTTCGTCTGTATGTCCAAGATGAAAATCCGCCCCCAGCAATCACTGCCTTCCCCACATTTACATCTATAACATTGTTATACTCAGGCACACTGCCTGGCAGCATGTTCATCAATAAATGGTTTGCTCCATTTCCCCACCTTTATTTTACAAAGTACGACACGTTTTCATTCAAATACATACTGTGATACATGTAAAACACGAAACTAATAGAATATAAAAATCTGTTAAGTCTACTTGTTCACACTTCTGAGTGAATTTCATTTCTCCCTCATAAATGATAATAATGATATACAGAGTACATATTGGCTATTTTCAATAAAATAACCAGAATCATTTATCATAAATACATGTAAATTATAGCTACAATCATTGTGAGCATAATATTTATGATAAATTTTTCTTCCATTAAATTAGTATTTTAGCTTCTGACTTTTTACAAAATTCAGGGCACAGAATTGAAATGATCTACAATTAAAGATACAAGATATTATAAAGATTTTTATTGTGATTGATGTTAATTGACTTGCACTTTTTACATGTTATATTAAAGGAGAATATATAGATAACTGGTAGAAAAGGAAAAATACAAAGAAACTACATGTCAAGACCAGATTAATATGGATTATATTTTAATTAAGATATACCCGTTTCGAACCCATCTGGTTCTTCATCAGGAGAATATATATAGTTATAAAATATTTCATAGTTTACCATTTTAAAGCTGCCAGTGCCTGACTTGTTTCCTTCAACCTGAGTTTATTCTGGTTAAGTAGATCTATTGATGGTACATATAGACAACATTTGGTCGGATCACTTGTGTAGAATGGACTTTCCATGATGGCTGACAGAACCTCATAGAACTCCTTCGATATTGATAACAGCATTGATCTCCCAGACTCATCTATGAACTGATATAGAAATACTATAGTGTTATTGTAAGAACATCTAAATCTGATCCTTTGTATTTCACTAGAGGAGCATTTTGCTACAAATGTGGGACAAAGTCTTACAAACTGCTTATTAGCTGAAGTGTAATTCATTTGTCCAGTACAAGTTCTGCATCAGCCCTCTCTTACAATTATCAGGGCTCACGCTGTCGGTCACCATAGTTGCCATTTGCGATTATTTTATAAGATTGGCGATTATTTTTGCATTTTGGCTACAAAATCTGGCGATTATTTTTTACTTCCAACAGTGTTTATATAAGGTGTAAAAATCGATAAAGAATGCAGTAGACCCAATTAACACCAGCGGGGTGGATTTAATTGAGTGTCAACTTATTATCGTTCATGTGCTGCTTACTATATTGCCCGAGGTGATAAAAATACATGCAAGATGTAAAAGTGTATAAGTACTTTAAAGATATTGTCCAGCATTATAATAGCCATCAAATATCCGTCAATTAGCCACAAAAATCGTCTTAAACTGCTTATAGCTGAAGTTCATTTGTCCAATACAAGTTCTGCATCAACCTTCTCTTACAATTAATTATTATCCTTTAATTATATAACCCTTGTATTTAAATGGTATATTCAACAGTAACAATATGCCATTACATCAAAATCACTCTAGAGCTCCCTTATAATTACCTGAGTAGAACCACTTACAAATGTTTCACAAGCTAGCTGTATTTTCATGTTAATTAAACATGCCAAATGCAAGTTATTTTCAAAGTTAATGAAGATACTGCAAAACTGTAAAGTTTGTTTATTATAATGCACATGACATGTTCAATGATTGAACCACCCATTTCAGTAATTTAAAATATGTTGACCAGAAAATTGTTCATCAGAATTCATAAAATTATCAGATACATGCAGTAAGTAAATGTCAATAATTAGCAAACATTCTCCTAAGTCTAAAAAGTATAAATGCAAGGTATATCTTGAAACAAGATGTTTCGTGCTCAATTGTCATTAAATTTAGAAAAATCAAATGAAAAATATATTTTCTCTAACCTGTTGTATAGGATAAACATAAACACTGATTTTTGTTTGATCATTATATCCACATTCATACACATTAAAACATTTGTGGAATGTACACATCTCATCCCTCTCTGCTGCCATTGGGCTGTCATTACGTATATCAACAGGTGGCCCAGATGGCAGCTTCATAACGTTGTACTTTTCAACCCCGACCTCTGGTAAACTGTCCTCTGGCCACAACCATGCTATTGTGGCAAGGATACACAGCAGAAGTATGGAAGCAAAAAACTTTGTGTAGATTGACCTGGTGAACTGTTTGCCCATTTCTCTGTTGTATTTTTTTACATTAAGTCTGAAATGTACAATCATTTAAAATATTTCTATAAAATCATATTAAGTATGGTAAAATTTATCTCCTCTAACCATTACACAATAGCTATATACAAAATATTTTATCTATATTTTTTATTAAGGACAATTTTATGTTTCCTTCAGACACTATAAATAAAGATCATATGAAGATTTATTTTTGAGTCATGTTGGCAGCTAGACGTCAGATGCCCAACCTAGTCTCAATATTTTAACTGCAAGATCAACCATCTTTACAAACTGATATTACACACATCGGCCTTCATGGCGACCATAGTATATAAATAAATAGCACTGAAGCGGACAATTTGTTGGGCTATAATGCCCAACCATACATGATTTCAGGCACAAATAGGTACCTGAGCAGAGCCATTGATGTTTTTCGAAAGCTAGTTTGATGGTTCAATATGCCAACTTGGAGTACAATTACTACTAGACTGCTTTAATTTATTTTGATTGCAATAAACAAAGTCATAGCAGAGACGTTAAATGTATTTAGATGTCTCTGGTCATAGCCAAGATCAAAATAAGATCTGTTTATAATTCATTGCAGTAAGGATGTTTTCATTAACAAAAAAGTCAATTATTTACTTTAGTTAGTTATTTCTCAAAGTAAAAGAGAACAAATAAAAATAGTTCTTATTTTCAGTAATTAATAACAAATTAACTGATTAAAGAAAGGCTAAACCAGTGCTAATTGGTATATAATTGAATGACCTAATTAAGTTATTTGTAGAACTACACGTAACAACATATTTAAGAATTTTCTTTGAGTTAAGAATATACAATTATATAACAGTTTAACATAGGTCAAGTTATATAACCTCGATACAAATGCGGATTTTGAGGAATTCCCATTTAAAACTAATTATCCCAAAGTTGACAACCAACTTCCTTTCCCATTTTGTCGGTGTTGAAGTCTTTACATACTCGAAAGAATCGTCCGTCTTCTGAGCTTTAATTAGAGAAAATTACTCTTTTTTTATCATCGGTAAATATTATTTTTTACATAATAAAACCGTCGTTATGTAAAGCTTTACAGTATGCTATTTATCTCAGAAATATAGGTCAGTGATAAACTGACTGGAATGAGTGAGGAATTTTCGTTTAAATGTAACTACTGTATTATTCGGATATTACATTAACTTCGGATATGAATGCGTTTCTGCGGTGGCACAAATGTGACAAGTGTGTGATTTTATTTATCTCGTGCACACAAGATACTTTGTCGTGGCCATGAGTTACTAAATTTCAACCAGAAATTTTCTAATTTTAAAAAATTCATATATACAGTGTAATCTGATTGATTAATTATCTCGTGCGCACAAGTTAATTGTCTCGTTTGCACTACATAATACCTCGTGCCCACGACTTAATTATCTTGTGCGCATGACTTAGTAAGTCAAGGCCATGACATAACATCTTGTGCCGACACTTAATTATCTGGTGCCGAGACTTAGTAGCCATGACATAGTATGATAGTATCTCGTGCGCACCACTTAATTAACTAATGCGCACAACTTAGTCCAAATATTTGACGTAACCCCGGATTTGAAGCTTTTTTTTACATGGGTCAAATCCGCTTCGCATTTTCCAATAAACGTCAAACTGTAAAAAAAGAAATTGCGATGTCTTTCAATGAAGGACTAGCGCACAACTTAGTGTCTCATGGCCGCCCTGTTAATATGTAATAGAAAGAGCATTGAAATACAAGGCTATCTGATTTGTACGAAGGGGCGTATCTGATGTTCTTTCACTTTTTTTATCGTAGGCAAAAATAAAAACATGTTCACTGTTGTCACAATATGAAACCCCAGAAAAAAAGTAACTAACAAACGAGCATCTGAATATGACATTTTTGTCATTATCCCTTTGTCAGTCATCACAATAAGTAAATGCCAGAAAAAATGAGCCAATCAATGGACATGCAAGAGGTTTGGTGTACAGGTAACTGATACCTGCACTCCAGTTACTGTTTTTACGCACTGTGCATGTATTTGTATACGATTTAACTCTGACACATTTTCAACAGAAAGGTCCCCAAAACTATGATTAAATATTTTATTATAGCACGGTTTACATCATGTAACAAAAAATTAAATTTTCATGATATTAGAAATATTGTGTAACTTAATAAATGTAAAAGTTAGGTCTTTCCAAATTAGATATCACTGGTAATTTTAACCTTCAAAATATACCGGTTCCAAATTATATCACTTCATAATATACCAGTATGTGTTGTGTGTAACATCTGAAAATGGTACAATACTCCCTGATACATTTCTGCAGTGGTAGTAATCTCTTTGCTTGGAAAATTCTCAGGGTTGACTTTAAAAAATAATTAGCATATAAAAAGCAGTTGGTCTAATGTATCCAAATTAACAAATAAAAAAGAGCAGTTGAATAGTATGCAAAATTTTCCTGACACTAAGATCATTTTATCTCATTTTTTTTCAGAGATATGCTAGAGTTATGGATGGTGTACAAAGTCTAAAGTTACAAAATGTTGAACAGAGTTTGGACAAGATTTATACTTTCTTGGTTCCATGTCTTCCACTAGCAAATGCTCATGCCACAGATTTTATAACCAACAATTACTGGGATACACTGTTACCTACAGGAATCAGGGAACAACTTATGACTTTATCCAAACAAGAGTTAGGAAATCTGCCTTGTCATCTCTTAAAAAGAAGAAACACACAAGATGTTGAAGAAAGTAATTTTACTGAAAAACAAACTAAACATGTAGAGGACTCTGACATTGCAAAGGGCAGAGATATAACGCAAACTGACAAATGCGATGGAAAAGAATTTTCATGCAAACAGAACTCTGACATTGCTAGTGGTGCTAGCAAGTCTGAAGATACTCAGATACCCTATATGAGTATAGATGATTTTCTGCAAGCTGCATGTTTAAGCACCATAGAAGGAACAAGAGTAGTTATAGCAACACAGGATGTTTTACATGGTATAAAAGGTGACAATGATGATGCATTTGTAGGAACATATATGAACCAGAAGAAATGCCATGAGGTAGAAATTATGTCAAAGATATGTGCAGCACTTGCTCAATGTTCCAAGTGTAAAATGGTAAGATTTTCTTTCTTTTGAAATTGTTCTCTTCTATTAATAAGGACATGATATCTTATGAATATTCATGTAATATAATATACATATAGTATCATTTGAATTGAATGTATTAATTATTATGTTAAAAAGTACAGAAACCAGAATCTGAAATAAATTTACTTTCATCAGATGCTGACATAAATCGATGAAACTAACAAGTTGTGATTTAACCTTTTTGGTATAAACTGGTGTGACATACAACTGAACTTAAAAATGACCAAATAATTCATGTATTTTTGTGACCATTTATAATGTCATACGATGGTGAAAAAAATATATTATTTGGTTCATGTTGATATCCATATGGCCTTGTATGTTTTCTATTGTGGCCTTGTATGTTTTCTATTGTGGCCTTGTATGTTTTCTATTGTGGCCTTGTATGTTTTCTATTGTGGCCTTGAATGTTTTCTATTGTACCCATTTGATTCTAAAACAGGTTGTTGATTTTGGGAGTGGCAAAGGTTACCTAGGAAACAATCTAAGTTTACAATACAAGCTTCCAGTCCTTGGTATAGATGCAGCATCAACCAATACCCAGTCTGCCATGAAACGAAACACAGTGTTGGATAAACAGTGGAGCAGTCTAGCCAGAAACAAGCAGCTTGAATCAGATGGCAAAAAACTGACAAAAAAGGAGAAAAAGAAACTAAAACTAAATGAACAATACAGGCAAAATAATGAGATTAAAACTGAAAACAATAAGGAGTATTTAGTTGCTGGTGAAACAAATAATGTTGAAGGTAATGGAACTAAAATAGACAATATAGTTAAAGCTAATGGTGTGATAAAGTCAGACTTTAGTGAAAAATCATTTGACTTTTCCAGAATAAACATAGGTGAAACAGATAATGCTTCTAATGAAGTAAAGTTTGTACCTTGTACAACTTTCATTGATAAAGAGACAAATTTCATAAATCTTGCTAAAATAAATTTTCCAGATCTTTTTGTAGATGATTTTAAAGATAACCATGAACAAAGTTTAACTGATAATTTCTGCTATGAAAGATATGTTTCATCAGGAACAACAGTATTGAATAGTCCATCTGAGAAATGTAATACATGTTATAAAAGATCTTCTGATGTTGATAAATATTCAAACAGCTGGTCAGATGGTAATAATTCTAGGGTATATTCATGCTGCAAGACAACTGATGATAACATTGATGATAAAAGAACAGAATATTATGCTAATGATAATAATTCTAATGCTATCTGTAAAGATGGTGATAATTTTGCTGATGTTAGCATTGCTGATAAGAGTGAAAGCTTTGAGAACAAGTCTGATGAAGGCAAACCTGATTCATGTGGTGCATGTGAAGAAACAGCAGATGTTAGTAAATCTGGTGATAATAAAGCTAGTGGTAGTAAAACTGGTCAAAATAAAGTTGACATTAGTAAAACTGACCAAAATAAAGTTGACATTAGTAAAACTGGTGAAAATAAAGCTGATGTTAGTAAAACTGGCCAAAATAAAGTTGACATTAGTAAAACTGGTGAAAATAAAGCTGATGTTAGTAAAACTAGTGAAAATAAAGTTGACATTAGTAAAACTAGTGAAAATAAAGTTGACATTAGTAAAACTGATGATAATAAAGCTTATGTCAGTAATGAGTTTAGAATGATGTTGACAGGCCTACATACATGTGGAGATCTGGCTAGTACATCAATAGAAATGTTTGTACACAGTGATCAGCTTAAAGTTCTGTGCAATGTTGGCTGCTGCTATCATCTTATACATGAAAAATACCTTGATGAAGGTAAGATAATCTATAACATTTTGACATGAAATATACCACCATGAAGGTAAGGTAAAGTATTTAATAAAACATGGCCAGAAAGTAGCTCCAGTGAAGTTAAGATAAAGTATAACATAGTAAGTCAGTGTGCATGAAAAATACGACAACGAAGGTTTTAAGATAATGCTTAGCATAGAATATGTGCATGAAGAAAAAAAAACTCAATGAAGGTAAGTTAATGCATAACAGTATGTGAGCATGAGAAAACCTCAGTGAAGGTAAGATAATATGCATACATGTATTGTAGTAAGTGAGCATGAAAAATACCACAATGAAGGTAAGATATAGCATTACTAGGTGTGCATAAAATATACTACCTTGAGGAAGGTAAGGTAACGTATAACATAAAAACATGAAAAATGATAATTAACACCATGAGGGTAAGATAATGATATGAAAAAGATAAAAGCAAAATAATGGATGTTGAGGGTCAAAAACTGTACAAAGTATTAAAGACAGACTTTAATTTGGAGAAGAATTGTACACACAAAATCAAACATACCTGTATTTCTGCTGTAGATTAGCTATAATGCTGTTGTGTATTGAATTTTATTAAATATGTATGCAATTTTGTAAATTAAGAGCGAGTGATGATTAGTGCTGTTTGAGCTCAAATATTTTACTCCAAACTCCGTAACGAAGTTTGGATTTGTGAAAAACACAAAATTATATTGTTTTAATATTGTTACATTTAATTTAGAGATATATTTTATAAATTTTGGCATAATTTATATATATACTGTCCTTCTCTACAGATATTGGCAGCTCACAGAGTGGTTTTCCTTTGAGTAGATTTCTGAATGAGAGACAATTCAAACTTGGGAATACAGCAAGAAATTTAGCCTCACAGTCAATACATAGAATATGTGACTTTGACAAGGTGAGTAATGACACGAAGCAAATAATTTATGTAAGTCTGTCATATTCTAAAACCTAACTTACTTGATTGCTATGTAAGAATAAAATATGGTTCTAGTTAATTTAATATTTAAAATGCATTGTCATTGTCATTTTGTGATTGAGTAGTAAAGAAACACTTGAAATTTTCTCTGATGTCACACGGTTTTCTCAGAGATAACCAGGTTTTTTCAATTTGATAATCTTATATCAGTAGAAATATTTGTTCCAAAATTTTCAAAGTAGATCTAGTTAAAAGGTTTCTCACAAAATTGAAAAAACAGAACAATTGATTTTTATCTCAAGTACATGTATATCTTTGATAGATCTGTCTCAGTTTGGACAAAAGTGTTAAATATGGCATGGAAAATTAAGTATAAAACTGCCCCAAATACTTGCATGTTACAGAGCTATTATGTTAAAGTGATAATGTGTGTGTGTATTTGAGTTTGTTTATATTCACCAATGGTTGCCCGTATGGGTGAGTCCTCCAGAAGAGTATTAGTCATTTTAGATTTTGGAGGATAGGGCAAGATACAGATACAGAAATATGCCCAAATTTCAGAAGTTTCTCCTGGTTCAAGCACTCATACACCAAACTTCAATTTTAAGTCATATTCAAAACTAAGACAGTTGGCCAGCCTAGGAATCGAACCCACAATGGTAAGACTACAAGTCTCATGCTCTAATCGATTGAGCTATGTGGGCTGGTAAAGTGATAAAGAAGCCCTAGCACACTTAATATATTAAATGGACTTGTTCATTTTACATTTTGGACAAACCCTTTGTAATTTTAAGGAAAAATTTCAAAGAAATTCACAGGTTATATGTGTAGAAGCTGTTGCCATTAGCAGGCTAAGGGTGGCTAAATTTTTAGAGATCTTCTGTTTGTTTCAAGGTCTTAGGGCTAAAAGGATATTCAATTTTTCATTTTGTTATGTGATTCCTCTGATATGCTGTTAATTATATTTCTCAAAAGCTTAACTTTGGTGTACTTTAATAGAATCCAAAAAGATACTCATTTGCCAATTACCTGAACCATCTTTTTCATTTGTTGCTGCATTTGGGTATAAGTACAGTTATAGTGAATTAGTATTTTGTATGGAAGTCAAAATACTGCTTTGTTTACATTTTGCTACTTTTGTGTCAAATTATTTCACATTTATCGCTACTTTATTCAGGTAACAAGCATCTAACATTCTCTAAAACCATTATTTAAACATTATATAATCCACATTTGCCCTTTCTAGTTTCTGATGCATAACGTTCCTTTAACTAAACATTAGTGAGTATTGTTATCTCTGATGAAAGCATTTTAACAGTAAGATGTTGTATTATTGTTTTTGCAGTTACAGGGCGAGAGGTTTTATCCCAGAGCTTTGTTAGAGGTACTGATAAAGCATGAATGCGGAGGAAATGTTGAAATGAAAGGACTAAGAAAACTGGAGCAAAAATGTCAAACTACACAGGAGTATATTAGAAGAGCATGTGGTAAATTAGGATTATCTGATAAGGTAAAGTATTAAAGATAACCAGACTTTACTTTATTAATTAAGCATCATTTTCATTTATGTTAATTGAAAAATTTGGAATAATTGTCAACAATATTGTTACCTTTAGAATTGCTTTATAGGAGGATAGTATATAAATAACACAAAGGTTTGTGAGAAACAGCAAAAATATCACCCTGAGTAAAATACTGTTACCCGAAGGTCATTGGGACACTGTTTCACCATAGATTTTTATTTTTTCAGATTTTTTACTGTGAAAAAAGTATTGTTACCTAAGTAAGAATATAATGTTAAAGTCAGACACAATAGACACAACATTTAGCTCAAACAAAAATGCAGTTAGATTAGGAATAATGCATATACATGTGTAGTTTTGTTGAACCCTGTAAGTGCCAGATGTGACTGGGCACTAGTAAAAACTCAGGCCAGTTTTCAATTTTATGTAAAGTGACCAGATTTAAACTGTTTGCCTCACAATCTAAGGACTTTGACCTAGAAATTCTTTAAAGTAAATCATCAATAGATAGTCAAAGCTGGATATGTCTAACACGCAAATGCAGTATATTAGAGACTATATTATTGAAACAGTGTACTTTAATGTGTGGAGAACCCTTATATTCAGGACTGAAATAATACTGACGATGAATATTTGCATAAAATCTGGGACAAAATATAATATGACAACAGGTTGTTCACTCATTAGTGCTGCGTTACCTTTTCGTCCTATGAGCCATTTTATCTTGTTGATCATTGTTAAAGGTTGGATTTTGTCAGTAGTAAATAGATTCAAACATAAGCAAGGGTAAGATTATAACAGTATTTAAGTATTTGAATGATATTCACATAATTTTATGAAAATTTATCAATGTAATAACAGTATCACACTGCACTCATCGATTAATGACTGTCAATTGGTTTAAACATATTTATTTAAGCTCAATTGTGAAACAAGTTCTTGCAACTTATATTAATCACTTTCGAGTCCACTTTCTGGAACCAACCAGTACTGGTGTCATATGAAACATGGTCGTGACCCGATTAGGGCTCGAACCAATGATCCCTGGGTTGAGAGGCAGACACCTTAACCACTAGGCTACCGCTTCCCTTATGTCAATTGGATGCCAATCTAAAACTGCTTATCTAATTGGTAAGTGTTTGTCTCGCTATATCATGTCCCAGATAAAATTCAGGATCAATTGATGTGACTGTTTGTTTTTTACACCAGGTTACAGATGCTATGATAGACGTCTATATCAGGAATTACAGGGATGAGCAGCACAAACTTGCTGCATTCTTCCAGCTGAAAGCTGCACTAGCACCATGTATAGAATCCCTTATCATTTTAGACAGAGTCTGTTATCTTCTTGAACAGGTAATCTTCTGTTATTCTTTGATCATTTCACAAATTAGATGTTAAGAAGCAGTAATTTCTATATAAAAAAAGAGTTATTATTACCAGTTTTCAGTTTTTTGTTTAAGAAATAACATCGGCCTGAGAGGTGTATATCGGCTATTTAACACCGGTTTGGAGTTTTTATGCGTAGGAATTGACCACGAAGGCCGTAGGCCTGAGTGGTTAATTTTTTCGCATCAAAACGACAAAACCGGTGTTAAATAGTCGATATACACCTCTCAGGCCGATGTTATTTCGATTCTATCATGATAAAATAAGGAAAATCACTAATGTTATTTTTTCAAACGGAAATAACTTCCGGTGCCGATTTTCGTATAACGCTGTTCTTCAACATGAAACTTTGTAGGTAGATAGATCTCATTGAGTAGGTGTGCAGTGCACAAGAATCGTAACTCTGTCTTGCCTAATTTTTGAATTATTCCCCTTTGTTTATTTTTACACTTTGAACTTTGTCCGGGACATAACTCTAAAAGTATAAGAGGTATCAACATGAAACTTTGTAGGTAGATAGATCTCATTGAGTAGGTGTGCAGTGCACAAGAACCGTAACTCTGTCTTCCTAATTTTTGAATTATTCCCCTTTGTTTATTTTTACACTTTGAACTTTGTCCGGGACATAACTCTAAAAGTATAAAAGGTATCAACATGAAACTTTGTAGGAAGATAGATCTCATTGAGTAGGTGTGCAGTGCACAAGAACCGTAACTCTGCCTTGCCTAATTTTTTAATTATCCCCCTTTGTTTATTTTACACTTTGAACTTTGTCTGGGACATAACTCTAAAACTATAAGAGGTATCAACATGAAACTTTGTAGGTAGATAGATCTCATTTGGTAGGTGTGCAGTGTACAAGAACCGTAACTCTGCCTTGCCTAATTTTTGAATTATCCCCCTTTGTTTATTTTACACTTTGAACTTTGTCTGGGACATAACTCTAAAACTTTAAGTGGTATCAACATGAAACTTTGTAGGTAGATAGATCTCATTGAGTAGGTGTGCAGTGCACAAGTATCGTAACTCTGCCTTGCCTATTTTTTGAATAATTCCCCTTTGTTTATTTTTACACTTTGAACTTTGTCCAGGACATAACTCTAAAACTATAAGAGGTATCAACATGAAACTTTGTAGGTAGATAGATCTCATTGAGTAGGTGTGCAGTGCACAAGAACCGTAACTCTGCCTTGCCTAATTTTTGAATTATTCCCCTTTGTTTATTTTCACACTTTGAACTTTGTCCAGGACATAACTCTAAAACTATAAGAGGTATCAACATGAAACTTTGTAGGTAGATAGATCTCATTAAGTAGGTTTGCAGTGCACAAGAACTGTAACACTGTCTTGCCTACTTTTGGAGTTATTGCCCTTTGTTCATTTTGACACTTTGAACTTTGTCCGGGACATTACTCTAAAATTATAAGAGATATCAACATGAAACTTTGTAGATAGATAGGTCTCATTGGGTAGAAGTGCAGTGCTTAAGAATCATTACTCTGCCTTGCCTTATTTTGAAGTTATTGCCCTTTGTTTATTTTTACTTTTTGACTTTTGTCCGGGACATAACACTAAAACTATTAGAGATATCAACATGATACTTTGTAGGTAGCTAGATAACATTGGATAGAACTGCAATGCTTAAAGAACCTAAACAAAGCCAGGTCTAATTTTGGAGTTATTGCCCTTTGTTCATTTTTACACTTTGAATTTTACCCAGGACATAACTCTGAAACTATAAGAGATATCATTAGGAAACTTTATAGATAGATAGATCTCATTGAATAGAAGTGCAGTGCAAAAAAAACATAACTCCACCGTGCCTAATTTTGGAGTTTTTGCCCTTTGTTCATTTTTTTTTATACTTTTCTTTGTCCAGAACCTTGTCGGGGAGCATCACCCTGTTCAACCGGTTCTTGACAACATTTTTTATTAATCTCTCAGATCCCTAAAAGATTAAAAAAGTGTTTCATTTTAATTATATAATTATTGTAAGTATTTATTTACTAAATAATGCCAAATTAAATTTAATGATACCAGATATTTTCAAAGTTTAATAAAATAAAAACTACATGGTAAAAGTATTTTATATTTTGCAAGACCAACCAATATACATTTAAGAAAAATTAGGCAAACTTTGGAAACAGCCCCTCATTGTGGAAAATTTTAGGTATATTTTAAATAAGGCTTTTTACATAGGGATAAGTGTTAAAAGTGGGTGGGGTAGGGTTAAATTTTTATACATATTAAAAACATTTCATTTAAAAACAATCATTTTGCTTGTTTAATTTATTACCTAAATGTCATTTTTTGTTTCTTAACAATGAGCAATAGTAAAAAACATTTTTCATAATGATGATATTATAGATTATTCAGAGATTCTTCATTTCTGAAAAAAGCCCTTCTAATGGCAAAGTTTTAGTTCAGAAAAATGTCCATAACTCATAGGCCACACAGTAAATTTTGTTTAAATTTTGCATACAGGTGACATTTATGGCATATAGCTGTCCTCTGTTGACAATTTTACAGTTCCTTATAGTGCCAATTAGGGGTATTCTACCTTAATGTGACCTTTTCCTGGAGACAGCAAAAAGGCAGCATAGGTTCTGCACATCACCCTGTTAGGGTGAAAACCTGAAGCCAGGTCTGACCAGGTCATTTGACTTTCAAGTGTGACCTTGATTTTGAGTCTGCACATTTAAGGCATGTGTTCTGCTCATCACCTTGCTGAGGAGGTGAAAATATGAGCCAAGTTTGAAGAAAATCCTTTAAGGGTAATGGGATTTTTAGAGTGGAAAAATAATTTGTGATATTGGACCTTCATGTGTGACCTTGACCATGAGCTGGCATACATGTAGAGGCAGCATTTAGGGTTGTGTATATTAGTTTGCAAAATGAATCCTCTACAAATATAGTGCAGAATATAAATATTAGTTGATCAATAATAATGTCTTTGAAATTGTGGAAATTGATCTATATTTCCATAAGTATTTAATGATGTTCAAAATAATTTTTTGGCTTATCTGGTTCTGAAATCATTTGTTATCAAAACAGTGGGAACTGTGGGTATAACATCTAAATAAGCTAGCGCATTCTTACTTGGTCATAAACTAACATAGGGCTTCAGTTTGACATATTGAAATGAGGATCAGATAAAATTCAGGAAATTTCACCATTACTTTCTTATTTATAAATACAAACTGGATGGGAACATAAATTTTGTGTCTTTTAAACAAATGCTGTTTTAGTTACTTCTATAAATTATTTGTCATTTGTATATTTCAGGATGGGATAGAGAACGTATTCCTTGTAAAGATGTTTGATCCAATCAAGTCACCAAGATGCTATGGAATTATTGCAATAAAGTAGTATTCCTTCTGGGATTTGAAATGAACACAAACAACTTAATTTTATATGGTGGTTCATCATAGCTTCATGCATGGTAGAGAATAGTGTATCTAATCTTATTGAAACATAAGAAAAAATTGAATATAATCTTCGATATATCAGGGATAACCCTACTTATGTCCACCCCACAATTAAGACTCAGTATTAAGTACATATTATTTCTGTATTTTACAAATTGACTTTAGTCACATGAAGGTTGCCTTAAAAACAGACTTACTCTATTAAAAATTTGTACAGGCTTACAATGTTACATTTCATTGGTCATTTTCAATATATTTGTATAAAAATGTCTGAAATTACTTCTATACAGCTCAGTATACAAAGCAAGACTGGTCCATTTTCAATATATTAAATGAAAAGCTTTTCTGGACAGTTCAGTAGGCTACTTAAAGCAGGGTTTGTCCATTTCACAAATTTTACCAAGGTAATATAAAATGTTGAATTAATGAAGCTTCAACACGAGGTACATAATTATTTAGATTTGTCTTGAACTCATTTTTTGAGAATTTCTATTTGTTAAATTATGAAATTTTGTTATCTTTGTGTAATGAAGCTTCAATATGGTTATATAATTATTTAGATTTTTCTTTAACTTATTTTTTGAGAATTTTAATTTGTTAGGACTATGAAATTTGGTTATCTTTGTTTATAACAATTAGAAGTTTAAACTGAACAGGATTTCTAGGGGAAGGTTGGGATAACCAAGTGATAAAATTTCATTGATAATAATATACTTTATTTATAAAGAATTTTAAAACCAGTATAAGTGAATTGTTTACTTTGTTTACATTTTATGTGATAGAAAACTTCTTTTCCTACAGATATATTGTATTTCATATCACTGATTTGTTTTAATAAATTTTTAAAGTGATTAGTTTGTTGCTGATAGTTTGAAAGTAATCCCTTTTGCATGTATACTGGAAAAACAACAACAAAGATTGCGATAAAATTATCTGGATACTGGAGCCAGTGTGATTACAGACATTGTCATATACTTTAAAATGTACAGTTGAAGCAATGGATAATGTACTCTTGTGCCTGCTACAATGTACAGAGGGGCACCACCAGTAAAGCTGGAAATTAGACATATGACCTTTAGTATTGGTGCATAGTAAATCCCAACCAAAGTGTTTTCTTTTATTGTGCCCCCACTTTAGTGGCGGGCATTTAGATTTACCCTTGTCAACCGTCCGTCCTTCAGTCCTTCCGTTCTCTTTTGTGTCGCACGTAACTCAAAAAGTATTTGACCTAGAGTCATGAAACTTTACAGGAATGTTGATCAGCAGGGGTAGTTGTGTACCTGGGTATTTTCGTTTGGATATTTTTAGAGTTATCTCCCTTGACTTAGTAAAATTTTGCAATTTTCAACTTGTGTCGCATGTAACTCAAAACGTATTTGACCTAGAGTCATGAAACTTTACAGGAATGTTGATCAGCATGTGTAGTTGTGCACCTGGGTATTTTCTTCTGGATTTTTTTAGAGTTATTGCCCTTGACTTAGTAAAATTTTGCAATTTTCAACTTGTGTCGCATGTAACTCAAAAAGGAATTGACATAGAGCCATGAAACTTTACAGGAATATTGATCAGCATGTGTAGTTGTGCACTTTGGTATTTTCGTCTGGATTTATTTAGTATTTTTAGAGTTATTGCCCTTGACTTAGAAAATTTTCGCAATTTTCAAATTGTGTCGCATGTAACTCAAAAAGATTTGACATAGAGTCATTAAACCTTACGGGAAGGTTGCTCAGCATATTTAGTTTTGCACCTGGGGTTTCGCTTGTGGATTTATCCAGTATTTGTAGAGTTATTTCCCTTGACTTAGTAAAAATCGTTTCATTATGTTGTTATTTGTTCCTTGAGTGCTCGAGTTAGAATCAACCAACTTTACAGGAATAATGATCAACATCACTAAATTACAGGAATAATGATTCACATCACTGTGAAGCTATGCACCTGGGACTTTGCATGTGGATTTTTTTCAGTTTTGTTAAGAGTTATTGCCCTTGACTTACAGTAGTATAAATTTGCAATTTTCAACTTGTTCATGCATAGCTCAAAAAGTATTTCACTTGTAGGCCTGAAAGTTTACAAGAATGTTGTTCAGCATGTGTACTTATGCACCTTGGGGTTTGCTTGTGGATTTATTCAGTATTTGTAAAGTTCTTGCCTTTTACTAAGTAAAAGATTTTTAATTTTCAAAAATTATTTGACCTAGAGTCATATGATTGACAGAACAGTGGTGCAGTGGGGGCACCCGTGTCCTATGGACACATTTCTAGTTGTTTTTACAAAGACGAAAGAAATTAAATATACATGAATCTTTTTATTAAAACAGATGCTTTTTCATACATAAAGCATTCATACACTCTTTCCACCGTCACCTGTTGGTGTTTTTGCCATTTCTGTGTCAGAGATTCATGATCTATCAATAAGACCATCAATGGTCAGTATAGTCCGGTATGACTCATAGTGGGCTTTTGAATTTTACACTTTTTTTGATACAAAAATCTTTTGAAAAAACAAAGGACAGTTCCAAATTGAAACCAGAGAAAGTCAGTTAAATAAAAAGCACTTGTTTCAGGTTGAGGAAATATTTTATGCTCAATCTCACTTCTTGTAAATAAAGAAGTTATAAATGGATACAACAGATCAAATAAAATTTTATGTTACAGGATTTCAAAGACTATAGGAGCTATCCTCACTTAATATTGGCATAACATCAAGGTTTTACATGTAACATCTTTTCTCATTAACCATTAGAGGTAATCATTTGAATTTCATACACAAGTCTATTTGTGTCACCATGACCCATCCATAACTCCAACATGTATCTTTACTGAATTATTCCCCTTTTGTGAGACTTCTGCATAAATTTTGTATAACTAATCAAAACACTAACAGTTATCAGCAGACTGTCATGTGACAACTGTTTGTTCTATTCTCACTTGCAACTCAGTGTAATTAAACAATACACATTTAAAATATAAAGTTTTATTGTCAATGAATTGAATCATTAGAACACAATGTATAAATTAAATGTCAACAATTTGTAAAATGTAACAAAATAAATGATCATTTAATAAATTATATGTATACATTTATATAATTACTGATAATCAGATACATGTCTTAAAAATTTCAAGCTACAGTATACATTAATCCATTGGCTTTTACAATTTATTAAATATAAAACTTTTAAAAAATCCATTTCATTGATATATAGACCTAATAATATAATTCATTTAATTATAAGAAACAACATTTTTTTACCTGTATTTTATCAGTATATTAAGTGTTGATAAAGTCTGGCCTAGTGAAGAATCAATGAGTGAATGATACAACTTATTTTGTCTTATTTAAAACAACTTGTATGAAAAGATAAAGGAATATACATGTATTTAAGATTTGTTGGATAAACTTAAAAAAAAACAATTAAAAAATGAAAAACAACATGGTCATCTGTATGAGTTATATGCTAAATCACGTTGGCTTGCTGTAATTTCATTATAACAAAGTACAATGTATAGCAACATGCTACTATGCTTATTTATTTCAACAATATCTTAAGATAATATACATGAAAAAAAAAATGAATCTGGGTATAATATTGTTAATACAGCCGTGACGTTTTTAATTTTTGAGTTAACAAGAGCTGTCACCCAAGCAACGAATGCCCCCAAAAAGGTTTTTTAAGCATGCAGGTATTATGAAAAGAAAAGAGAATGAAAGTAACTAATTGCTGAATATTATTCTTTGTATTATTGTACCTGTAATCTCTAATTGTGATCGCATGAACCTTCAAAATATAAGTGTGACCTTGACCTTTGAAGAAGCGACATGGTTCCTGGATGTGACAAAATGTTATGAGATAGAGATTTGTGTCAAATTATTTCAAAATCCCTCAATGTATGACAAAGTTACAGTCTGGACATGATTGTTGTGTAAGTGGGGACACACAGACAGAAGGACATGACCCTTAGCCGCAACATACATGTAGTGTCTTGATGTGGTAGACATTTGTGCCAAGTTATTTTAAAATCCTTCCATGCATGACAAAGTAACAGGCCAGACATGAATGTGTATCTTCAAACTCTTCTCGAGAGAATGAGTACCTTCAAGCTATAAGTGTGACCTTGACCTTGAAAGTAGGGACATTGGTCTTTGTCTTGACATGTTGTCTTGATGTGGTAGATATTTATGCCTAGTTATTTTAAAATCCTTCGATGCATGACAAAGTTACAGCACGGACATGAATGTGAGTACCTATAAACTCTGTGATAAAGTGAACTTCAAAATGGTATTGTGACCTTGACCTTTGAGGTAGGGACGTGATTATTGGACATGACTCATCGTCTTGATGTTGCGACATTTATGCCAAGTTATTTTAAAATCCTTCCATGCATGACAAAGTTACAGCCTGGACAGGATTATAGGTTTTATGTACCTATTAATTCTAATTGTGATTATGTGAAACTTCAAAATGTTAGTGTGACCTTGACCTTTGAGGTAAAGACATAATTCTTAGATGTGACACTTGGTCTTGATGTGGTAGACAATTATGCCTAGTTATTTTAAAATCATTCAATGCATGACAAAGTTAGTCCGGACACGAATGTGTGTACCTATTTATTACTCTAATTGTGATAATGTGAAACTTCAAAATGATAGTGTGACCTTGACCTTTGAGGTAGGGATGTGGTTCTTGAATGCGACACAGCGTCTTGATGTGGTAGACATTTGTGCCAAGTTATTTCAAAATCCCTCAATGACAAAGTTACAGTCCGGACACAAATGAAGTCGGACAGAAAGACGGACAGATGGTGCGATTATATTATGCCTCCCTTCGGGGGCATAAAAACAAATGTTATGTATTCAACCTTTTTTTTTTTTTTAAATGTATGTTTTAGTAGCAAGCCTGCTATCATATTTAATAAAATAATGTACTGCACCACTTAGTCTTACTTTCATACTTGATTGATAATTCTGTTCAAAAATATCACAGCAGATTTGCCTAACTTTATACTTACTAGTGACATAGGCAAATTATTACCATTTTTATCATAACGAAAAATGAAAGATTTTACTAAATCTCAGAGCAAGTATGTTTCAAATCTCTTGTTTTCAGTTATTTTGATATAAGTTTCTGGTACAGCATTAGAGAAACAATGGCATCAGTAGCAGCATATCTCTGCTGTAGCTCAGGTAACGGAAACTGTCTCCAGTCACATGTTCTCACATTCGGGTCCTTACTAATCCTTACATGAAGTGCATTCCGAGCCAGTCCCTCTAAACTCCAGTTTTCTGCAGACCTCAACTTCTTGTTCCCTAATGTCTTTAACTCAATCAGGCTCTTTTGTATAATTTCTTTGGCTTTGATGTCAAAATCTACATCAAGTTTCCAGAAATCATACTCGACGTTCAGTCCTACTTTTTTCACACTATGGTTTTCTAGAAGCTTCCTGAGCATGATTGGGAATTTGGGCATACATGAAATATGAAAGAGGTAGCACTTAGATGTCGACAAACATATCTGAATTAATGCTGTCTTTTCTTGTTTTCCTTTAACATATGTAACTGGCCACTCTGTGTCGAATCCTACGATAGTGTCAGAGTCTGATTCCAGGTTAGTAATAATGTCTTCACATAATATATTACAATCATCTATATTGTGCGAGTATATTATCGTTCCTTGGAAACAAAATTCTTTATATGACATTTCTACAGCTTTCTCAATACACCACTTCTCGTCATCTACATTTTCTTGTTTCTGTTTAGGTCCTGATACACATATTTCTTTCTTTGTCTCATGTGTTGTTGGTTCCTTATCAAGTTTGAAGTCTTTCTCTTCTTTTCTGATCTCAGATTTTTCATCTTGTTTCCGAGTTGCATCTTTTTCCTTCTCATTTATTTCAACAACATTGCTTCCTGAAATAAACACATAGAACAATATTTAAAACTACCACAAAAGCTATATATCTGCTTTAAGTAGTTTCTGAATTATTGTTTGAATTTTCAAAAAGAATACTTCTAAAATACCTGCATGAAAGAAGTACTAGTATGTTTATTTTGTTTGTTATGAGTGAACAGCACAATTTTAAAATTATTGCTTACCATTTAAAACCCCGCTTACAATAGCAGCATATTATTTTATTTTTGTTTTTGGAACAATATTCATGTATTATATCAAATAAAAGAGGGTCACATTAAAAACAGTGTCTTTATATAAAGAAATAACTTTCCACTGGACCTGAAGACATGGTCACGTTATTGATTCAGGTTGCCACTAATACAATTTTTTTAAACTCAAAGTTTGAAGGGGATTTAATTCTGGAAATATAGGTGCTACAGTTATGAATCTAATCACATATAATGTAAGTGATAAGACAGAACATTTGTTTAGATGTTTGAAGTGCAGTCAAAACTGTATAAGTGGTAACCTAAAATAATAATATGACCCTGTCTTGAGGTCCAATGGAAAGTACATTTGTAATTCCTTTATATAAAGACACTGTTTATAAGGTGACCCTGTTTAACGCATTAAGCGGCCACCAAATATCAGACCAAAAGAGACGATATAAGGGTCAGTAGAACTATATGATAACAGTTGATCATTACAGATTAACAATCATTAATATGTTCATTGAAATACGCTTGTCCGTAGCAAAACTTCTACATGCTGATGCATAGAGGGATTTCAATAATAATAATATACACATGACTGTCAATTGATTTAAGCAATATGTAAGTTTGTTTGCATTTGATATCCTTATGGTGATTTTGAAATTAAAGTGTGTGAATTCATTTTTAAGATTTGTGTAGTGCCACAATTTTTATCATAACATTAAGATATCCATGTCTACCTGAATATAGTGGTCACCTGTTTTTAGCAGTCATTTTAGCTGAGTCCCCTTGCCGACCACTATAGGCAGGTTAGACAGTAATTTTTTTAAAAGTAAAAAAGTTACAATAAAAAAATAGAAATTGTTCAGGAAATTTATAAGTTTAAAGGGGAGATAATTCTAGACAAATATGTGTGCAGGAGATAAGAATCTTATAGCATATAATGTGGTTGATGATTTGGAACATATTTTTGAAGCTTGGAAGTAAATGCCTTCAGAAATAAGTAAGTTGTAAAAAAAATATTTTACTATATAAAAACTTAGATCAGAAATCTGGATGCTGATAATACGTCTGGGTGAGTATAAGATAGCTTCTCATAAACTCTGGAACATAATTTAATGGGAAAAGCAACTGGAGATTAACACTGCATTATCTTTTCATCCATTAAAGTGCATCAGTAACTATTTCGTTTTGTTGATAATTGTAAAAAAATTTGTTTTTTTGTTGTTGTTTTTAAATTGTGTAAAAAAGAGAACTATAAACAAACTGGCATAAGATTTCAACAGTCCTTTTTTTAAATGGTCTTAAAATGATGTTATAAAAATATTTCAATGTAATTCTATCTATATATTTTCTTTACACTACCCATATTAATTGGCTGTTTATTGGATGCAAACATAAGACTGCTGACCTAGTTAGTTATAATAGTAGTAACTGCTTGTCCTGTTATATTTTGTCCCAGATACACTTTGTATAGTCAAGCTTAAAATGCAACTGTCCATTTTTCATGAAAACAGATCTACATATTTTAACCATTCCACTATACCTTGACTATTCCTGGTATCTGTAGAAGGTTTTTTCACAGGTACACCTTTCTTCACAGTGACACCTTGTAACCATGGTGGCAATGTCCTCTTTCTTCTTCCTGACATGGTTCAGCTATAGCTGCAATATTTTTATTGTATAATATTTATTATTAGTTACATAAATAAGGTAGTGAAAAACCTCCATTAATGTTGTTTCTTCTAATTGTTTAACTTCATGATTTTTTTGTATTAATTCATGTATAGATGTACTTGATGCTTTTAGATGCTGCAGTACATCTACATGGTACGTCGGCGCAATCACACTTGATTATAACGCGACGGGTTGTGCTAGGTCTCAGAAAAAGAAAAATACCAAAAATGATAGAAAGTTAAAAGAGGTTGAAATGGTCAAAAGAAAGAGATATAGACAAAAAGTCTGGCCAGCTACATTTCGCTTCTTCAACCCAAACCTCTCCGGTTACGGTGGCCGCGGCCGGCACAGCTTTGCATGGATATCACTAGTGGGGTACTTGTAGCTGGGCAAGCAACTTTAAGTTTAATTTGTTTAGTTTCCATAACTGACATAATTGATATAATTTAATAGAAGAACCTTGAAAATACAAATCAATGAAATTCTATGTAAACAAATTTCTGACAGAAATCAATTGAACAGAAATGACTCATTTGTAAAGCCTTTTGCAGCATGAGCATATTGTGAAAAATGACAGTTTTCATTGAAAAGCCTCCTGTTACAATTTCACTATGAAAATGCTTCAATACTGATCAAACTTGGCACAAATGTTTACTGGACCATACAGTAGCCTCTGTAACAGCTGTTACATCATGCTCAATCTTATATTTCCTGTGTGCTGGGATTGACAATATCTCGAAATGATAGTAGGTTCATTTACCGATCATATATAATTATCAATGCTACTTACTGGAATTATCTTTAAATATATATCTTCAGTTCTGACAGAACCATATAAATACTTTGTATTTAAACGTCTAATATTAATATGTCACCTGCCGTGATACAGTGAAATGGCGTTCTAAAAATAAAGGGCAGTAACTCGGTGAATATAGAGCTCTTAGTACTGTACGTACAGTACAGTATGCTTTATTTACCAAGAGTCGTGGGCATTTCTAAAAATAGACCAGTGACGTATGATGACGTCACAGGAACAAGCATGGAAATTACCAGAAAATGCTGAACTATTTGTATTTTGCACTATCATGATCTTTAATGCATCTCTTAAGACTTATTTCCGATTATCTAGCTCATTTTATATAGGTACCTTTTTGCATTCACATGCATTTTGCTTTTCCTTGAGTCGTGGGCTAACGTGTATGTCAACAGTAGTGTAAGAAAATATTGGTCAAATCTCAGTGAACTATTTCAAGTTACCTTACCAATTTATTAAACATCATTATATGACTAGAGCCTCCTATCTTTATCGATTTAAAGTCAGATTTGATAAATTTATTCGGTACTTAACAGTCCTCTATAAGATCTTTTAAAGTTTGTAATGAAACTAAAATAAAACATCAGGGCAACTTTCATTCTGCCTTCAAAATCTTTTATACATTAACAAAATTGTAGCAACAATTGCAAATGATATTTTAGTAAAACAATATGGTTTTCATATGTATCCTATTCCCTTAGTTTTGCTTTATAAACAAACATAACTAATTGCAAAAAGATGTGGATACAACAAATGATTTCAAAATTTTATTCAAGATGGATAATGGGATCGATATTAGATATAATGATGCCGATGACCAAGTGTTAGTTTATATTTCAATTAATAGTTCAGTGAGACTTTCTGTGGGCCCAATTTTGGCGGGAAATTAAGTCGCACCTGTTCCAAACACCGGAAACCAGTAGGTTGTTGTTGTTGTTAAAAATGTAAACAAATCCTACAAATGGCAAAATTATTCGATTATTACAGTATTTACAACTTTTTAACAACAAATTATAAGAAATATTAACTTCTAAAATACATTTTTAACCATACAATTATTCATTTACGATTTTAACCCACCCACGACTCAAGGAAAACCCACGACTTAAGGAAAAGCAGCCATACTAGTCGGAGTATGGCATAACGATAAACATGGTTCATGTATTATAACTTAAAGTTACCGACACAACACTTGCTTAACTAGTCTCGGTGATATGTAGTTATGTTTTCCGCCATATTTTTCGAAACTTGACTCATTGTACGACTGCACAAATTGAAATTATGAAAATTCGCACGTGCACACGCACGCACGCACACACACATACATATATGTATGCTATCATACTTACCACTAGCTAGGCCATCGGTACGTTAGTATAGGAAAACGTATTGAGAACTTTCCTAGCATTAAAATCAATTAGTAAATCGTAATAAAATACGGAAACTAACAAAAAACTTCCAAAACGTCAATATTGCCAAACAATACTATGTTTTTTTTATTTTGTTTTTGTTTGTTTGTTTCTTTGTTGCTTTTTTTCGGTTAAAAATCGAAGGACAGTTAGCCATACCATTTACTTTAGAAAGTTCCCCCTTGTAAATGAAACCAGTGCTAATTACCATGTGCAGGCATTTAAAACCTCACACGGTTAACTTGTTCTTCAGCCAACCCCAAATCTTTTGCGGAACACAATACTGAGTATATTATATCTAGTAACGTTAGATCTTATTATTAAGTCTCTGTATATCTTCTGATTTTACGGGGAATTCACTTACGAATGGCATGTTATCTGCATATAATATAATAATTGCAACAAAGTCACTATTTCCAAAGATGTATCCCGAATGTCACTGTGCATAAGTAATACACATGTATCACAATTTTATGGAATGATGTGTTTCGCCTAATGAAAGTGGTTAATGTGAAGAAGAAAATGAAATAGTTGAAATTAAAATCTGAATCTGATTATTCATTTGTTATTATAAGCCTAAAAATAAATGTTTTGACCTTTGACTGCAAAAAGCAAAACATCTTAATTGGTGTACAATGCAAATTGCTCTCTTCCTTATTGATATACTTTTACTGTGAAGTTTCAAATTGATATCCAAAATACTTTACAAGTCATGTAAATAACAAAGGACAATAACTAAAGAAAAAAATAACGTTGTCCTTCCTGTGCACTGCATTTCTCCCAATGAGATCTATTCACCCCATAAACTTTCAAGTTTATATCTCAAATACTTTTCAAGTTACCTTTTGGGAAAAAAAGCAAATTAGAGAAATATCAATTTGTAACAATTCAAAAATGAAATTATAAAGTCAATGTTATCATTCTTATGCTCTGTACATCTGAATGATATCTTTCCACTCCTATGAACTTTTAAGTTGGTTTCGTAAGTACTTTTCGAGTTATACATTCTCAAGCTAGACATATATCAAAAATGAAAACAAAGAACAACGACTAAAAATCACGAAAAACAGAGTTATCAATTTTATGCGCACTGCACTCCTCCTGAATTAGTTCTGTTCACTTATGAAATTTCAAGTTGCTTCCTCAAATACTCTTCAAGTTAATCTCAGGCCAAAATTATTTAAGATAACAAAGGGGAATAACTCCAAAATACGATGGATAGAGTTATCATCTTTATGCATTGCATTCCTCTGTAGTGATATCTACTTCAAGTCTATAACTCAAATATTATTTAAGTTACGCTCCGGACATAAATTAAGCCTTAAAAATAAAATAAAAATTAAATAAGCATGAAAAATAACAAAGGGAAATAACTAAACAATATGAAAGGAAAAGTTCATTCAGCGTTCTGCTGTCCTCCTGAATGAAATCTATTCACCTTTGAAGTTTCAAGTATATACCTAGATTTCTTTTAGTTATGTTCTGGACATTTATTAAAAAGTGAAAAATAAGAAAGGATAATTATTAAATAAATTTGAAGGATAGAGTTATCATTCGTGTGTACTGAACTCCTTATTTATGAGATTTATCTAAGTCTTATTTTATTTATAAAAACTCATTAGCCAATAAACTGACTTTACTTTTTACTTTTTCTTCTGTTGCCTTTTACCAATTAGTCTAGTTATAGTGATTTGGTATTTTGTATGAAAGTAAAAATATTACTTTGTTTAATGGCAAATAATTTCACATTTACCGCTATTTTCTTCAGATAACAAACATCTAATTTGTTCTTAAACCGTTATTTATATGTCTGAAAACTCATGTTTGCCCTTTCTTAAGAAGTAATTTACGTTTATTTGTTACCGAGGCATAATGGGCCTTAAACTTTCAAGTGGATATCTCAAATATTTTTTTAGTTATGCTCAGGACAAAAAAGTGGGATTGAGGAAGTACGGAGATAGAGGCAGTTACCATATATTCGAAAAAGCGGCGGGAGTTTGGGCGGGGATAAATATTATTTATTGCCTGTCAACATAGAATTACATCAGATATTATATTGTAATTTCAGAAAATTTGAATGAATGATTTTTAAGAGACGGTTGCTTTAAAAAGTCATTCCTGATTATTAAACTGATCCATGCTTTAAAATTATCATTTGAGCCGCGTCACGACAAAATCACATAATGCGTTTGCGACCAACATGGATCCAGACTAGCCTGCGCATCCGCACAGTCTGATCAGGATTCATGCTGTTCGCTGTCAGTTTCTCCACTTGTAATAGAGTTGGTGTAAGCGAACAGCATGGATCCTGATCAGACTGCGCGGATGCGCAGGCTGGTCTGGATCCATGCTGGTCGCAAACCCATTATGTTGGTTTTGTCATGGCGCGGCTCATATTTTGTATGTTTTGTAATGTTCTTCATATAAATGTTCCACCCGGAATAAATTTAATTCTGATACAAAATATAACAGTTTTAACACAAGTACATTTATATTATTACCGAATTTTTATTTTCTGATACTTATTTTAAGAAATACGGTCCTTTTAAAGAAAATACCGTTTTATAAAAATCTCGATCCAAATTATAACTTAGTGTGCATTAGTCAGCAATTACAAAATATTAATTGGTCAAGAACAGTCAATTTACTAGACTAAATTTTTAGTTAGCCGATTTACCAATGTAAATTTGGTAAGATTCATTTATACTGCTACAATGCTATTATACAATACTAATTATTAATAATGATATCTTTAAAGATGATTTGAATCTTGTAAGATATTTGAATTGTATCAGTATTTTGGTAACAATAGTCATAAATATTGACTAGTAACTCTTTCCAGGAGATAGAAGTGTTCGTACGTAAATGTTAAGTATTTGATCTACATGTATGTTCAAACAAAAAATGCATGTTTTCCACACTTTGTTTTACATCTTTATTAATTCGCGTGAAGCTTGGAATCTGGATATATGCCCAGCCGGAGGAAAGGGAAAATACTTCATGAAAATTTTGTGAAAGGTAACAGTGCTAGCTAGTGTACATGACATGTTTGGTAGATAAGTAAAGTATTTTTTAGAATTCCTGGAAGTGCTGACATAATTTCAATGCCAGAAAATAATCTTGCACTGGGAGATAGCGAGAAAAGTCATACGGAAATTGAGTTACCATTTAACAATTTCTTTAGAAATTTGAACATTATGGAATATCTTTGTAATCAGGTTATATTTGTAAATGCCGCTACTAAGAAGAAGCTGTTTTTTAAGAAATAACGAAGGTAAATTGATCTTGAAATTGAAGTTAAAATGACATCTCGTCCGTGTTTTGCCCCTGTGCCCTGTCCTGTTTGGTGTCCTGCCGGGCTCCTTCTTCTTTTTCTATTCCTTCGGGTACGTTAGTCTTGAAGATTAAATACCGCTTAAGCCGGTGCTGGGGGGGGGGGCGTAGAACAAACTCATTTTAAAGCGAGTCTGTTATTTTCATTTAATATTGATAATATTGTAAGCACTACCCTTTTTCCAGATTTTTATACGTTTCGGCTGCAAATATACTCCAGAGATAAGAAATGCTTAGTTTACTTTACGCAATCAACACGAGTGATACAATCGACCGGGATAGACGCCGTCTGTAAAATTTAAAAAGAAAATCTTAACAAAACCGAAAAAAAAGTATTGGAATATAATAAAAGTTCTGTTCTGTTCACAAGTCTATAGTTACAAAAGTTAAACTGTTCACCGTGTATCTCCTACAACATGAATTATAACAACAGTAGCGCCGTATTATATGTGCCATAAAATGCCATTATGTGCAACGTGATACAATGTATGTAAAAACACACACCTATTTTTATGAAAGAAGTTTTTGTTTTTCGGCATACCTAGCTAAACATTTACCGACCTACCTGTATAATATAACAATAATATACAAGTTACTGCCTCGTTCATAATATACGTAATAGGAGTTATCTCATATCACATAGTGTCTTTTTTCTTTGTTTTAGAATTATAAAACACAAGTTGTTGGCAAATATCTTTGGTATACCGAATATCAAAACCTATGGAAGCTCTGGAGGGACATTTTTTGTTATTTATATTTTGTTATCTGTTATTAGTTATTTCTTATTTGTTACGAGTTACTCTTTTCATTGACATTCGGCCATTTTGATTTTTTGCTTACTGTACTACTCATTTTGGCCTTATACATGTGCATGACAGATTTGGCGTTACTATTGTACAATTTCTGCGTTATTTTCACATTCCTGCGTAACTGATATACACGTTGATTTCGTCTGCTCGAGTAGGAAATAGATAGATCTACCACAATATATTCTATAGCTTTTCTATAAATATTAGTTATGTTCATTGTGTAACACAATATATATGCTTATAATTTACAGCAGTATATAAATTATATATAAACAATTTTTTTCAATTGATTTAAAATGAAACATGATTTGATTTCTAGAAAATCAAGCATTTTGAAGTGCACGTTTATACATTTGTTACTACATGTATACAGACCTAGATATGTAAGCAGGCTGGCCTAGTTATTTTACTGGCACCTTAAAGCAATAAAGTAAAATGTATGTTCGATGATCCCTCTTTTATCGTTTGATTTGATCTTTATATTTTCTTTCATGCCATTTAAAACTACGCAGTTGGAATTAAACATTCTGTCCCGCACTGAATATAACTAGATCTTGGGAACACGTGATATTACAGCATCATCGCTTATTAATATTCCGTAGCACGATATTCACCAACAAATCATGCTTTAAGTTAATAGCTAAAGCTAAATACTCTGCCACAAGTGCAGCTTAAAGACCATGCTATGTGTTATTGTCAATTATTTTTACTTCTGGTTAGCACGACATTCGTTTATGATAATGTATTGTTTTCGCTTTGGACGGTTTAATAAACAAGTGCTGTGATGATGTATGGAGAAAAGTAAATTTATCTGGCGATGAAGGAAGTTACATAAATAATTGAAGAAAAAAAAAAAAAAAAAAAAAAAAAAACTTCAAGTGACTACATAATCTGTTTTTATTTTTTCATTAGCGAAGCAAATACTTAGGGGAAAAACACATACACTGGATATAAAAGTAGAGGTAAGAACTGTTCTTTGACTTTATTTATGTAAACTTTGTGCATAATTGTGATGGGTGTGGCCAAAACCTACATATAAATGTCAAGAATAATATTTATTCAATATTTTATGACCTTGACTGATCTAGTACAAAACACTGGTATTTTAACACTATAAACATAAACAGGAAACACTTGATATAAGATTAAGTATATATGTAGGAGTGTATATATTTGATGTGGTATATCAATGGTCCTATTTTAAGATAAAATATATCGTTATGATAATGGCAACCATTGTTTTTCCATGATGCCCCAGATGTTTCCAAGATGCTTATTGAGATTATATTTAATATGTAATCATATGTAATCTTCTGTAATAACAAAAAAAAATGATGCTAACCTAAATATAGTTGCAAATTGCCAACTTTTAGTATACATATTTTAAACATTTCGAAGCAATAAATGAATTTCATTATGCACAATAATTACTGTTTATACTTGTTTATACCTTATTCATGTTTTATCATTCCAATACAGAACCACCTGGGATGAGTCACAGATGGATTCAAATAAACGAGCATAGGAAACAGAACACAGGCGGCAGTAGATAGGTTAATTATACTCATAAGTGATATTCTGACTCTGTGCCAAGTTCATTACAAACAGAACTTATTAGACACTTCAACAGTACGTGCATCATATTAAGTATAGAGTTTTTCATAGGTATCGAAACTGGTTAAAGATGGATGTATGTTATATTATAAAGAAGAATAAAATGGGGATTCTGACATTTCTGTATTTGCTATCTATAACTGTGTTACACATACCGGAAGTGAAAAGTTCAAAAATAAGTATAACAACTAACATTGGAAGTTTAAACGGCAAAAGTGAAAACGTGGAATTTAACGGTCACACTAAAAGTGTATCTCAATTTCTTGGAATTCCATTCGCCAAGGCGCCAGTTGGTGAAAGACGATTTCTCAGACCTGAAGCTTACGGCACGTTAGAATCACCATATAATGCCACATTTTTCAGGCCACACTGCATGCAGAGTGCAGTTGCGAATCCGCCTATCAGATACTTCCAAATGAGCGAAGATTGCTTACATTTGAATGTATTTATTCCTGGTAAAACAGTGTCTTCTGATAAGAAGTATGCAGTGATGATATTTATACATGGCGGTGGATTTTCGATAAGCGGTTCTGAGGTATTCTCGGGTGACAAATTGAGTGCATTTCACAACGTTATTGTTGTGACAGTTAATTATCGTCTCAATACTTTTGGATTTTTAAGTAACGGCACAAAATCCTCTGGTAATTTAGGCTTATGGGATCAAAAACTTGCACTCCAATGGGTTCACGATAACATTGCTGCCTTTGGTGGAGACCCTGGAAAGGTCACATTATTTGGTAATTCAGCTGGTGCGGCCAGTGTTCTGTATCACGTTATGAATCCTACAAACAAAGGACTGTTCCAGCGGATAATAACACAAAGTGGATCTGTACTGGCCCAATGGGCACAACAATATAACCCGGCTGAAATGTTTAAAGAATTTATATCAGAAGTTAAATGTGACATGAAGCGTTACGATGACATTCTTGTGTGTCTCCAATCAAAAGACGCTGCAGATCTGGTAACAAACCGTTTTAGGCCAGTAGTAGACAATGCATATATCATGGAAAACCCTGTTGCAACATTTTCTAAACAAGGTAATGATAGATCTGCATACCTGGAATTCTTTTCAGAGGTTGACTTTCTATCTGGAGTACAGAGCAAAGAAGGTGCAGGAGTGATAACTAAGATAGCGGAACAATATAAAGGGTTTGGTATAGATATTGCTAAAGGGATATCGCGAAGTATTTTTGAAAACCAGTTTGTTCCGTCAATGCTGCTTCAAATGTATGGTGCTTCGGCATCACCGGTTCTGAAAGAAGCCGTCATACAACAATACATTGACTGGTCAAGACCCGATGATGCTGAACTAATTAGAGGTAGAATAATAGACTTCTGGTCGGATGTCTCTTTCTTTGTACCAGCTATAAACGTGCTAAAGAAACATCATACATTGAGGAAAAATAACGGAACGTCATATTTTTATGTCTTTGATCAGAAGCCATTATTGGATCCCACACCTCTTTGGCTGAAAGGATCAAAACATGCTATGGAATTACCTTATGTGTTTGGACTGCCAGATGCAATGAAAATTGCGTCAGGGTTGCCTCTAGATTCGAAGGTTACAATTCCGCCGGCTGATATGAAAGTCTCTGGGATCGTAATGAGATTGTGGACCAACTTTGCTAAAACGGGGTAACTACGCTTTATAGTTCATTCTAAAAAAGCTACTTAATTTGTAAAATCTTTAATCCACTTTATATATTTAATATACATGTACTATACTAGCACACAATTCAACAAGTTGAATAACGTTTAATTATATATCATTCTCAATTCATCGGAAGTAATCTTTACTGGGTATAATGTGTGGGAGTAAAAATAATTAAAACTTAATTTTCTTTCAGGAATCCAAATTTACCAGTGGAGAACGACGTTAAAGGCGTGCCATCTTGGCCACAGTATGATGTCAACTCTCAAGCATATTTAGAATTTTCATCAAATATGACGTCAAAGTCCGTGAAGAACTACTTTGCCGCATCAAGTGTAGAATTCTGGACAAATCTGGTTCCGTTGTTAGAGAAATGTAAAACATGTGGGAACCAGAACTGCTCTGGCTCTCAACGGGCTTCAAAAGCACATTCCATAACAAATAACACTCCAGTAGCTTTATTGTGTGTACTGTTTGTCCAAATGCTCGTTTTTATAAAAACACTTGTGTAGTTTTTTTATGTATCTTAACAATTTATATAATACTCCCGTGTTAGAGTTTTAGCTAACAAAGCTCATTGCATTCAATGTAAAACGAGTTCGTCGTTGGTATGTCCAACTTTCTTCTCTTTTGGTTGGTAACATTCTTTGTCGGATTCTTCATAAGTGTAGTCATAATGCATGTAATTACGTTTGGTTATGCGTTACAAGAAATTCTGAATTAATGGCGAATCTGAGATATATTACAGTAAAATATTATAATGTCCAAGATCGAATGTAAAAATGAAAGAGCATGCCATACTTGAATACTTCGTTAAAGGGAACATCAGGGTTCAGAGGCCATATGATCGGACTTGTAAACAGAGTTGAAACAGGAAGATTGACTTCTTATGTAAACTTCGGTGGTATCAATAAAAAATTGGTAATTTTAAACGCTTTAAAATCTTCTAATTAAATGAAAGTCTTATGTTACAATTTTATGTTCTTCATGACTTTATATCATAAATCTTTGTATGTATAAAATTGATAAGCTTTGAGAAATATATTATATTTTTCTAGCAATCATAAAATTCAGTAAGGAAGTTTAGATAATGAATTTGAATTCATACATAAATAAAATTTGTATTTATGATTATCATAGGCGTTTTGACAAGATTGTTATTATCTGGCGAAGCCTGCTGGCTGACTTAACACTATAATAAGCAAAATGTCACTTGCCATAATTTATTATTTGGCTATTACTCTAACTGATTTGTTTGTGTATTTATTGCTATTACAGGAAATAAACTTTGTTTTCTGATACATGTATTTGTAAACTTATATTCCAATGTAAATTATTTAAAAAAACCCTTATATCCGATAGAACAGATGTGTTCTTTGTAAACATTAACATTTTGTCAAGGAATGACATGTTTCTAACAAAAAGAAGATTTTTTTTGTGATATACCTGTGAAACTAATTTGCATGAGAAAAACATAAAAACACGCATACACAACTATCAGACAATGAGTTGTGGACGACTTGATAATGTATAGATAATTAATTGTTGTTGTTGTTGTTGTTTTATGCCCAAAAACAGCTATAACAAGAACCATATATATACATCGTTTTGTAAATTTTTATACATGGACATTAAATACTCAACATAGAATTCACGGACTTTAGAAGTCAAACATTAGATACACTTTCATATCCCCAATTTTTGCTCGTCAGTACCGAAGAAAAAAATCTGAAAAAAAGTCGAGCTTTTATGATTGCTGCGTCGTTGTTGTCTTCGTCATGTAAAACCAATTATATAGAGGATATTTGTTTGTGTTGCTTGATGTTAGCTAGATTAAAATAAATTTCACTGAGTGAACACCAGGTGCATATTTTCTCGGTTGGCGTAACCACGAGTGAAAATAGAATATTCAACTGGTGTTCACGAAAGTAATATGTTTCAATTTGATATGTAAAACAAATAAATTTTCTTTCTTATTTTATGCTTTTAAGTGATTTTAAGTTGTTTTTTTACTGATTTTGCCGCGTAACGTCGCGCATTATCCTTTATGAATTTATTACATCATGACATCACATCATCAATTTTGAAATAAAGTTCTGTTAAATTTCTCTAATTTTGTTAGATTTTTAACATGATATATGATGACATCAACTTTCTTTTCCTAAAAAAAGCAAAATTTACGTATGAGGGCATTTATCTTTGCCTGTTATTCCATTTAATATTGATATTCTTTTCAGACGCATTCAGATCTAGTGTGGCTATAGTGAAAATTATATTTTATAGATTTTACTAGTAGTTTATCAGAATAAAATCATCTGATATATTACAGTTAAACAGAGGTAAGCTTGAAATAAAATAAATATTAACACGAGACATGGAATACTAATAATTATATGATAAAGGCATAATTCTGAAAGCAATATTTTAAGGGTAAGCCCCTTATTATGTAGATTTTTTGTCAAAATTACCTATTATGTAGAATGAATATAAAACTAGGAATGGTATCAATATGAAATTTAGTTTACGCGTTTATCATATTAAGGTACAGTCATGAGACAACGGACATGTAGTTTTGCCCATTTTTAACACAATTACCTAGGAGGATAATTAAAAAACTATCAAAAGCTATCAATACTTGATTATCATGGCAATACAACAGTTGTAAAACAAGCCATACTTTATACGGTTTATCGTTCAAATGTTTTGTAGTTAATCGCCCAGGTCTATTGGCCGTGGTCATTATATTCCTGTGTTTTTGAACTCGAACCGTGCATTACTTTATTGTACAACAGCGCTCTCGAAATCTGTTTCTTACTGTTCGGCTGTGATAATGATATCTATTAGTTGCTTTCCGTGGCTCAAGATGTTAAGGGTAGTTTTGTGGCATGTTGTTTTATTTGACACCGGGCACGTTATTACGATGTAACAACTTAATGTTTAAATTAACAAGTCAAGTCAAGTCAAAATTTTATTTGCAATTCGGCAGATATCAGATCTGCCTTTGACAATACAAACATAAATATACATATGGCAAACACACAATACTATATATTATCTATATAATTTGAAAAGTTGTGAATACATTTAGTCCAAGAAGGTTCTCTAAAGTTATTTACTTGATCACTACATGTATACTAAACAATTGTGGTATAGTTTGTTTTTTTATTTTTATCCAATATTTTAATGCTCTGTTTTGACATAAAACTGTTAAAGGGAATCTACAAGGTTCTCCAAGTACTGCGTTGTTCGGAGTCTGATGTTTAACACGTAAAATGCTTAAAAAAAATTAATATGTAATTTATCAACTTTTTTGCAATAAAATAGCCCCAGATCTCTGAACCAATCAGTAATATTGGTACTACTATGATATCAAAAAGTATTAATTTTGTTTTTATATCAAATTGAACTCTATCAAACAAAGATAAAAGATAATGATATTTAACATGCAAATGCTATGGGATCACGCCAGTCTTTAAAAGGTTTATTCAAATTAAAGTCGTATCTAGTGAAGTTCCCTTGTCTTACGCTTAGCTATTGTTTAAATTTATTAGATAAACTTATTTTACCCATTTTTGTTATGGTAGTGAGGTATGGGGTTTCTATAATTGTCATATAATTTTGTGTGATTGTTGAAATTGTAATCTTTTAAGGCACCAGCAATTCTCCCCTGTTACTTGATAATGTTTAAAATGATTGGTGATCAGTTACATATATTTTATTAATTTACTGCAAAAGTATCATATTGTTGATTACAATTGTTTTTTACTGTTTAAACTGCCATTGTTACGATATATGATGTATAAATTTTCATTTTACAAGTGTTAAGTGTGTAAATGTATTTCGATTTTTAAGATTATGGATTTCATGTTTTATTTCTGGATAAAGTATTATTGAAAGGGGAGTATGTCCCTTTTTATAGTTCATTGGACTGCTACGCTGTAGATGAATTAAATTATTCTTGCCAAAAAAAAAAGAAAGAATCAAAATACACCAAACTTTCCAGTTATTTGTATTGATTACATTGAATACGTCCCAATCGTGACTATTTTGGTGTAAAAATAAAGTTCATAAGTTTGGCTTCAAACTTTATCAATATCAAGTTGTTCATATACCTCGTCTATACAATTTTGATTTTCATAGATTTTCAATCGTTCGTATGAGTTGAAAGATTCAATCGCAGCTTTTCCGTCATTTCTATGGACTTTGTCATTATCAGCACTTGTATCTATCTCTGATAGCTGTAATGTATTGGGAACTTCATCCGATAGCTGATTGGTCTGATTCTGACGTCTCGGTCTGAAACAATGTTTTATTAAATCTGGAAAACTTAATAATAAATACAAAATTTACACGATTATTTTTTATTGGTATTTGGGAACTAGATCTATTTATGTATATAACGGTAATCAACTCAAATACTACATACATGTTATTTAATTAATTAGCATTATCAATAAACACGTGTGTCACTAATACAATAGACAATCTCTTGAAATATATAGCTTATTCGGGCAAACTTGACCGTGGAAATGAGCATAATAAAACTAAAGTATCATTCAACACAAATTTTAGTTATAATTAATAAACCAACTTTTATTTCATTTTTTTTTTCATTTCTTAAGAATAAATTTGAAATTGCCAGATATACGTACACCGAAGTCCATATATGAACATGTCTTAGAAAATTCTATCTTAAGAGATCATTTTACTTTGTTAGAAAAACACATCAGCGTGAATTAACTAAAATCAGTATAATGTTACCTTCTTATGTAAACGAGGAGACATAATATAATCACAAGCAGCATGGCACAAATCACACTTGGTATTATAATGTCTAGAAAGTTAGAAAAAGAAGAAGAAGAAAAAAACATACTCAATCTATGCAAATTAAAGATAAAATGACGTTGACCGTTTTTAAAGCTTTGTTACATAGATACTATACTGAAATTTAAAAAAATGTTTTAAGATTTTTATGCAATAATTAATTTACAAAAGAAATCTGCTATGAACTATCTTTAATACATATCTTATATTTAAATGAATATTATCTCTATCATTTTCAGCCCACTGTCGCGTAGCCAGAAAGGGATTATAGAAATGCGACATTTCGTCCGTCCGTTTGTCAGTCTCTTCGTGTGTCCGCTCTATAACTTTTAAAGTTATTTTTTTTAAATAACCTTAATGCAAGAGATTGCCATAATTAGACGATGTGTAAGTCGCATCGCAACAACCAGATCTATACCCAGGTTGCTTCACCGAAGGTCAAAGTTATACTTAAAGGCGGAGCAAAAATTAAAAATTGTACTGCAGCAGGAGATACATCCGTCCTTCATACTGCCTTGTTTAATTTAATTAATTAATTAATAAACATATATAATTTTTTGCAAATGATATTTTCAAAATACTTTTAAATTTTAATCATTTTCAACATACCATAAATGGGCACTTTCACTGTTGCTTCACTCCCTGTTGGTTCACTCCCTCGAGTAATATTAGCAGTGCTGGTTTGAATTGTTGTCCCTATAGCTCTACTCACACAAGAAATGTTAAATCTAGTTTCTCCCTCTACAAAAGATTTATAATTGTATATACATATAATTTATATATGTATAAAACAATGTTGCGTCTGTATAAAATCCCTTATGTGATATACATTTTGTAAACCGAAGCTTGTTTTAATTATAGATATGAAAATAATAACTTTAACATTTAAATAAATATTGACATGATGTCTGTAATATTATTATAATAGTTAATTGCTCATGATATCTATATTGAACATTTCAAATAAATTGGGAAAAATCGTTAACAATAAATCATTTACATTTAAAACTAAAAAATTAGATGTAAAATTAACATACCCTTTATAAAAAATTGTATTTTATAGCCCCGATGATCGAAGTTTAAGGTTTTTTTTTAACAGTAAGAGAACACCAAGTGTAGAAACCATTACAGGAATATATTATCCAAGCTTAAAAGCCTTGTTGTAATACACTCTTGTTTCTTTACTTCGAAAGTAAGTACATATTCTTATTTCTGAATTTCTATAGAAATCATACCTGGAGAAATACTAAGACAAACTCCCTTTCTTTTATAGTTTTCAAGTGTTGACAATAAAAGTTTTGTAGCCCCTGTTATGTTTGTGTAATCGTATGTAATGGTTCCACCCAAAACAATGTCATTTATTTCAAACTGAATACTTCTTTTTCCATGGGGATTGACGAGCAAAAGAAGAAAATTAGTAGACTGATTGGACGGTGTAATAACACATTCACAAGATATATGCTGCAAGACTGGAACACTAATTGTATCAATATAGATGCGTCTTGCATTTGTCACGTCCTCGTCAGTACAAACTTTAACAACAGTTTCTGTAAAAAAAACACAAATACATGTGTGGAGACTAATTACTGTTTGCATGTATATGACATTGCAGATTCGTAGATTTATATAGTGGGGCTGATGTGCAACGTCTCCTTTCTTTTCTTTAAACAATTAAAAATACATGTATTAGTCTTCACACTCGATTTCAACAACAACAAGAGCCAATATTATGAAACAAACATTAAAATGTAGTTAAAATGTGTAGATTAAACGAAATAATAATTTTATTAATATATTTCGACTATTCATGTTATCAGCTCATGTGTTTTTTTCCGAATTTTCAGAAGATATCCAAAACATAGGTACGAGGATTGATTGAAAAGTTCTTGGCCCGATGTACTTCAAGTAGTCAGAGAAGCCAACAAGTGGTCTTATTTTCAATATATCCCCCCTCTACATCAATGCACTTTGCCCACCTGTGATCCAACTTGTTTTACCCTTCAAAATAGAATTCTCTATTTTGGTCCTCAAAAAACACATTGACCACCTTCACGACATCACTTTGATCCAGAATCCAAAAAAAAACAGAGCATGCAGTGGAAGCACCCTGGCTCACCCCATCCGAAGAAATTCAAGAGGGTGCAATCAGCAGGGAAGATTATTTTTTTCAAAAGTTTTTGGGATAGTCATTGGATAATCATGATTGACTATCTTGAGCAAGGTCGTATCATAAACGGTACGTAATATGCAGACGAATTGAGACGTCTGCGTCAAGAAATCGCGCGTAAAAGGAGGGGCAAACTGACACAAGGCGTTCTGCTTCTGCACGACAATGTGCCAGCTCACACATCCCAAGTTGCGATGGCTGCTGCAACTGACTGTGGCTTTGAAATTCTCCCCATCCCCCATATTCTCCGGACTTGGCCCCCTCTGACTTCTATCTGTTTCCGAAACTGAAAACCAAGCTTCGTGTTAGACGTTTTGGAAGGAATGAAGGTGTCATGGAGGCGGTCAACGAGTTCTTTGAGGACCAAAATAGAGAGTTCTATTTTGAAGGGTTAAACAATTTGGAGCACAGGTGGGGAAGTGCATTGATGTAGAGGGTGGATATATTGAAAAGTAAGATCATAAGTTTGTTTCTCTGACTACTGGAAATACATCGGACCAAGAACATTTTGATCTATCCTCGTACATATTTTAAATAAAATATTGATTATACAAAATTAACTTGACTTTTTTTTTTTATAGTTTTTAGTTGTCTAAGTGACAATAAGATTTGAAAGTTAAATTATTTTCATACATACCAGGTTTTACATTTTGACCACAAAACGACCTACCCTTCGATTCTGAAAGTTTAAAAAAGTTTGTATTGTTATATTTGATCCATGTATTAACATAATGACATTTTAACACAAAAATAACATGTTCAGAATTAAAATGAAAATGCAGCAAACCCGTAAATAACAATTCGGGCTTCATTTTAAAGTTATTAAAGAAGAAAATGTTATTTACCTGTTATATTCAAAAGTAAAAGGCACAATACACATACTCTCGTTTGAAATATCATACTGACTTGAAAGTAATGTAAACCAATTTGTTTTGATTTATTTTTTTTTTATTTTGAAATATTAAACATGCCAAATGAACACGTAAGCAGTTTAGAAATTGTGAAAGGAAGAGAATATCCATAATTCTAAATTGAGTTTCACTTGTTCATAAGCGTACTTAACACGCCTTTTCAATTGGTTTAAAGTACCACGCTTCAAGGTCAACACATGTAAAAATAGCTTTTTGTGCATTAACGCCTGCAGAAACATGCCGATGCAATTAAATTTAAGCCCGCAGTGCGAGGGACTTAAAAAATCAAGGGGCTTCTGCAGATGCTAACAAACGAAAGGTATACTGGCACTAATTTTGTATGGAAGTGTACATCTGTCCAGTAATTTACGTTTCGTTATTTGCTGTTTTAGGTTTAAAGAAACCAGTTTCATCGTGTATATCCAATAACGCAGCAATGTGCAAATAACGCAGGAATTGTGCAAAAGTAACGCAAAATTGTGCAATTTAGTGGCTAAAACGAGCATCGCGATAAGTAAATAGACCAATATTTTTTACTGTACACCAAATTCGAAGAAATGAATTAGCACATACTGTTGCCAAGACATTATACTTTATACCTCATCAAAAATATTTTCATGAAAATGTTTATTTTTCAAAATATGATAAACAAGATCAACAAGGAAGGCGGCGTTCAATGAACGCAACCCCCATATGACCCAACAACAAGAACCAATGGCAAGGAGCCCAGGCGGACCCCAAACAAAAACAGGACAGGGCAAAGACAGAGCACGGACATGTTAATCATTAAATGATACATAATTGTTATTACATAATAATAACTGATTAGGAATTAAAAGAAAAGAATAATAGGCCCATAAAGGGGAAGGGGACAGGAGACCGGGGGATGGTGGGGGGGGGGGTAATCAAAGAAATAAAAACTAGAGGCAATGGGGAAGATACTTACCGTAGACGAGAAAACAACAAGGGACACAAGCAAAAGTGTCACCAAAACAGTACGAAACAACATAGACATACATCTGAGGAACACAGTGGGGCGCCGCTTTGGAACGGTCAGCAGCATAATAATGACTGCTGGGGAGTTTAAACCGGTTAATGGTGCACCAAACCTCACTCTTAGCCCCATCATGTTCCTATAAACGAGACAGTGTAAATAAAATGAATCCCCGCCAAGTGAAATTCTAACAGTTGTCATGGTTACAAAAGGTTAAATAAGTAAAACACTAAAATGATCATGTAGAAACATATAAAAGTAAACCCAATGACCATCATTCGTGACAATGAGATCTGACTAGCTTATTGCTGGCGATTTTTTAGTTTCGTTAATATCTCCTTTAAATACAATAAAGTACATATTACTTTATGACTTTTTATATTCGGTGTACCTGAGACATTTTCCAATCTACTCGTGTCATATTACACTTAAATTCGCAGATAAAACTTAACTGAGACCATTTTTACGAGGTAACGCCGAATTCGTGAATGACGTACTGAAACAACGGCAGTTATCTCATTAAAAGTAGCTAAATCATTTTTTACCAGCTTCCTTTTATTGTTATACGACACTTGTATTATACACTTAGGTATTCATATTTATGAAAAAGAAAATGTTTTAAATGTGTTAAATATACATATTTATTTGACGAAAACACAAAAGTCCCCTTCAAAATGGTATTCAGATTGTCTTTCTCACGAATGATCTAAAGAAGTAGAAATATTCTTGAAAAAAAATATAATGCTGGTTAAAGTATAATGTCATAGCAGCCGTATGCGCTTATTCATTTCTTTAAATTTGATTTAGAATAAAATATTTTGGTTCGTTCACTTACTGTGTTATTCGTTTTGGCCATAGAATTGCACAGATTCGGCGCTACTTTCACGTAGTTTGCACATTCCTGCGTTACTGGATATGTACGGTGAGTTTCGTGATGATTTTCACATGCACAAGTGATGTTATGCTTTTATAGTGAAATAAACTGGGCTATCATTGCAGTGGCGCAACTGACAGAACAGCTGAAATGTTAGGTGAATTAAAATATCAATGGCCGAAAGATAAAATACTTTTGAACAAGAGGTAACTAAAATCTATATGCATTTATGCCAGGAATAACATAAATCACTCAAAAATAAAATTTCGGTTTGTATTGCTTATCTAATGAAGTGATTAAATAACTAATTGGCGGCACAACAACTTGTCAAGAGCAATCCTTAAGTTGACTTGTTTCCGCTATTGATGTGAAAATTGAAACTGATACTGCAACAAAGTACTTGTGGTCTGACATATAGGTATATTGATATAAACAGTGGAAACATTTAATGGGAAAATATAGTAATTAAAGGAAGATTGAAAATAATTGAGTTTTTTTTTTATAATTCTAAAATTTTAATTTAAGTAGTAAGTTAAATTCCTTTAAGGAAGTTATAAGATTTCTAACAGATGTCAGTTTATAACTGCATTATAGTAAATTAACAAAAAATTCAAATTATACTACTCAACTTTTGCAGAACACCATATGTTTGAGTGTGAATTTTTTTTTGGCATTATTTTATTAACGCTGTGCGAAAGGTTTTAAATGTTGATTTTCTGTTTTATCAATTCAGCTGAAGGACAAATTTAACCTTATAAATGAGTTTTACACTGATTTTGTGCTAGAGAAGAGGATGACCCACTCTTTAAAGATTTCAGAACATGCAGCGTTTTTTCCAAATTTGTTAAATTTGTATTTTTGTTTACAGTTTTAGACTTAATACTCTGTGTGTGGTCCGTGACTATCAATAACAGCTTGACAGCGCCTTCTCAAGCTCTCTTTTAGGTTTCTGATCGTTCTAATAGGTATGGCTCCTGGATGGTTCTGGGTTGCAAAAAAATGACGAGCTGAATTTCTAACCTGCAGCTCATTCAACATGTGTTCTATTGGAATTAAGTCAGGTGAGCGAGCTGACTATTCCAAACGCTGAATAGACTCCCTCTCTAGGTAGTCCTGGATCACCCTGTTCCTACGGGGGCGAGCACCAGTGTCCATTAGAATGATCTCATCGCCGACTGCTCCAGCATACAACATAACCTAGCTGGTTGTCTTAGATGTCGTCTATGTATCGCTAACCTGTCAATGTGCCTCTATTCAGCATACCCAGGTCGGTCCGTTCACCCCAGTTGATGCCTCCCTACACCATAACTAACCAACCTTCGTAGCGGTCATGCTCAGCAATATTTACAGTCTTAAACCATTTACCTCGTCTTCTCCAGATTCTAGCACGCCTATCTGTGAAGTCTTGACAGAACCTGGACTCATCAGTCTCCAGTGTCGCATGGTCCACCGTGAAGCTCCATAGTCCATTCTAAACGGGCCTGGCGATGTCAATGCGTCAAGGGGTTACATATGCAAGGTCTTCTCGACCGCAATTTACCTTCATGCAGCCTTCTACGTACCGTCTGCATGATAACATGGACCCCCGCAGCATTAGCAAGGTCATTTCGAAAGGCAGTTGTTGTCGAAAACCTTGCACGACGTGCCTGATCGACCAAAAACCCTCCATAACTCTGCTTCTCTCAAATGCCGCCTTATGTTATCCTACGCCGTATCGAATGTGACTGATGTAAGAAATGTAAGCCATTGAATGACAATAAGCCGGTGATGTCGCCGTATAACAAAAGACATATGATTGTACACCCACTCAAAACATGAAAATATTGGGGTGCATGCTTTCCATGCTACCTAGACGAGTTGTACGGATAAGTCAACACGGATTCATGTCAGGAGGCTATCTCAAAACATTATTGAATCAGAATTTTAAACAAGAGAACCGCTAGTCGGATCATTATATGCCCGAAAGTTTTTTTTTAGTAAGGATGAAGCATTTGTAAGACATGGGAATTAAATAAAGTATGACCTCCTTCAAATCAATAGGGGTGTTCTACCTAATATGAGCAATCATCCTATGAAGTTTGAACACTGTGGGCAAAATGGAACTTAAGTTATGCTCCTTCAGGGGTTATAACATAATAAATTCTTTCGGGCATATAAAATTGGATTTCAATATCAACTGTTGTTCAATCACCGTTATCAATCATTTGAAATATATAATTAGTTCATCTCAATAAAAATATGAGCATAATGTGTCTTTGAGTTGCTACTGTACACACCTACAAGGAAAATCCACCCCGAGATGAAACCAAATTAGGTCCCAGGGCTACACTTTGAACAAATTTTGTAAAGGCCCACTAGACACTGTTTGATGCTAAATATCTAAGATATAGCCCTTGCAGTTTTCAAGAAGATTTTGAAGAATTTACTATAGAAGGAAAATAAAAGCCATTACCCCTGGGGATGACTACGATGTATATATTGTTGTAGATATTTTTATAGATATTCATTAGATGATGCTACACACACAAAAAACCTAAGCTCTAGTCCTTGAACTTTCAGAGAAAAATTCATTTTTAAAATCTATTTTTAGTCTTTCTGACCAAGATTGTCAATGGAGCAGATACATTTGTAAAATTTAAGTAGAGCTTCATGCTTGAACTATCACATAAATATTTCATCAAATTTGCCTTAGTGGTTTCAGAGGAGGTTGTTTGAAAAATAAATTAAACGACAGACCCACGGACGCACTGTCAGACAATGGACGTCGGACAAATTTTGACCTTGAGCACTCTGCCCTCAGGTGAGCTATTAAATAAAGAGAAACGTACCCAGCAAGTAAACATGAAGTGTTTAATTTGATTTGACATAAAACGTTATGAATACATTATAATTTATAGAAAACATTAGCCATTTTATATATAAGAATGCAATCAGCATACATGGATTAGTAACATTCATTGGTGTAAATATTTTTCATATCACTGGATTTCAGACTTTACCGTGCTTAAAGGAGTCGTTGGCGTTTCCTGTACGAAATAAATTTAACAATAATGGGCCTTGGTGGGCCAGAGCCAATACGTTTCCCGGTCCTGTGCGACAGATCAGTTTCATTAATATTCATATTTACATTTAGCTGTTTGCAAATGTCGAGCACATTTTGGTCAATGTTTACACCAGAAGATTCAGGATACCCTGCAATACGGATGTTATTCCGTCGGCTGTACTGTTCC